GAATGAATGGTATAGTGAGTTTTGAATAGATTTAGTTTGGTCGGTTCGTTGATTGTAAAATGAGCACGCGAGGTCGAGTTCGTTATAAAGTCACAAGACGAAGTTCAGCCAGAATTCGCAATTCTATTCATAATAGTTCCAAATTTTTAGAAAATGAAAACAGTGATGAATGGCTTGATGATCATGATGAAAGTATGTATATATGTGTACAAAAATAATACAAACAAAATTTTTATATTTAACTATAAAAATATAAATAAGTATATTATATACAAAATCCTCGTTTATATTATAATAACGAATATTCATCACGCTTGATAATTAGAGAAATTTTTTTTCTATAATTTACTCAATAATTCTTGAAACAAATTGTCGAAATGAAAGACAAAAAAAGTTTGTCTAAATAATAGTTTATACACATGTAAACAAATCTCTCACAAACGGGAGTAAATAAGGTAAGAAATTTTTTTTTTTAAGAAAAGTTCAAAACTGAAATTACATTATTAATTATGATAATATAATTACATTACAATGAAAAAAATTTATTTAATTCAAACAACCGATTAATTGACTATTATCAATATTAAATATTTAATTGACACCAAATCAAAACTATTGGAGTCAATTGAATGGTATTTGCTTCAAAAACTGAAATTTTTGGTTCAAATACCATTTAAGTGACTCCAATAAATATTATTTGATTCAAGTAAATATTTAATTAATAATATAGTCAATTAATCGGTTATTTGAATCAATTAAATTTTTTTTTCAGTGTATTAACTATAAATTTTGATTTTATGGGTTTTTTAAAATTCGAAATTAAATTTTATTCACTTTTAATTATCAAACTAATAAATTAAGTAAAAAATAATTAACTTCAATAATTCAAATGAAAACTATTAAATTTATACCAAATAATTTATAAAATACCAATTTAATTAATTTTTAACTAGAAATTATTAATTCTCATTAATAAAAAATAACAAAAAATAAACATTATATTTGAATCAAGTATAAATGGCATTCAATTCAAATATGTAAATTTTTTTTCATTTTAAAACAGGAATATTTTTACGGAAATTTAAATATTCTTTCCGAATTCAATATCATTAATTTAATTTTTAAATAGTTGCTTAATTTTCACTGAATCAGATTTGAACACTAATTATAATTAACACTAATAATTTATTGATTTTTATATTAAGTATACCTATATTTTAATTTCTAAAAGTATTAAAATAATTAGTATATGAGAGAGTAAAAAACCTATAAAATTAAAAAAATATATTACTATCTTCAAAATAAAAAATCTTTTAAAAAAATCTTTAAAAAAAATAAAACAACTATTTGAAAAAAAGAAAAACAAATCTCGGTAATATTGCTGAGTCTGCAAATGACTTGAGAAGCTGTAGGATATTCATTAGTGCAACCATTTAGTGAGGACTATCTAATTTACATTGGTGCCCGTGCAACCATCTTCTTCAATGACGAGTCTCAAAATATAATATAACGTCAGTCGATGATTAGTTTCTTCTTGAAATTCACATTGAAAAAAAAAATAATATATATTATACTATATTTATGAATTGAAAATCAATCATTCGTATGCTTATCGTGTAAAATTTGCATTGGGGGGGCCCCCCCCCCCCCCCCCCCTCACCTGCCCCACGTGTGTCCCTATTTTCGAAATTAAAGTGGTATTAGTGTGTTATCATTATCACACTCACTGGACACAAAATCATTGTCGCGTGAGACTTAGTATTACATGTTGGAGAGAATGAAATTTCGACCACGTACGTGTTTACTTCTATTTCGAAAGGTGACCGTGTCCAGAATACGAAACGAGCGAATATAATCGCATATAATGTCTTATAATGATTCACATTAAGTGGACAATAGCTTCAAAATTTCAATTAATTGTTTTAATAATAATACTTTATTTTATTTCAACTCCATCGCAATTTAAGCAGGTAATTTCTTTCGTATTTCAAATTTTTCACATTTTTTTATTCAATTTATTTTATTTTCAATTTCAACTTTCAATTTTCTGATAAGAAAAAACCAATTTTCTTTTTTATTTTCTATTCGAATTTTTGTTTTCTAAACTTTTAAATTAAATTTAAACTTTAAAATTGTTTTTAATTATTTATTGTTAAATAAAATAATATTATTTAACGATAAATAATAAGACTTAAGGATAAATAATATTATTTAACAATAAATAATGGTATTTATAGTTTAAAAAAATTTGTTAATTAAATAAATGTCAAATTCAAGAATTATACAATTTTTGCTTTTGAAAAAAATTTTCAACACTTATTTTCGAAATAAAAACAAAAAAAAATTGATTTTTTTCTTAGTAAACAATTTATTACAAACGCGACTAAAATTCATCTTGCAAAATGTCAGAGAAAACTACGTAACATTTCTATTTGACGATTTTTTAATTTTTTCATAAAATTTTCAAAATAGAAAAAAACTAAAATAATCCCAAAGTTACAAATTTTTTTCAAAACCAAACTAAATAAAAAAATAAAATTATTAGAAATAATAAAAAAGAATAAAAAAGTAAAAAGAAATAAAAAAATATCACTAATAAATATAATTAAGAAAAGACAATTCACCCCAAAGATGCAATTATTTTTTCAAACGTTAACTGAATAGAGAGAAATAACAAAAATTATTAAAAACAGTAAAAAAGAATAGAAAAATAAAAAAATCTCAAAGTTTCAAATTTTTTTCAAAAGTAAACTAAATAAAATGAAATAAAAAACATTATTTAAAACAATAAAAATAAATAGAAAAATTTTAAAAAATGGAATCATTCCAAAGTTGCAAATGTTTTTCTAAAACAAACTAAATAAAAAAAAATTATTGAAATCAATAGAAAAGGAATAAAAAAATAAAAAAGAATAATAAAATTTTACTAATAAATAATTAAAGAAACTAAAATCATCCTAAAGTTGTGAATTTTTATCGAAGGCAAACTAAATAAAAAGAAATAAAGAAAAATTATTTTAAAAAAATAAAGAAGAATAGAAAATTAAAAAAGAATAAAAAATAAAAAAGAATAAAGAAAAGAAAAAAAAGAATAAATAAACTAAATTCACCCCAAAGATGCAAATATTTTTTTCATTAAGTTAACTGAATAAAGAGAAATAACAAAAATTATTAAAAACAGTAAAAAAAAATAGAAAAGTAAAAAAATATCTATAATAAATAATTAAAAAAAACTAAAATAATCCCAAAGTAACAAATTTTTTTCAAAAGTAAACTAAATAAAAAGAAATAAAAAAAATTATTTAAAACAATAAAAATAAATAGGAAAATTAAAAGGAATGAAAAAATATCACTAATAAATAATTAAAGAAACTAGAATCATCCCAAAGTTGCGAATTTTTTTCAAAAGCAAACTAAATAAAAAAGAAGTAAAAAAAAATTATTAAAAACAATAAAAAAGAATAATAAAATATCACTAATAAATAATTGAAGAAACTAAAATCTTCCCAAAGTTGCGAATTTTTTTCAAAAGCAAACTAAATAAAAAAGAAGTAAAAAAAAATTATTAAAAACAATAAAAAAGAATAATAAAATATCACTAATAAATAATTGAAGAAACTAAAATCTTCCCAAAGTTGCGAATTTTTTTCAAAAGCAAACTAAATAAAAAAGAAGTAAAAAAAAATTATTAAAAACAATAAAAAAGAATAATAAAATATCACTAATAAATAATTGAAGAAACTAAAATCTTCCCAAAGTTGCGAATTTTTTTCAAAAGCAAACTAAATAAAAAAGAAGTAAAAAAAAATTATTAAAAACAATAAAAAAGAATAATAAAATATCACTAATAAATAATTGAAGAAACTAAAATCTTCCCAAAGTTGCGAATTTTTTTCAAAAGCAAACTAAATAAAAAAGAAGTAAAAAAAATTATTTAAAAAAAAATAAAGAAGAATAGAAAATTAAAAAAGAAAAAAGAAGAATAAAAAAACTATAAACAATCTCTTTTTTCTACAGAAAAAAAATGCTCATCAGAAAAAACTCCTCGTACTTTGACGAACAAGTGAGACATCTATAAATAAACTATAAACAAAAATTTGTAAAAAAAAAAAATTAAAATTCTATTTTCCAAAAAAAAAAAAAAAAGAAAAAAACAAACAATAATTTACTTAAAAACATGGAATCCTTATCGCCGGGATTAAGAACTCCAAAAAATATAACACACATGATGAGAGAGGAGCCATTATTTTCATCACTTGAAGAATTACACGAGAAACTAGCTCAACTGTTAGGTAGGCTAATGTGTTGCAAACTATAGTAAAATTAACAAACTGTTGATTTTCAAACAAAATAGGTGGAAAATTTTCTATGCAAATTTACACTTAAAATGTAAATTTAACTCTCCCCACAGGGATTTTATTAGACCCCGAGTATAATTACGCTGGGGCTTTTAAAAAAAAAAAAAAAAAAAATTTATATACATATAATATGCAACCCGTTATACACTTCAGTAGAAATGAAATATTGGCGCTTTCATATTTTATTTTCCTTCTCAAATTCGTTCGCTTTTATTCCCACCTTTCCCACATAATTTATTGCTTTCGTTTATTAAAAAATATAGTCGAAAAAAGTAATTCAACATTAACGGAAATAATAATAATAATAATAATAATAATAATATTATTATTAAAAATAATAATATTAATATTAATAATAATAATAATAATAAAAAGGAAAAAAAGAATAGAAAAGTAGAACAAAACTAACAATAACAAGATTAAAATAGACAACAAGTCTTTTTATAATCGATTTTCTTTTATTTATGTGTTTAAATAAAATATGATTGTTATTATTATTATTATCATCATCATTATCAGAGTATTTAATTGTTAATAATTGTTGTGAAATTTAAAATTTCGCGCGCAATAGTTCGTGTGGTCTCGGCAATAATCGGCAGAAATCGCGAGGTTTCGCGCCTTTTCGTCTTCGCGGACAAAATGGCGTCGTCCATGGAAGCAGTAGAACAAGAACAAGAAGCAAGAAGAAATTTCAACCTGTGCTTGTGACTTGCGTATGACGTCACGCAAATAGCAGTGTTGTGCGGTGGTTATGCATTCTGTTTGAGTTGTTGGCCGCCATAGAAAACGCTAGTGCGTGCAAAATTTCAACGAGTGCGTTTCAAAGTGAATATGTGACAAAGGAAACTCGCGTATGACTCTCCACCTTACTGCTCTGTTGTCGAGAGAAGCATCCTCATCCTGTGTACCTCCTCGTGCAGCCGGCTGCCCTTCACACAGTTAACAAAAAAAAAGAATAAAGAAAATACGAAAAAGCAGCGTGGCTCGCTCAAGGACTACTATATTATAACCCGCCCTACGTGAAAAAAGAAATTCCAAATCTCGTGAAATTCCTTTTTTTAATCTACTTATAGAAAACAAATAATTCCGAAACGCTTCTTTTCTCCTCGCGACGAACACACTTTCGCGTAGTTCGAGATGGCCGGTAAGTAGCAGCTAAACCGGAGCCTAGCCTAGCTGTGGATCTCGAAAGTCTCTAAAAAATTGACGAAAAAGTTCCGCGCGCGCCAGGTGTCACACCAAGTTTTCCTTCTTTTTTTGACCCCTTCGTTTTAATGCCCACAGTTTCTTTTTTTGCTCAAACACATCATAATTCTTTGTAATATTTTATTTGCTTGCCTGAAAATTTTCGACTTCAAACTACTGCGGCATAACGAACCTTGACCTAAATTTATATTACACGGACGTCTATCTTCTATTGGTGTACTTCGTCGCTAAGCTCAGCACTTCCGGATACTCTAATTCCGCATCCTCATCAAAAGGCGCTTCTCGTCTGATAACACTATAATATTATTTAACGTCGTAACGACACAGACGAGAGTGTTACTACTACTTATAGTGCTATAGTGTAATTTCACAACGCCGGATCCAACAACTTATTCTACTCCCCCAATATTTCTCCTCCTCTTTCCAGTTTTTACTTGACCACCTCCGCAAAACCGGGGGCAGATGTACCCTAAGAAACCGTTGGCGGTCTAAAGACACACGATGGATTGCGGCGAAACTTCAAGTAGGCTCCGTTTCATCTTTCACGCAAAATGCATTCTTTACACACACACTATTCTCTTTTCTCTCTCTCTTTTTAAAAATCCTGCTTTATATTCGTTTCTTGCACTCTCTATCTTTATCTCTCTCTCAAATTCTATCTCTCTCTTTTTTTTACTCGTTCACATACTAATTATCAGTACTTACGCAACACTGTTCAAAAGCAAGTATATTCAGGGTTGAATATTCTGTCTGATTAAAAGTAATCACGTGCTCACTACTTCTCTCTCTTTCTATGAATTTTTTTTCAAGTCACACAGAAATGACAAAAACAAATTTATTTTATTTGTTTTCTGGAAAATGTTTTACAAACTGATTTATTAATTCAAAATCTTTATCTTTACAAATTTCTTGACAAATTTGCTATAATTTTATAATTTTCATGATTTTAACGTAAATTGTATCCAATTGTAAATAAATTCTAAATTTAAATTAATTTCATAAAAAATAGTTCATAGGTAGAAATTTTATAGGTAATTTTATTCTTTTTCTATAAATAAGTCTTTGTTTTTGTCATTATAGGTTAAAACTTGCTTTTGAGGTTAGAATGCCAATAATTATTTCTATTTTCTATAAAATTATCCACACTTTCTGATATCGAATAAATTGTTTTTTTTTACTATTTTGACCAAATACTACAAAAATATGTTTTTGAAATTAAAAATTGACAAAAATATTGTCAATATTGTAAATGCTGTAAATATTGCAAATATTATTAACACTGCAAATAATGTCAACGGCAAATATAATTTTCAAAACATGATCTGAATTTCTTTTATTTACAAATAAGATAAATAAATGAATATTGTGATTCATTTTTTTTCAATGCAGATAATTGCAATAATAATAATAATGCAATGTTATTCTAAATATTTATCTACGCTGTTTTGGTATACATTGTACAAACGTACGTCAGATTAACTATAAATTATATCATTTGCAGATAAAATGAATACATGTTTGGCACAATGTCAATAATTTAGAAATTGACGACAAATTCTATTTCTATTTTTCGATGTTAAGTTTGTGCAAAAGTATCTTTTTGCTTTCTCCTTAAATGCATAATCTTACATTACATAACCAATTTCAAAAAAAAAAAAAACCAATTGCTACTGCTTTCTCAAATTCCTATATAGGTTGAAATAAAAATCTTGATTTTGAGGAAAACGGAAAAGTTACGATTTTTATAATTCGAGAAAAAAATTAATTTATCGGCTTATGGAAAAAATTTTCCATTAATTTAAAAATTTTATAGAAACAATCAATAATAAAAAACTAAAATTTAATTAAACCAGCTCATAAAGAGGTAAAAATTTTCCAATTCTCAATAATTTTTGCTTCAAATGATCCAATTAATTAAGATTTTAATTTTTCTTATTATTTTTTGTATTATTATTATTAATTAAATTTTTAATTTGTAATTTTTGTATTTAAATAGAAATAAATTGACACATTTCAAATTTAATCATAAATTATTTAGAAAATCTTTGGAAAAATAAATAAAATAAAATATTTAGAAAATAATTGAAAATTTAATCAATTTGTAAATTTTGTACAAATTATATATTTTTCGAACCTTATAAATATTATAAATTATTTTTAAAATATTTAGAAAAAAATAAAAGAATAAAAATGTTTAGAAAATGTAAGCAATTTGTAAATTTTGCACAATTTATATTTTTTGAAACTTGTAAATTGTAAATTATTTAGAAAATATTTGTATAAAAAATAAATAAAATATTTAGAAAATAATAGAAAATGTAATCAATTTGCACAATTTCAATTTTTTAAAACTTGTAAATTGTAAATTATTTTGAAAATATTTAGAAAATCAATAAAAAAATGAAATATTTAGAAAATAAAAGAGAATTTAATCAATTTACACATTTTGCACAATTTGAATTTTTTTAAATTATTTCTTTAAAAAATTTTAATAAAATCTATTTCATTTTTAATCCATAGGTAATGGCGATATCCAATGGTGTTTCTCTCAAGTAAAGGGAGCCTTGGAAGATGATGTCACTGAAGGTAATTATCGTCTTCATTTATGTAGATTAAACAAACTTGGTAAAAATTTTATCTTATCATTATTTGCACTCCAAAATTAGATCTATACAGTTTTTTTGTAAGTGAATTTAAATATCTTTTTTTTTTTGTTTTTGGAGGTAAAAATGCAAAATCAAACTTTTACTGAATATTTTGCAGAAAGTAAAAATTGTATTTTTCTTTACAGCTGACATTATATCGTGTGTTGAATTTAACCACGATGGCGACCTTCTTGCAACGGGAGACAAGGGTGGCCGAGTAGTTATTTTCCAAAGGGACCCAATTGTAAGTTTTCTAATTTACATTTAAAAAAATAATTTACTGTACTTCAATATTAGAGTATTGAAATTTAATTTTATATTTTAATTTTATTTTCTACTTTTAATTTGAATTTTTACTTATTTAATTTAAATTCTTACTTATTTTAATTTTATTTTTAATTTTCAATTATATCTGAATTTTTTTCAAGAAATTTTCTTCACTATTTACGTTTCTAAAGTGTCGAACGTTTAAATGAACGACCCTATTTTTTTATGTCTTTTAATTTTTATTTTTTATGGAAAAAAATTAATTCCTAACCAAGGAAATTTTTAGTTTTGATTATAATTCTTTTTCGTACAGTAATTTTGAAAAAATATTTAATTAGAAAAAAATTTCTTTTATTTAAACGTTAAAATCTAGGAAACTGGTTATTTCTTGTTTAGTTAATTTTTACTTTGAGAAGAAACACCCACTTGGATAGAATTTATTATCATAGGATTTATTATATTCAATAATTTAAAAAAATATATTTCTTCTAAAGCAAATAAATATTAATTTCTCGAAAAAATAATTTTTATTACCGAAATTTTCACTGTTCCTATATTAGTAAACGATCGATCGAAACGTTTTTAAATTTTATTTCCAGAATAATATTTTAATCCTTATTTAATTGTCACATTTTTCCTCTTCCGGATGAATAAAAATGTCGATTAATAATTATTAAAATAAATAATTCGAATGAAAGAAAACAAATTTAAATAAAATAAATTTGAATTTTCAAAGAAGAAAAAAAGAGAATAGAGAAATGCCTACAAATTATAGGAACGAAAAAAATCGAATCTAACAGAAGGGAAAAAATTACAACAATCAGCAAAAGTTTCTCGTTAAAAATCATTAAATTTCTACAGCTATAGAAATTGGGATTGAGCCAATAATCTTATACCATTGTCTATAATACAAAAGCTATCTTTAGAGTTGTACTCCGAGTTAAGTTCGAAATAAGAAAAATTTATAAACTGTTATTTATCTACAAGTATTGTAGGGTTATCTCTCTCTCTCTAGAATTTCTCATTTGTTTAATCTACTGTTTTACGTTATAACACTCGAATCCTTAGATTTAAGCTGATCAAACACTTTTATCAACTTCTGGCTTCCAATTTAATTATCATTCTAGAGAGGCTTATCAATAAAAATTAGATGAAATTCTTGATATGTAAACATCATTCATTAAATATTTTCTTTAAGGATAAATCATAATAATTGACGAATTTCTTTTCAATCTCAATTTATTCTAATAAAAAAAAATAGAATTCTAAATAAAAGAACAAGAAATGGAACTCGAATAAAATATTAACCAAATAGCACAATATGATTAAATCATTTTGATTATTAAATAGTTTCTAAATAAAAAAAAAATTTTATTTAACTAAAAAAATTCCACTTTAGTTGAAATTATAATTTAATTCCTGTTTCAAAATTTTTCAGAGTAAAAACAGCATCCCTCGGAGAGGTGAATACAACGTGTACAGCACTTTCCAAAGTCATGAGCCTGAATTTGACTATCTAAAGTCATTAGAAATAGAAGAAAAGATAAACAAAATCAGATGGCTAAAGAGGAAAAATCCAGCACATTTTCTGCTTTCTACAAATGACAAGACCATCAAATTATGGAAAGTTTCTGAACGAGACAAAAAAGTCGAGGGCTATAATACTAAGGAGGAAAATGGCTCTATTCGTGATCCTGCCTGCATTACTGCCTTGAGGGTAAACGAAATTTTTTTTCCACTAATTGCAATTACCAAAAATCAAAGGATAAATTTCATTTTTGCAATTTGAATATGCATTTCATATCAATTCAAATGCCTTAAGTATGCGTAAGGTCATCAATTGTTCTCAATTGTCAATTATACACAGCAGTCAATTTGTTCAATTCAAAAAAAAACCTTCGAGAAACAAAAAAACATTTTTTTTAAATCAAAATTTTTTGGTATTGGCGAGACAATTTTATTTTTTTAAATTAAAAAGCAAAGTCGTGAGGGGAATTGTATTTCAAAAATAGTGCAACTTAGGAAAAAAAATAAAGTTGATATGTAATAAAAGTAATTGGAGATGTAGAAGTAAAGAATTTTAAGTTCAACGTATAGAATAGAAATCTCACTCGTAACATAAGGTTAAATATGCGCATCAAATAAGCATAATGTGCTGTCATAAATATCATTCTGCGCTCATAATGTTTTTTTCGAGAGATTTTATATATTTTTTTCTTGATATTCTTTGTGAAAATTTTCTCAAAATTGAAAAAATAGAAAATATACGTCTACATTTCTTTAAAACGTTGTCGAAAGGTGCAATGACTCTTCATTACGAGACTAATATTAATTCTACACGGAAAAAACAAAGTCTGAAACGGTTTATATTTTAAAACCGTCAAAATTATTAAAAACTAGCCTATTTTTTAATTTAAAATTAAGGCTTACATTTAACTTTAGGACTTAAAATTAAACTCTCATGGCTAAGATTCAGTCAAAAATGTTTCTAATGTAAATGATTTTAGTCAAAAGGAGACTGAAAGTGAGATTTATTTTTTACAGTGTAGAGCAATTGAAATAGAATTGAATTGAAGAAAAATTGAAATAGAATTAAAATTGAATAGCAATCGAAATAGAATTGAAGTGAATAGCAATTTAAATAGAATTGAAAAAGAATAGAATTGAATTGAAGAGAATTTGAAATAGAATTGAAAAAAATATCAATTGGAGTAGAATTAAATTGAAGTGAATAGCAATCGGAAACAAAATTGAATTGAATACCAATTGAAATAGAATTGAAATTAGAAAAAGCCGAGATCTTTTAATGAATATAAATTGGAATTTTATTTTGACGATCAATTTCTTTTAGGTACCTTCTATTAAACCAATGGAATTGATGGTCGAGGCATCACCAAGGAGAATATTTGCTAATGCGCACACTTACCATATAAACAGTATAAGCGTCAACAGTGACCAAGAAACATACCTCAGTGCCGACGACCTTAGAATTAATCTTTGGCATCTGGAAATTACTGACCAGAGTTTCAGTATCCTTTTTCAATCAATTAAAATGCTCCGACTTATTTTTTTTTTGTTCACTAAATTGAATTCAAACATTTTGGATTATGTTAAAATTATACTAATTTTACTTTTTTGAAAGAAGACTAAAAATGCTAATTTTCAATTTTGAAAATATCATTTTTTTGTTTTGAATTTTTGAATAACCACAAAAATTTTGTTGTTCCTAAAGTTTTGAACGTACAAATGAACGAAAAGTTAGGGAAAGTAAAATTGGTCATGGAAATCAGGGAAAATTCAGAGAATTTTATCAAAAGTACTGGAAAAATATTAAATTTCTAGAGTTCATAAGAAAATTCTCGATTTTCGTGATTAAAAGCCTTTGAAAATATTAAAAAGATTTATTTTTTTTGTTTACCTTTGAAATCACCACGAATTTTAATACAGAACTTCAAGTTTTTCTATTTCGGTCAATAATTGAACTTTGCAAAGTATGAAATTGAATTTTTTTTTAAAGAAATTAATTATTTAAGAACTATCATGAAATTATTACTTATAAATAATTTAAGGAATAATTTTACTTAAAAAGTCCAAAAATAACTCAATTCTAGAATAATTACGTTTACAATTTTCCTAAATAATTGAATTTCAAAAAGTTTCAAATTGAAACCTTTCGAAAATTTGGATTTTAAATGATTTTAATTTAAAACTCTGAAGAAGTTATAGTTTTCTGAAGAAGTTATAGTTTTCTGAAGAATTTGTTTTGAAATTAGAAATTATGAAAATGAATCTTTAATTAAAAAACTTTCGAATAATCTATTTTCGTAATATTGAATTAAAAATAAGTGAATTTTAGGCGTATTTAAGTAAACTTTCTTTTCTATACAAATAACAATTGAATAATTTGAATTCTCAAAAAACTTTCTGAAAATTATTAAAAATAAATTAATCATAGAAGAATTTTTTTAAAAATTTGAGAAAATAATTGAATATTACAAAAGTTATAGTAGAAATTTCTAGAAATAATCCAAAAAAAAACTATGAATTGAAGTTTTTAAAAAATTTGAACTTTGAATACCTTTAATTAAAAATTTGCAAGATTTTATTGTTCTGAAAGACTTTACTTCAAATTTTTTTGAAATTAGTTAAATTTTTGATTATATTTAATAGAAAAATTTTTGAACAATCGAAATATTGTAAATTTAAATTGTAAACAAGTGGATTTCAATATTATTTTAGGGTGAACTTTTCTTTTTCTTTGAATAATTAAATTTTCAATCAACTTTCTAAAAAAATTATTAAAAAATATTTTATTTTGAGAATAATTTCAGTTAAAAGTTCTAGAAAGTAATTGAATTGAAATATTGAAATTAAATTTGAACAATTTACAGGAGCAATTTTATAGAAAAATAATAATTTTTAAATATTTATCTACAAAAATGTAATCATCAAATACTTTGACAATTTTTAAAGATATTCAGAAATAATTGTATTAGAAACAGTTTTTTAAATATAATAATTTTTAAAGTGAATCTGAATATTTTTTTCGATTCAGAGAAAAAGTCAAAATTCTTTCTGAAAATCAGGGAAAAACAAAATCAATAATTTTTGTGGCAACCCGGAAATTTAAATCAAATATAAAATAATTTTAATCAAATAGAAATTAAAAGTAGTGACAAAAATACCTGTGTTCATTTGAACGTCCAAAACTTTACGGAATTTTTTAGTCTTAAATAACCGATAAAAAAGAACCAGATTCAATCGAATTATAAATGAATTAATTATTAATTTTAATTGTTTTTGAAACAATTGATAATTTTTTACATTCTCATCGCCATGCCAGTGGGAAGAAATATAAATATAAACTTCGAATTTTGGATTATATTATTTAAGTACTTTGAGGAATATTGCTATACTTTTCCTAACCCCTTGATACAGATATCGTAGATATTAAGCCGACGAATATGGAGGAACTTACGGAAGTCATAACAGCTGCTGAATTTCACCCAGTTGAATGCAACCTTCTAGTTTATAGTAGTAGTAAGGGTACAATCCGCTTGTGTGATATGAGATCAGCAGCTCTTTGTGATCGTCACAGTAAGTTATTCGAGGAACCAGAGGACCCGACTAATAGGAGCTTTTTCTCAGAGATAATTTCGAGTATAAGTGACGTTAAACTCAGTAACTCCGGCCGTTACATGATTAGTAGAGATTACCTGAGTGTTAAAGTATGGGACTTGCACATGGAAACAAGGCCCATCGAATGTTATCCCGTAAGTTTTCTCAATAATATCAATTACATTAATACCTCTATTTTAATTACCAAACAAATTTAATTAGCCATCTTAATACTAATTGCAAAAAAGAAATTCATTTTTCTAATTTTATTTAATTTTTGAAAATTTAGAGTTTAAAATCAAATTCTTAGTTTTGCGATTTTAATGAAAGTCACAATCTTAACAAGCATTTGATTAAAATGCTCTTTAGTGAACTTCACAACACTTATAATCAACAATATTGATGGAAAAAAATATTTTTTGCGCAAAAAACAATACAATTTTTATTCACAAACTTAATTTTAATTTATTGATCAAAATAATTACGTGGAAAACTTTTAATCAAAAATTTTAATAGAACATTTTAACTTTTTTCCAAACTGTTGATTATAAAGGTTGTGAACTTTACGAACTTGAAATGCCACTTTGAAACTGAAACTCTTTGTTCGTTGAGAAATTGGAATAAGAAGAAACTCTTTTCACAGGTTCACGAATACTTGAGATCGAAATTGTGCTCATTGTATGAAAATGATTGTATTTTTGATAAATTCGAGTGCTGTTGGAGTGGTAACGATTCTGCTATTATGACTGGTTCTTATAATAATTTCTTCCGAGTTTTTGATCGTACCACTAAACGAGATCTTACTTTGGAAGCGGCGCGTGACATCGCAAAGCCTAAAACACTTCTGAAGCCACGAAAGGTTGGTAGAATTTTTCGAAACACTTATCAATATTTACAGAAACTAACAAATTAAAAAACTAAAAAAAAGGAAACTAGAAAGAAGCCTAAAAACGCTGGAAAAAACTAAAAAAAACTTATTTAATAATGAAACACTTTTTTCAAGGTCTGCACTGGTGGTAAACGAAAGAAGGACGAGATCAGCGTGGACTGCCTCGATTTTAATAAGAAAATTTTGCACACTGCGTGGCATCCTTCCGAAAATGTGGTTGCTGTTGCGGCTACTAATAATCTATTTCTATTCCAAGATAAGCTTTAGCACATCTGTATGCAGGTTGGTCTTATCTTTAACTGTTTACTCGATCTACTCGAAAAAAAGTATTGCTACTTTTTTTTATTGTAAAAAATTATATGCTTCTTGGAATAAAATTTTTAAACATACTTTTTATAATGAATCTAAAACAATTAGTTTTTATTTAAATCAATTTTTCATATGCCTCTTAAATAATAGTAATAAATATATATTAGTTAATATTACATTAAATTATAAATCTCTCGCTCATTTCTTAAAGAACAAATAAATAATAAATCTCTTCAAATTGAAATAAATTTAAAAGAACAATAAATAAAATTTGAATAAAATTTTTAAACCTTATTTTGAAAATAAATTCTTAAAAAAAGTCACGTACGACAGTTTATGATATTGAAAATATTTCAGAATTATGTAATTCTCAAATAATTAGTAAAAACAAATAATATGAAAACAAAGAAGAATATGAAAAAGTATTTTATCAACATTAAGGATACTTAATTATCGAATTTTAATAATTTTTATTCTGAGTAAATTTTTTCGAAAATAACATTTTCAACTTTTTTATTATCTTATTCAAATTTTTCTCTTTCTGAAGGTTTTAAATTTCATCCACATGTGACTTTATTTCAAACAAAAGATTTTAATGAAATGAAAAAATATCTACATTTTGAAAAAAAAATCCTTTGTAATTTTAAATTATTACGAACTTTTTAATGATCCACAAGTTTTGAACGTTCAAATAAGCGAAATATTTTGTTATAAAAAACATTTTCAGAAAGTAAGTAGGTACTGATTGCAAGAAAAGTTAAAAACTTGAATTCTACATTAAAAGGGTTGCCACAAATTCAGGGAAATGAGGGAAAATGAAATTGGTCAGGAATATCTAGGAAATGTCAGGGAATTTTATCAAAAGTACTAGAAAAATGCCAAATTACACGTTAGTGAAATTCACAACGTTTATAATCAACGATTAATAAAAAAAAAAATGTTTTTTACATGGAAAATAGTAAAATTTTCCTTTTTATAATTTTTGTTTAGTAATTGATAAAAAAAAATATTTTCAATGGAAAAATTATAAAAATTTGCCTAAAAAACATTTTTTTTTTTGCTAATTCGTTGATCATAAATGCTGTGAATTTCAACAATGTGAATTATTTACTATAAAAATTCTAATTTTTGGTGTTGACAAAAATATTTTTGAATAACTTAAAATCCTTCAAATCTACTCGAATTTTTTTTCAGTTTAAAAACTTTTGAATCAGAATGAATTTTAAAATAATTTTATTTCTGTAAATATTTAAATTTAAATTAAATAATTAAATTCTAGAATAAATTTTTAAAAATTCTAAATTATAATTATTTTAGAAAAGATTTTAGTGATAAAAAAAAGTTGCAATTTTCGGAAATGATTCAATTTCAGAAGGATTTAAACTCAATTTTTCAAAAATTTAAATTGATGTGAAAAAAATTAACAATAATTAAATATTTATTTAAAAAATTATTTAAGTTCTCAATAATTTTAAATAAAATTCTGAAAAAATTAAGTTTCTGAGAAATTTGAAAAAGATTTAAATAAAGTTTTGAAAATGTTTTAAAAGTTTTATTTGAACTTTGGAAAAATTAGCTTTTTAAAATATTTCAATTCTATTTTTAAAGATAATTAAATCTTTATAAAAAAAGTACTCAAAAATTTTTGAAATTGAAATTTTCTAAAATCCTACCAGAAATAATTGAATTTCTTAAGAATTTTATTGAAATTTATGAAAAATAATCGACAGAATTTTGTAATTAATTTTATTTTTAAAATAACTAGACAATCTTAAAGTTTTTGAAACCAAATTTTCTGAAAATTATCTTCCTTGAAAAAAATTCAAGAGGAATGCAATTGAATTACTTTTGAATTTTTTTTAAGTGTCAGGGAAGAAGTCAAAATCAAGGGGAAAAAATAAAATAATTGTGGTAACCCTAATTTAGAAGCTTTATAATTAATTTCTTTTGTTTTGTATAGTGACACAAAAATTTTGTAATAAAATTTGAAGAAGAAATAAATAAATTTCGTTCATTTGAACCTTCAGAACTTTAGAAACATATTTTTTAAATAATTTATTCGCTCATTGCATAAACTAATATATAAGTCAAAATTTTTCCTCGACATTTCTTTTTTTTAACTGAAAATGTTCTTGAATTTAAAAAAAACGTTTGCAATAAAAAGAAATTTCTTTAGAAAGAAAATACTATTTTATATACTATAAGAAAATATTATTTTTTGCAACAATTGACTCAATTCAAGAAAAAATAGTAGTTAATTCTAAAGCAATGCAATAAAATTGCCATTATGCTTTTTCTAATCCCAATTATCCATTTAGAAATAGAAATAAAAAAAGGAAATTACTTTTACAGATAGTACAACGGTATATATTGACGTAAGCGTGGCACGCAAAAGCCACAAGCTTCGGATGGAGCAACGAGTGTTATAGTATGATTGATAATGGACGAAAGACAACAACAGTGTGTACTCCAAAATAAAAAAAAAAATAAAAAAATGTTGACGGACTGAAAGAAACGAGAAAATGTAGAGAGCGTCCTGTCTGAGAAACAACACTTCATCCCTCATCAAATATTCGCGTCTACTCGAAAATATTCACAACCATGCTCGCACAGAAAAAAAACAATTTACCGCGTGAATACTTGTACATAAAAAAGAATGCATACAAATCCGAATACATCATAAGATTCTAAAAAAGAAAATTGAGTCTGATAGCTCAAACTAATTGTATCGAGACACTAAAACAACAACAACAACAACAACGCGTGATATTTCCAGGGAATTATTTCCCTGATTAATTCAACAAAAATTGTCTCATGTTTGCAAAATCGTCAAATCTATAATTGATTTTAAATCGCGATATCATTTATTGTTCCATTATGATCGCAAATTTTTCAACAAACTAATAATTAATATTGAATATTTGGCAAATTTGTACTCGAGATTTTTCTAATGCAAACATTTATCGTACACACGAGTTCTCGTCGGTGAAACTTTCCATATTTGCATATTAAAGTAAAGAAGAAAATAAAAATTTTTTCAGTAAAGCAAAACAACAACAACAAAAGTAAATAATACATATAAAAAAAAGAAGTGTTAAAAATAATCTTGTAATTAATTCGATATAGAAAATCATAAATTGACTGATTGAACGTTTATATTTGCGAAAGTTACACACAGCCGCCTAATTCAAGTTAAGAACGAAAATGCTACAATCAAAATCGCTTAAATTATTATACAGAAAATAAAGAGAGAAAAAAAATAGCTATGACTTACGAAAGACAAATTTAAAAAAAATAGTTTTTTCCTTGTTTCAATAAAATATTTAATGAGAAAAAAAATTGTTCTTGTATAACGCAATATTTAATGTCACACAAGCCATTATCATTTCATTTAGAAAGAGATATAAAGTGAATTTTATTTTCTGTAGATTAATTAACTTCCTTTTCATGCGAGTCTGATTCATGTACAACGTTTTATTGGTCAGAGTTTCAGACAATTTTTTTATTTTCTTTCTTTTAAATTTCGAATTTATTACAATATACAAGGCCTACAATTTTATTTTTATTTTTATAATAAAAATTTACCTCTACAAATAAAATATTAACCGAGCCGTTTTCTATGGAAGAATTTTTCGAGAAATGTTCAATGAATAATAATTGTTAATTTTCTTTTTTTTTTAAATTTCTTTCGCATGTCATTAAAAAAAGCATTCATTGGATTTATATTTTATTTCTTTTTGCAACGCATAATCCTTGTATAAATTTAAATCAATTTTTTTTAGACTTATCATTAATGCGAAGCTGGACTTGCGTAATAATGTAGTACTGCATTGAAAAAAAAAATAATTCAAATATGCAATTTAGAAATTTTTAATTGAGTACATATTATATACAATTAATGAAATTGAAAATATTATAATCATTTTTGTAATTTATTTACGATTGTCTAGAATAATTTTTATTTCATCAATTATATTAATGAAAAATTACCTGTGATTTTCATTTTCCGAAAACGAAAATTCTCATTGAATGTTTCTTGCAAACTGAAATTTAATTTTGAGGCAAAGAAAAGAAAGAGGAAAAAATAGACAAGAGCTCAATTTGCAAAATGAAACTTATAAAAAAAGAAATGAACAAATTTTATAATAAATCGACATCAGTTGTAATATTTCTTTTCTTTTATTATTCATCACACCTTTTATGTAGTTAGAAATTTACGACCCGAATTTATTACTAAAATTTTTTCCATTTATTTGTTTTATTGATTTTTTATTTTTCAATTTCAATTTTTTATTGGATTATATTAAAATTTAATTTTTTATCTATCTACTAAATAAAAAATATATGAATGGAAAATAATTATGAAAAATAACTAATTGACAAATTTTTAAGTAAATTTTTTGCTGTTAAAAAATTTTTAGGGTCAATTTTTTTTATTTCCGAAATTCTAATTTAATTTCTAATTTATTTTCAAATCTAATTATTTTTTCTATTCTTTAAAAAGTATTTTCCATAAATTCCAGTAAATGAAAAATAATTTAACATTTAAGAAAATAATTAAATAGAAATTTGCTATTAAATTCAGAAATTAAAATTTGTTTCCTACATTTTTTTAAAAAAGGCTAATAATAATTTTTAAAAAAAAAGAATAATCGCATTTTTTCGCAACGACTGAAAATATTTAGAGTGAAAACGACTCTTGTTAACAAGACATTTGTATTGGTGAAAAATTGTTGCTATCCTTGTATAATAATGTAGTCGAATAGTAATCGAATCATAAAACACAAGTGTATTTTATAATATACAAGCGTGTATTTTCTCACAATGAATGACACGGAATTTTTTTTTCTATAAAAACGAATAAACTTTCATATCAGAGATATCATTTAAAATTTTCAATTAATTGTCGTTTATCAATTTCTTTTTGCAAGAATTATTAGAAAAAGCAATTAATAATAAATAATCAGTAATTAATTAGTAGAATATAAATTGTATTTAAGAACCAAAATAGTAAAAAAAGAACAAAAATTCTAAAAAAAAATCTTTATCGAAAATATCAAATTAAAAAACATTTTTTTCCAATCAAAAATATTGTCAAGTACTCTAAAATAATTATTTTACGATTAATAATTATTTAAATTGAATAAGAGCGCTTATTATTTATGTAAAATTTACTTAAATAAAATAAATTTATTGAAAATAAATTTATTTAAGGAATAAAAATAAATTTGTTTAAACAAAAAAAATAAACTTCTTCAAAAAAATAAATTTATTTAAACAAAATACGAAGTATTTAAATAAAAAGAATTAATAATTACCCAACGAAAATAATAAATGAATACACTGATATGAATAATATTAGTCTGAAAATCTGTCCTATTGTGATAAGAGAAACTTAGACGAAGTTGTATTTTTATTGACTTTATACGACGTAGAACGCCTTATAGATTACATATTTTTAAAAAGAAATAAATCTTCCTCAAAACTGCGATGCACGATAAATGCTTTTAAACATTCATAAAAAAAGAAATAATAATAATTAACGACCGTTGAAATTTTATTCTAAATGCAAAAATACTGTAACTTCTTCGGCGAACTTCAGCTAATATAATTTTCAATTGTTGACACAATTGAGTTTTTATATTTATTTTTCATTTTAAGAACAAAAAAAAAAAAAAAAAAAACAGAAAAAGAAAAGATAGAAAGTCGTTGGCGCATTTATAATTCAACTTTTTACCAATAATTGTTCGTTATAAGAATTGTGCCATAGCATAATGTATAGAATCAATTCAATCTAATTTATCAATTTTAATTTAAAAATAAAATGGAGCAAAAAAAATGTTTTCAAAAAAAAAAAATAAATAAATAAAAATAAACTAAAAATTTAATAAGAATTAAATAAAAATATATTCGCTTAGAAAATAAGGTATTTCGAATATTTGTGAATATTTCGATTTCAATTCGATTCAAAAAATTTCAATATTGTAAATAAATTTAGAAATTTTCCTTGTGAATTTCTCTGGAAACAAAACTGAATTAATTTTTTTTAGTTTTTAATCAGATTATTACACTTAGAAAAAAATTTGATTCCAAAAAATCAGGAAAATGACTATTTATCACAAAGAAGAATTTCTTGGATCTAAAATTGTTTTTCGATACAATTTTTTGGTACAAAAAATGTTTTAAAACTTAAAAATGAATTTTCCTTTAATAAAAAAAAAATATTTCCTTAGACCGCACAAATTTTTTTGGATTTAAATAATTAGAGAGATCAAAATTTAAATAGAGAAAATTTTTTTTTCTATTTGAATTAGAGAAATTTAAATTTAAATAGAGAGAAAATTTTTTTATCTCGATATTTTGAAATAAAAACCAAATAATTGAATAACCAAATACAAATACAAATGAATTTTTTTTTCTAAATAAAAACCAAACGATAAGAATACAAAAATTAATAAAACATTTTTTGCTCCATATTTATTTAGGATTTTATTTTATATATTAAGAATAATAATAATAATAAAATAATAATAATGTAAATGTAAAAAAAAATCGGACACATGCATTCATTCTGCTTAAAAATGTACTTTAGAGGGGGGGTCAAAAAATATAATTTGAAGGACAGCTATTAATAAAGAAGTGACAGATCCGATTTATTTTTGTATTTAATTTTTTAAGCAGATTGAGCATTTAGATCATATAGTGGCAGTATTAGATTCTTATATAAATTATCGGGGGTAGGAGATGCAAATGATGGTATTTTTGAGAAACTTGTAAAAAAAAAAAAAAAAAATATGTCAAAGAAGCCAGTTTATTCAATGAAGCAGAAATAAACCTCGGCAGATAATTAGGTTTTGTATGTAGTTAATAAAAATAATAGTTTAGTTTAAAATATTAAAAAAGAAGAAGTAAGTTTTGAAATTAAGTAGGTAATTATGTTTTTTGCAAATTGTTTTTGCCCTCGTATTTCCGATAAATGTCGAGAAAAAAAGAGGAAAAAAAACAACTATAATAATATTATTCACAGTGGACAAATATGGAAACATTTTGCTCATTTGGAAAATATACACTTAATTTCCATTTTTGTCGGAACATTTCAATGAAAATTAAAGGTATTCTCTGAGTCTTGCGTCACAAAGTTGATAATTCAAATTAATTCGAATTATTTTCAAAAAAAATAATTTTTCCCCACGAATATTTTGACAGTTTACCACTAAATTTTGCCAGTAAACTGATTCAATTACATTTAGAGAAAAAGAATAAAGAAACTTATTTTGAAAAAAAAACGTTTGTTTTGAAAAAAACAGACAATTTTCCAAAAAAAAAATAATAAAATAAAAAATTTGATTTAATAAAAAAAATTTTAGTTCTACAAAAACTGTCAGCAAATTTCTTTTCTGACAGCAACAATATTAAACCAGGAGAAACCTAAATAGACTAATTGAGAAATGAAAAAGACAATTATTATATTGTAATATAAAGGAAGAGCTAACGATTTGGCTTAATGTGCGTGAAAAAAAGGCAAAGATGTGTACGACCATGAATGGAAAACATTTTGTCAAGATAGTACAGCTTCTAAACTTTAAGAAAACGAAAATAAAAATCGATTACAATTTTTGAAATCATTTTTTTTTTCGAAGAATCTCTCGGCTTCTTTATATTTTCTATTTATATAGAGAAGTTGACAAAAAATGAATAAAACTGAAAATAGCGTAAACAACAGAATTTCTCAATTGTGTTTCAAAAACACAGGAAGACGTTAAGAATCTCAATTTAGAGAAGATAAATAATTTCTTACAGAGTGAAATAAATTTTTTCGTTGTACACATCAGCCGTGTATGTGTGTGTGAGAGAAAAATACTTATAAATAATTGTAACGTTAACGATGAAATTATGAATTTGCATAATAAAACACCATACCAAACCTAATATTTTTTTCCGATAATAATTTTGAATTTTGCCTTTTAATTTAAAAAAAAACGATTTTTATGTTGAATAATTCAAGTTAGAAATTATTTTTAGTCGAAAAATTATGGGAATTTATTCGACAAAATTATTTTTGTTTTTTATGTTCTTATTTTAATTAATAAAATAAATAAAATAAAAATAATAAAAAAAAATAAGTAGAAAAATTTCACAGTGACAAAGTAAATAGGTCATTATTGATAACTGAATGTTAATCATTAAATTATTAATAGACATACGAATATAACTAATTTTCAAACGAATTTAATTAAAAAAAATTATAGTAAGGCATTTGTTTGAAATATATTTTTAAAATCTAAACATAAAATTTTTTATTCCAAAATAATAAATTTTGAATTATGCGTAATTATTAAAACTTTAAACAATTAATTAATATCTATCAAAATATGATTTAAAATTCAAAAATTCCAACTCATGTTTTTTTCTTTTTAAATCCTAAATTACGCCAATAATTTAGTTTGTTGTTAAAAAATTATTAGAAATAGTTTTAAAAATTTATTACTTTGATTTTGATTAATGCAAAAATTAATTATCTCCATTTGCCAAGAAAAATCAATATCTAATCGAAAATAAATATTTTCCTTTGTTTATTAAATGAATAAAACATTATTAATTAAATTAATTATTTAAGAAGTAAATATTACTATTATTTGAATTTTAAGTTCGATTAGTTTAATTAACAGTCACTGAGAAATTTTCCAAAATATTACATCCTGTTTTAGACCATTTTCAAAATACAGGAGGGACTTACAGATTGATGACAGGTTGAGAATGACAGATGTCAGCAAAATCCTCCGTTGGAGCAAATTTTCATCAAGATCCTCTGCTGAACCAATTCCTCTTTTGCAAATACGGAATCCAGAAGTCTTAGATCACTTTTTATCACTTTTTTTTCACCACACTCAATGTTTCCAAATTCCAGGATTAATCTAAAAAAAAAGTACAGAAAAATAAACGTAATTTGTAACTATTTTTAATATTTATTTACATTTTAAAATAAAAACTAGTTATTTCTAAAAAAAATTTTTTGAAATTGAAAAATATTTTTAAACAAATTAAAATCAATTTGTTTTTAAAACAAATTAAAATCAATTTGTTTTTAAAACAAATTAAAATCAATTTGTTTTTAAAACAAATTTAAAGCAATATTTTTAAAATAAATTACAAAACAATTTGTTTTTATACTACTTTTTATCACTGATCATATTAAATCAGAGCAAAAAATTATTTTATTTGCGATTTATTCCAAAGTTTTTAATAAATTTTATACGCTAGGAAATTGTAATTATTTACTTTCTTTATGCAAATAAATCAATAATTTCTCATTGAAAATACTGGATTATTATTCCATTTTGAATGAAAGAAGGAAAATTTGTTTCAAGTTATTAACAATTATATGTAAATCATATAAATAAAATGTATAAAACTGAAATTTTACGGAAATAATAGCAATAATAGTAAAAGTTGTAAACGTACAGTAAATAAAAATTTTTAGGTTATGTTGATCACAAAAATTCTTTTCCAAACACAAAAATTGCATAATGATGAGATTTTTAGTATTATATGGCACTTTTACCAGATTTTTTCAATTTTTCATCAGATGCATTAAAATATCCATGAAATATACCTAATATTTACATATTTGATTCGAAAAAAATGTAAATACTCCAAAATAATACACCGGGTTTGGCGGCAATTTTTCGTGAATATTTTTAGCATTTTAGTAAAAGTTATTCGAAACAAAAACTGTACATAATATAAAAATAGAGAATTTATAATAAATAAACAAAAATTTATAGAGAAAATAAACAAATTTTTACCACTTTTCTTGTTAAAATACTCCGGAGAACGAAAAACAAATGCCAACGATTGTTACACATGAACATAAACTTGTTCTGACTTGCACTGCGCCGTGATTGGCTAATACAAAAGTGCAATTTGAACCTTATCAATTTTTCATTATTGTCGCAAAAAACTCTAAATAAATGTTTCCTAAGGTTTAATTTACTGATTTTCTATGATTTTAGCACGATTCTAATGAATATTAATGTATTAATTATCGTTAGTTGATGGAAGTAGGGTTGTGAAGTTTCATGAAACTTTGGAAAATGAAATGTTTCATGAAAGTTTCATTGCTTCATGAAACATTTCAAAGTTTCAAGTTTTAAGCGGGAAATTTCAAATTCAATGCAAGAAAGTATAATAATTAACGCATATTTTGTTGTCAAAAACATGAAGTATTATTACTTACTTTAATATCTTTCTTTAATTTTTATAAATAAAATAAATAATTAAAAAATATATTAATAATTTAATTTTAAGTCACTCGTTAGAGGTAATATTTCAGGTAATTTTTAGTTAATATTAACATAACTACTCTCGTGTTTTCGGATGTAAACAAAAAATTTTCATTAAATTGTTTCGAACTAACCTAAAATTTCTAGAGATTATCTAACCTAAACTGACAACTGCGCATGTGCAAATAAAGCTTAATTATTGGTTCTTCAATGTTTCATGAAATTAATGAAACTTTCGCTTATGAAACATTGAAACTTTCAAATGAAAGTTTCATTGTTTCAATGAAACGTTTCATCACTCACAACCCTACCATGATGGAAGCATGTAACCTAACCTCAAATACGAGAGAAAATTTTGACACGAAAATAAAAGACTTATTTAAAGATAGTTAATAAAAATTTTATACTAATTTGAAAGAATATATTTAATACTTGAGAATTATTATGATTAATTAATAGTAAATCACGAGATTTATAGTTGAAAATAATGAAAAATATAGGAGGTTACGCGAGAAGTTGTTCTCTAGGAAAGTTCACATACAAAATGGCGGCTCTTCATGAGAGCTGCTTCCTGATTGGCTGAGAAACTGAATACAAAATTTAGCGGGAATTCAAATTGTATACGATTTAATCGTTTTTTACTTTATTACAAAGTGCATCAAGAAAATTCGTGTATTTTTATTAAAACCATAATAATATTGTAAGAAATGGGAAAATTAATTAGAGTATTTTGTAACAAGAAAATAAGAAAAATAGTCTTGATGAAAAATTTTCAATTTAAAATTACTGGTAAAATTTAAATAACCAATCAAAATCTCTCTTCCAAACATGCGCACTTAAATTTGTTTTTGTTTTGATCTTGCAATTCGTGCATAACCTACAATTCTGTGACGCAAAAAGATAAGAGAACTCGTGATTTGTAAACAAAGTGTGCAAAAAATTTTTAAATTATTAATTTTTTTTTACAATTAGAAAAGTTTTTTACATTTATATTATGAAAATATATATTTTATTTTAAGACAAATTTGACGGGAATAATTATTTTATAAAGTGAAAATGGTTTGGTTCGTTACTTTCGAAAACAAGAAAGATGTCAATCTTCCTCCCGAGGCAATTTCAAGGAGACTTTCCTTCGGAAAAGGAAAAAGGATAAGTAAGTTATTAGAATTCCAGAGAAACCTAAATACTTTAAGGTTTAAAATATTTCTTAATAATGTAAAGATTTCTTTTGCCATTAAAATTTAAGTTTCTCTGCAATGCAATTATTCTCAAATTGTTTATATCTTTCAGGTTTGTTTCCGTATTTTTTCATTGCCTGTTTGGCTGTTTTTTACGTTGCCTGTTTATCTGCACTGTTTTTTAAACAAATAACAACTTGGTTGGTATATGAATTAAATTCAAATTCTACTGACATTGTTATATTAGGACCAGAGGTATCTTTTTTGAATACAACTTCCACTTTTTATCTATCATTTACAATTGATGCTTGGTTATTCCGAAAAATGAGTAATTTACCAATTACAAATAAAAAATTAATCAAGCTAACTCGACAATTAAGTCCCGCTTATGTGAGATACGGTGGCACTTCGGCCGATTGTCTTTATTTCAATGAGGTAAGTAATTTCAGATTTTTGTTAATTTTGTCAAAAATTTCGTATACTTTTAGTTTTTGAAATTTAACAATATGTTTTTGCAAACTTTAAACTTGGTATTTTTAATTTTTGAAATTAGACATTTTTTTTGCAGACTTTAAACACTGAGGAAACAATATTGAAATCAATAAATGGTGAAGATATTAGCAAATTTACGATCTCAGAAAAAGATTTTCATTCTCTTTATGAATTTTCGAAAATGGCAAATTTAAGGATGATTTTTGACCTGAATGCTTTAATTCGTAATCCGGACGGTAGTTGGAATGATTCTAATGCTAAGAAAATTATTCAATTCGCTAGAAAATCGAAAATGAATATAGACTGGGAATTGGGAAATGGTCGAGTATTTTTTTTATCAAAAAATATTTGTAAATAATTGAATTCCTTCGAAGAATTTTTTATTTATAAAACTAATTAAATCCTTGCGAAAAATTTTATTAAATTTTTTAAAAATCTTAATTAAATTCTTTAATAATAAATCTTTTAATAATTTTAATTGAAAATTTTGAACGTTATTAAATTTTATGTAGAATTTCTTTCAAGTTTTTAAAATAATCGTGTTTGTAGAATTAAATTCCTCCGAAAAATTGTATAACTTTAGAAAATAATTTAATTGTTGCGACGAATTTTATTAAAAATTTTGCAAATACTTGAAATGTTTCCAAGAATTTAATTAAATTAAAAAAATAGGTATATTTAAATTTTTTCAAGAAATTTAATTAAAAATAACTAAATAATAATAAGCAAAATTTGTCGATAATTTAAAAAAATAATTGAATTCTTTGCAGAAATTTAATTAAAATTATATTGAAAATATGAAAATAATTAAATTCTTGCGAAGAATATTATTCAATTTTTTTCTAAAAATAATTGAATTTTTTGCAGATTTTTATTAAAAGAAAAAAATTGTTCCGAAAAATTTTTTAAAAATATTTAAATTCTTTCCAGTAATTTAATAATTCAATAAATTAAGAATTTAAAAAATAATTGAATTCTTTTAATAAATTATATTAAAATTTTAAAAAATAATTGAATTCTGGCAAGAAATTTTATTAGAATTTTTAAAAATAATTGAATTCTGTCAAAAAATTTAATTAAAAGTTAATTGATAATAATTCAATTCTAATAAAGAAAGTCTTATTAAAATTTTTAAAATTGAATTCTTTGGAGAAATTTAATTAAAATTATATTGAAAATATGAAAATAATTAAATTCTTGCGAAGAATATTATTCAATTTTTTTCTAAAAATAATTGAATTTTTTGCAGATTTTTATTAAAAGAAAAAAATTGTTCCGAAAAATTTTTTAAAAATATTTAAATTCTTTCCAGTAATTTAATAATTCAATAAATTAAGAATTTAAAAAATAATTGAATTCTTTTAATAAATTATATTAAAATTTTAAAAAATAATTGAATTCTGGCAAGAAATTTTATTAGAATTTTTAAAAATAATTGAATTCTGTCAAAAAATTTAATTAAAAATAAATTGATAATAATTCAATTCTAATAAAGAAAGTCTTATTAAAATTTTTGAAATTGAATTCTTTGGAGAAATTTAATTAAAATTATATTGAAAATATGAAAATAATTTAATTTAATTTAATTTAATAATTCAATAAATAGTTGAATTCTTTTAAGAAATTTTATTAAAATTTTTAAGAATAATTGAATTTTATCCAGAAATTTAATTAAAAATGAATTGATAATAATTCAATTTTAATAAAGAAAATTTTATTAAAATTTTCTTAAATAATTGAATTTCTGAGTAAAATTGTTTTAATACTTTTTAAAATAATTGAATTCTTCCGAGAAATTCTAAAAAAAAATTGTATTGAAAATAATTGTATTCCTGCGCAGAGTTTCATTATTTATTTTAAATAATTGAATTCTTGTGATGAATTTTATTAAAATTTTATTGAAAATAATTGTATTCCTCCGAAGTGTTTAATTATTTATTTAAATAATTGAATTCTTGCAATAAATTTTATTGAAATTGTATGAAAAGAATTGAATTCTTCTGAAAATTTTTATTATTTATGAAAATAACTTAATTGTTGCGAAGAATTTTACTATTTATAAAAATAATTGATTTGCTTCGAAGAATCTATTAAAATGTGAGAAAATAATTGAATTCTTTCAAAGAATTTTATTAAAATTTTTGATAATAAACAATAATAATTAATTATTTACTTAATAATTGAATTTTTTAAATTTTGAATCTGAAATTATTTAAAAATTAAATATTAATCGAATAGTTTTTCATTTTCAGAGCCACCAAATTTTCCATTATTATTTAATACAACAATTTCAGCCGAACAATTGGCAAAAGATTATTGTCATCTAAGATCATTATTAAATTCTCAAGATTACAAAAACAGTATTTTAGTCGGTCCTGAAGTTAATCAAGTCGGTGGACCTCATTTCAATGGAGAAAATTATACAAGAATATTTCTAGAAAATTCCAAACAAAGTACAAATTATGTTACTTGGCATCAGTATTATTTAAGAGGCGAGGACGCAAAAGTAAAGGATTTTTTAAATGTCACAACATTCAATTATTTACCCTATTTAGTCAAATCTATGCAATCTGCTATTGACAATTCAGGAAATAAAATTCCAATGTGGCTATGTAAGTAAAATAAGCAATTTTTAATTTAATTTAATGACAAATGAAAAATAATTTAGTAATTTTTCTAAACACAACAAAATTATGTATAATTAATAATTTCTAATTTTTTTTTCCTTTGCAGCTGAAACAAGTTCCGCTTTCGATAGAGGTGCACCGGGAATTTCTGATCGATTTATCGCAGGATTTTTATGGTTAGATAAATTGGGCTACTGTGCAAAAGCAGGAATAAAAGTGATAATCAGACAAACACTTTACGGTGGGAATTATGCAATGATCTCAGAAAATTTAACACCAAATCCCGATTGGTGGATTAGTCTAATTTATAAGACTTTTGTTTCCAATAAAATTTTGGAAATTTCAACAGAAAATAATTTTGGAGCAACACGACTCTATGCTCAATGTTCGCCGGAGAATTTTTCTCCCAACAGTGTCACAATTTTTGGTGTTAATGTTAAGGAAAATTCCACAAGAATTTCGTTAGAAGATATTTCAATATTTTCTAAAAGTAAAATATCTCTGTATATACTCACAGCTGACAATTTACTGTCTAGGTAAAAAATACTCTTTTCTTTGTTTCAATAGTTTTATTTTTAAATTGTAGTAATAGTTTTGATATATTTTCATTTTTGACAAAAATTTAATTGCAGGTCAATTAAAATGAATGGCAGGGTGTTGGGATTATTGCCAAATGGCGATTTGCCTCTGTTTACGCCAATACTTCTCAAAGATAATGAGAAAATTATCACAATGCCAGCGTATTCAATGATTTTTATTATTATTCACAATGTAAGTATTCCAATTTGTTGGTAAATAAAAAGATTTCTACTCAATTACCTGGTTCATCTATTTTTTCTCACTGTGACAATTTATGCCACAGGTCAGGAAATTTAGGGAAAAGTCAGGGAAAGAAGAATTGCTCAGAAAAATTGGGGAAAAGTAAAGGATTTTAAAAATTAATTATTAAAAATAATGGATTTAAAGAAGAATTTTTGGTTAAAAATACAAAATAAAATTGAATTTTGAAGAAGATACAAATTATTGCAGAAATTCAATTATTTTTAAAAGCAATCAAATTCTTCGCAGAAATTCAATTATTTAAAATTTTTTTTTTAAATTCTCGTCAAAATTTCAATTGTCTTTATAAATAATAAAATTCTTCTCCAAAATTCAATTATTTTCAAAAATTTTAATAAAATTCTTGTCAAAATTTCAATTATTTTCAAATAATTTCCTTAATTCATTAATTTTCAATATCAACTTTTTTTTATAGAATTATTTAAAAAAAATTCCATTATTTATAAAACTTCTTAATAAAATTCTTCGCAAACATTCGTCTAAAAACAATTTTCTCTTACCAATAATAATATTTTTCACAAGAATTCAATTATTTAAAAGCAAAAATTAATAACATCCGTTGCAGGAATTCAATTATTTTCATAAATAATAAAAATTTCACAAGAATTCAATTATTTGCCAATTTTTTTTTTATAAATTTCTTCCCAATAATTTTATTATTTTCATAAATAATAACACATTTTTTACAGAGATTCAATTATTTTCATAAATAATAAAACTCATCGCAGAATTTCAATTACTTTTAATACAATTTTAATCGAATTTCTTGAAAACTGTAATTATTCTTAAGAATTTTATTAAAATTCGTTGAAAAAAATTTATTTAAAAATGAATTCCAGTTAAAATTTTAGATAAAAATTGAATTGAATGTTATTAAAATCATTGTAAAGTGAATTTCTAGAAAGAATTGAATTTTAAAAACAATTTTAATTAAATTCGTCAAAAAGAAAAATTTGTTTACCAATAATAATATTTTTCCCAAGAAATCAATTATTTAAATTTTAAAATAAAAATTAATAACATTCATTGCAGGAATTCGATTATTTTCATAAATAATAAAATTTTCACAAGAATTCAATTATTTGACAATTTTTTTATAAATTTCTTCTCAATAATTTCATTATTTTCATAAATAATAAAATTTTTTACAGAGATTTAATTATTTTCATAAATAATAAAACTCATCGGAGAATTTTAATTAATTTTAATACAATTTGAATCGAATTTCTTAAAAACTGTAATTATTCTTAAAAATTTTATTAAAATTCGTTAAAAAAAATTTATTTTAAAATAAATTCCACTTAAAATATTTAGATAAAAATTGAATTGAATGTTATTAAAAGCATTTTAGAGTGAAGTTTTAGAAAGAATTGAATTTTGAAAACAATTTTAATTAAATTCGTCTAAAAGAAAATTTTTTTTACCAATATTAATATTTTCCCCAAGAATTCAATTATTAAAAAAAAAATTAATAACATTCGTTGCAAGAATTTAATTATTTTCACAAATAATAAAAAAATTCTTTAACTGAATTCAATTATTTTCATAAATAATAAAATTCTTTAACTGCGAATTCAATTATTATTTTGAATATAATTTTTTAATAAAATTCTTCCGAAACAATTTAATTATTTTTATAAATTTCCATCACATTTTTTAAAAATAATTCAATTATTATCCAAAATTTTTATAAAATTCCTCGCATAAATTAATTACAATTTTAATAAAATTTTTAGAAAAAATTTAATTACTTTGAAAATCTTATGAAAATTTTATATAATAATTGAATTATTTTCAATACAATATTTTAATTAAATGCCTCTTTAAAAAATTCCAGGAATTGAATTATTTTCATAAATTGTAAAATTCTTCAAAGGAATTTAATTATTTTCAAAAATTTTAATAATATCCTTCTCAAGAACTATTAAATAATTTTTACAAATAATAAAATTTTTCACAGGAATTCAATTATTTAAAATAAGAATTAATAAAATTCGTTGCAAGAATTTAATTATTTTAATTATTTTTTATAAATAATAAAATTCTTCGCAGGATTTCAATTATTTTTAATATATAATTTTAAATCAATTCCTCGGAAAATGTAATTATTTTTAAAATTTTTATTAAAATTCGTCGAAATTATTCAATTATTTTAATATTTGTTGATAAAGTTCTTATAAGAATTCAATTTTAAGAAATATTCAATTATTCAATAAATTATTTATTTTCTTATGTATTTAAATAATTAAATTCTCGTAGAATTTAAAAAAAATTAATTTTTAATTCGAAAATTCTCGAAGAATTTTTTTTAAAATTATTAAAAATAATTGATTTAAAGGAGAATTATAGTTATTTTTTAGAGTTATGTTAATCAGAATATTCTTTTGGGGGCAGCGAAAAAGTCAAAATTTTGTCTGGAAATCAGGGAAAAGTCAATGAAAAACAAAATTAAATTTTTGTGGCAAACCTGTCTATATATTTCCAAATTGTAATTAATGTTACTCAATCCTATTGATAGTTTCAACCAAATTATTTGTGTTTGTGTGTTTACTCAGCGTTTACCAATCCGAAAACAATAGTTAAAATAAGAATGAATGAATGCGTAAGCGTGTGTGAGTCACGTGACATCTGTTGTACTATGCGTTTTCCCGCCGTCGCCATTTTACGAGCTTTACGCATCTGGATTATTACAACAATGTAAACAACGATTTGAATCATTTCCCCATATCTGTCAAAATAGTGATAAAATTACAACTATTATAAAAGAAAGTGATAATTCGCGTACAATAGGAAAAAGTAAATTTGCCCTTTTACTCGATTCTATTCTCGTGACAGGTAAATAATCGAAATTACGCGCATCATCACATCAAGTGAGTAGCGTCCTAACCTAAATCATTTCTTTTCACAACATTCTAAAAAATAGAATAATTCTCTAAAACTTACCAAATTTACATAAGGAAAGAAACGTTGTTTATTCGGTTATGTGCGTGAATTTGTTGAATGTCATAAATTTTCATGAAGAATTTCTAGAAATTCGGTACAAATTTAAGGTGTGTCAAATATGTAAAGACTGGAGTGTCAATTGCGTCTCTAAACATGGAATACGACTCGGAGTCAAGTTATGAGGGTCGTCTACGAGATTTAGAAGCACCAGAGGAAATTCCTAGTCGTCATCGTAGTCAACAAAATGAACAATCACATCAGATTGTCGAATCTGCTTCCTGGCATCCCCTCGAGAATGCTACAGCACAACCTAAAGTTCCTTTTGGAATTGTCAACAGGTCACTTTCATCCCAGGTAAATATATTGTATTTTTGATCAATTTATTATGTTTGAGAATGTGAATTTTCAAATTTTCTATATTCAAAAAACACGAATTTCTTTCTTATATGGTGTGAATATTATTAAAAAGTGAATATTTCTTTTGTGCTTAATCTGTAATGACAAACTGCATTTGGTACAGGATTTATGCACGTAAGTTCTTTTCTTTCATTCAAACAAATATGAACATTTTTTAATATAATTCAAAAAATTTATGCAAATAATATTGGTAATTGTATAATTTTTTAATTTTTTGTATATTTCAAAAGTTCTGAACGTTCAAATGAATGAAACTTATTTATTTTTTTCTTCAAATATAATGTTTATTACAATCTTGCGTCATATGTCAAAAAAAAAAAAATGAAATCTATGAAACTTTAAAAATAATTCTCTGCAAGAATTCCATTAGACCTTTTTACAAATAATAAAATTCTTCACAGAAATTCAATTATTTAGGAAAAATGTAATGAAATTCGGTGCTTGAATTTAATTATTTTCATAAATAATAAAAATCTTCAGATGAATTAAAACATTTTGAATATAATTTTAATAAAATTCACCGCAAGAATTCAATTATTTCTACAAATAATTACATTTTTCACAGGAATTCAATTAGTTTAAATATAATTTTAATAAAATTCTCCGCAAGAATTCAATTACTTTTACAAATAATAAAATTTTAAAAGAAAATCAATTATTTTGAATATAATTTTGATAAAATTCGTTGCAAGAATACAATTATTTTTAAAAATAATAAAGTTTTGAAAAAAATTCAATTATTTAAAAAAAATTGAATAAAATTCATTGCAAGAATTTAATTAATTTTACAAACAATAAAAATGTACAGATGAATTCAATTATTTTTACAAATAATAAAAATCTACAGATGAATTCAATTATTTTGAAAACAATAATTTAAAAAAAATTCTACGCAACAATACAATTATTTTTACTAATAATAAAATTTTAACAAAAATTCAATTATTTTGAATATAATTTTAATAAAATTCGTTGAAAAAATTCAATTATTTTTAAAAATAATAAAAATGTACAGATGCATTCAATTATTTTGAATATAATAATTTTAATAAAATTCGTTGCAATAATTCAATTATTTTTAAAAATAATAAAGTTTTAACAAAAATTCAATTATTTAAGAAAAATTTAATAAAATTCTCCGCAAGAATTCAATTATTTTTACTAATAATAAAATTTTAACAAAAATTTAATTATTTTGAATTTAATTTTAATAAAATTCTCCGCAAGAATTCAATTATTTTTACAAATAATAAAAATGTACAGATGCATTCAATTATTTTAAATATAATAATTTTAATAAAATTCGTTGCAAGAATTCAATTATTTTTACAAATAATATTTTTACAAAATTATTTTTAATACAATTTTAATTGAATTTAAATAATTGAATTCTCTTAGAATTTTCTAATAATACCTACTTGATTTAAAAATAAATTTCAGTTAAAATTTTAGATAATAATTGAATAATATTTGCGTTAGAATAAGAATTTTTAGAAATAATTCAATTTTAAAAGTTTTTAGTATTTAAATAATTGAAAATTATAATTTTTTGTAGAACTAAAAATTATTAATTATTTATTTTAAAAAATTAATCTTTTCAAAAATTTTAATTTTTTGAGTGTTGTTAAATTCTTGTTCAAAATTGGAAAATAGTGGTTTTAATTTCCAAGTTTCGAATATTTGTCAAATTTAATTGAATTAAATTTTATATTAAAAAAAAATTATGTTTTTACATTTAAGTATATTTTTGTAACGTACTTTTGAAGAATTCTAATTAAAAATTTGGGAAATAATTGAACTTGAGAAAAAATTAGAATTGAAGTTATTACCAGAATAAGAAGAAAAATGAATTTTTTTTTATGGAAATCAGGAAAAAGTCAGAGAAATACAGAATCAATTTTTGTGATTTATGTGAATCGACTAAAAACCGAATTTTTTAGTTGTCAAATTTAATTTTTAGATGGCAACTTTTTTACTACTTTTTGCCACTTTTTTTAAAATTAATTATTGAGCATGAAGCCTGTAAATGTTGAATTTTAGTTTTTAATTTCTGTTACAATCAGTAATTACTGAAAGTAAATAAAACATAATTCATTTGAACGTTTAACACTTGTGTATATTTTTGTATAATTTTTTAGACAACTGAAATCGAAAAAAAAATTGTTATTTTCTAAAATAAAAATCTAAAAATTACTCCAATTCCCCAGGTAATGGAATATTATCGCAAGTACTCTCAGAATTCAAATTTGGAACAATATTTCTCAATACCCGGCTCGAGTGCAACTTCTGAGGAAATAAAATACTACTACAGTCTTTACGAAATAAATCCAAAACCCAGTGACAATGGACAAAAGTACAGAGACTTTAATTTAAAAACCTGCGTTCCAAAGGAGAGACGTAAATGGGTGAGACCACCGCTTGTTGGTCAATCGTCAGGAAACGATGCATCTGGAATGTACGTTCGTCCTCTTGCCGATCCACAATCACCGCCTCCACACGACATAAGTCGAATCACGCCCGAAACAATTCCCGAGGAACGAAGTGAATGTCAAGAAACACCGACAGACGTCACCGAGAGAAAAGTGTCGTCCCCAACGTCAAGTGTCACGTCCCACAAGCCCCTCGAGTGGGACAGTGGAGCGGACGTCGGCTATTTCGCCAACACACCGAACAATAAGCAAGACAATAAAAAATTGAGTACAATCGAGAGAATGGCATTGGCGAGAGGTTGTTCCGCAGCACTGAGACTCGATCCCGAAGGAACAACCGAATCTGGAAAAATCCAATCCGGAAGAATATCCTCCAAGTCACTGATGAAACCCGAGGCAAATTCAACAGCAATTGTCGAAAATATCTCCGGTTCCGAGAGTGAAATTGAAATAACTCCCATTGTCAAGAATCACTTACCTGGTGTTATTACGGGAAACGACATTAAATCCGACGAGAAAAAAATTCGAAGGTGTCTCAACGACGAGAATCAAGCGAAAAATACCATTTGTGATACACCAAAGTCGTCGGGTTTGTTCAAAGTCCCTCTGGGTCCTCTAGGTTCACCGACGAAGACACGGAAAGTAACTCCAGTGAATTTCGACGCTGACATGTCTCCCCTCAAGAAAAGTAGTTCCATGAATATCATTGCAATGCCAGGCGTGAAGCTCCCACTGAAAAGAAGCCAAAGTGATCTGAATCTCCATCTCGGCGACAAGAACAAAGCCCTGCCTCGACTGATCTTCAATTCCACCTCCTCGATAGCGACCGTCGTCAATAAACCCATAACCTGCGACAAAGTAATTCAAACAACTCTCAACATCTCCCAGGAGTCAGTCGGCGTTCAAGTCTCCGTCCTCGACGAAGAGCGACCACCGCTACCAAAAAGAGGAACCAGTTTAAATCAAAAACCCGGAAATCTCCAATCAATTCTCAAAAATTCACAAAACACTTACAAAATCCAACGGAACGACACCACCACCCAAACATCGAAATCAAAAGAATCCAAATCCTCCCAAAGTGAGGAGACAAGAAATTCCAGTTCAGAAACCGATTCGTCGACAACGCCTCAACACGACGACACCGTGAACGTTCCCGGTCGAGCCAACAGTTTCGAATACTTCCCCGGTCACATCTACGAAAACGTCCCCAACGGCAGCACCAGCCACGTCTCCACAGTCAGCACCGGACGATCCAATTCCACAATGCCCAACACCAGCTCCAGCATCGACGAGAAACTCTGGGGCGAATCCGACAGTCTCGTCCGCGACCTCGAGCGAAGCGTCAACATTCTCAAAAGTCTCGTCGACGCCAACAAATGCGACAAGACCGTGAAAAAACGTCTCATCCACCACGTCGTCAAGCGACTAGTCACCGCAAAGTACACCGACGACAAAATCGAACACAACCTCGAGGAGAACGTCCCCTGGAATCCGGACGACGCCCGCAAAAAAGTCTACCGCGCCGAAATCATTCAAGCCCTCGCCAAGAAGCAAAACACCACCGACTCTTCAGACGACTGGAAATTCCAAAAGTCGAAAGAAAAAACCGCCACTCGAACCTTGAAGGAAATAATCAACCTCGAAAGCAGTGCCAGTGAGAAATTCCTCCCCAACACCGAACTCGACGGAAGAAAAGCGAGAATGGGCCTCCGAGTCGAAGACTGCGATCGAAGTACACCCTCCGAGCAGAACAAAAGCGAAAGTTCCGAGTGCTTCCTCCCCCAGAGGAACTACACCAAAAATATGTTCTGTATCAAGAAAAAATGCGATACCACAACGACTAATAGTTCCCCCGATCAGAATCTCAATCCCGAGCCGAACGACTGGCGACTACCGACCACCGTCTCCGAGAGGAATTTCGAACTACGAAGATGCAGCAATTCAGACTCGGGCGATTCGAAATTGGTGAGTTACGCCGAAATGGAGAAGAAGAACCAACTCATCTGGATTACGAACGAAATCAGTCACTTGTCGAACTTGAAAAAATTACTCGAACAACCGAAGAAGTTGGAACGGGGAAAAACGTCTCCCAGGAAGACAAAGACTAGAGGGGGTTGTATCCACACGGAGCAAAAGGGACCGTCGACCAGTGACTGCCTGAATGAAAATTGGTCCTCCCATTGCAACCTGGCTGTAATTCCAAAGGAGAAGTACAAGAAGACGAGGAATAGTTTCACTCAAACGGCCAATGACGTGGGAGAGAGTTTCTCGAAGACTAGCAACGGAGTGAATGTCACCGAGAGTCAGATGTCTGCGAAATCCATTAATATTGGACTTCAGACTTTGCCTTCGCTTTTTTCTTCTGGAGTTTCGTTCGATTCGTCTGGTCAAACTCTGGAGCAGCGGACGGATCGGCGAAACGATTGTCGAAACGATCGACAAAATGATTGTCGAAACGATCGTCAAAATGATTATCGAAACGATCAACGAAACGTTCGTCAAAATGGTCACCGAAACGATTGTCAAAACGAACAAAGAAACGATCAGCGAACCGATCAAAGAAACGTTCGTCAAAACGGTCATCGAAACGATTATCAAGATCAGCGAAATGTTCGTCAAAATTTTCGAAACGAAAAAAATGTTTGTCACTGTCATCATCATCATAATTCGAAAATTGCCCCCTGTTCGAAAAATATCCCCCTGTCGCCGTCGAAACCTCGAGATCAAAACTTCTACCGTCAGGATTCAACCGACGAAATTTGTGAGAATTTCGCGATGTTGAATTTACCACGAAACGGAGACGAGAACTCGAAGCAAAAGGAAACAAAAAACCATGTCAACGCATCACGCTCGAAATTCCCTTGCGAAAATTCGCAAAATTGCCGGCATTCTTCGTTCAAGTCAGAGGAGGAGGAAATTTCGGAGAAAAGCAAAAAAGAAAAGCAGAAAATCTGCGAATATTGTCATGGGGAAAAAGTGAACACTTCCCGATGTGAAAGCGAAGAAAGCGGAGAAAGAGAAAAACTTCAGGACGACGCCTCTTTATCCGAATTTAGCCAAAAATCATTCAAAAGTCAGCAGAAAACCACCTCTTCGGAAGATTGCATCTGCGATTATCGTCAAGATAGAAAAAAAAATTGTTTCTGTAGTGAGAGGAGGGAAAATTGTAATTACCCCCCTCGAGTGGAATTATTGCAACGAAAGGAGCAAACGAGACCGTATTATTTGACAAATTCGAATGAGAAGAAACAATCGAGAATTGTTGTTGAGCAAACGAATAGAAAATGTCGATGTGAAAAGGATTGTGTTTGTTCGGTGAATGATGAGAGATTGAAACATCGAGAAGAAGAAGAGAAGAGAGAAGAGAGAAGAAAGAGAAGAGAGGGTAAAAATGACGAAAGACTGAAAATGACGCCGGAGAAAAGTTGTAAATGTTGTCGCACTTGTGGGACAATGTATCAGAAGAATCGGAAATGCGATTGTAGGATAAATTATCCGAAAGCTGTGGCTTATGAATTGACGTTCATGGAGGAGAGTAGAGAGAGGAAAAATGTCTCGAAATCGGAGAACGAGGAGATTATTAGGGGATTGAGGAAGGTTTCGTCGGCGAATTCTTTGCCGTTTACGGCGAGATCTGGAACTTGTTCATGTGAAGATGGAAAGAATTTGGCGCAAAATAAGGAGAAAAAAATTACACTTCAGGTAAGAAGTTAAGAATTTAGAATTTTTAGTAAATTATTTTGTCGCTTCAAATTCAATAATTCTAATACTTTCGAAATTTATTCGCCCCCAAAATTTTGGACGTAATTTTGAACGTAAAATTCAAATACTCTCGTATTTGAATTTGGATCGATAAATTATTTATTCGTTCCCAAAATTTTTTGAAGAAATTTACTTCTCTTCTTCTCAAATTCAAAATTACATTTTGGAGTAATATTTTTCAAATTGAGTATATTTTTTCGTGTATTTTTTTTAATTACTTGATTCAAAACTAAATTTTCTAACCTGGATTTTTTTTTGTCGTTTCTTACTAAAGATTTTTAAATTCTAATAGAAACATAAATATTAATTAAAATATTTTTTTCAGGAGTGTTTGGCATCCAACAAGCCTCGTTTCCTCGACAATATCGAGACTCGTCAACAGTATTTAAATGAAATTTCTCATCTACGCGAAATGAAAAAAGAAAAACGAGTACAATTGTTGGCCATGGCCAGTTCTTCGAGTCTTCTGAAACCAACGAAATTAACAAAGTCTACAAGTAAGAGAGAAAAAAATATTAATATTGAATTTGAATATTTCATTTGCGATTCTATTAAAATTCTAGATTGAAAATTTTACAATTAATTCTGAAATTCGGATTAAAACGAGGATGAAGTTGACAACGTTTATTATCAACGATTGAGAGAAAAAAGTACAGAGTGGAAAATTTTTTATTTTCGAATATAATCTTCAATGTTTGGAAAATTTTAAATTCTGAATTTGAAAAATTTATTTATTAAGTATATAATTTTATGAAAGAATTAAATTTATAGAATTAATTTCCAATTAAATAAAAATTTTTTTATTAAATTATTAAATATTATTAGAATAAAAATTCAATTATTTTTATAAATAGTAAAATTCTTCGCAGAAATTCAATTAATTTGGAGACAATTTTAATATTATTCAAATATGTAAAAAATATTAACTTCAATTTTTAAATAATTTCAGATTCAAAATTTAATAAATTCACTTAATAAGTTCATAATTCATTATAATTATTTATTATTCTCATAAATTTTAATAAAAATTCTTCACAAACAATTGAATTTTATCAAAATTTTTTAAAAAATTCTTCTCAAGGATTCAATTATTTTCAAAACATTTGATACACTTCTTTAGAAGAATTCTATTATTTTCAATGGAATTTTTTTTACTGAATTGGTAAAAAAATTTGTAATTTTTTTTAAATAATTCAATTATTTTAAAAATTGCAATAAAATTCTCATTAAGAATTCAATTATTTTAATAAATAATAAAATTCTTCTCAGGAATTCAATTATTTTTGAGACAAATTTTTAATTAAATTTCACAAAAGGATTCAATTATTTAAAAAAATTTCCATAAAAAACTAATCCAAAATCCAATTATTTTTATACATAATATAATTCTCCGCAGAAATTCAATTATTTTCAATATAATTTAAATGAAATTCCTTGGAAGAATTTTATTATTTTAACAAATTTTTATTAAATTTGTCGAAAGAATTCAAGCGTTTCCAAAAATTTTTATACAATTCTTTCCAAGAATTCAATTATTTTTAATGCAATCTTAATTAAACTCCTCGAAAGAATATTAATTTTCTTCGAAACCATATTAAATTTTTTTCAAAGATTTAAATAAAATTCTGGACAAGAATTCAATTATTATTTTCATTATTGTCATAAATAATAAAATTGTTCGGAGAAATTCAATTATTTTCAGTAAAATTTTAATTAAATTTCTCGAAAGAATTAAAATTTTTTGAAACAATTGAATTTGTATTTTTACAAATGTTTTAATTTTTTATTTTATTATTTTCGTAAATAATAAAGTGCTTCGAAGAAATTCAATAACTTTCTAAAATTTTAATAAAATTCTTCGAAACAATTCAATTACTTTTATAAAACTTCTCTGAAATTCAATTATTTTTAATACAATTTTAATAAAATTTTTTGAATGAATTGAAATATTATCAAAAATTTAAAAAAAAATTCTTCTTAAGCATTCAATTATTTTCAAAACCTTTGATACATTTCTTTAGGAGAATTCAATTATTTTTAATACAATTGTAACTAAATTCTTCGAAAGAATTTTAATTTTCTTCGTAACAATTCAATTATTTTAAAAAACTCTAATAAAATGTTTTAAAAGAATTTAATGTTTTATCAATAATTAATAATTTAATAGTATTTAATAGTAAATTATTAATTACAATAATTAACAGCATCGATTAGATTCAAAAAAATGAAAGAAATCTTTTGAAAGAAATAAATTATTTTGAAAAATTGTAATAAAATTCTGAGAAGAATTTAATTATTTTCTAAAAATTGTAATAGAATTCAATAATCAATATGTTTAATTACAATTATTAACAAACATGATTATTTTAAAAATTTGAAAAATTAAACATAATTTATAAAATTCAATTCTTTATAAAATGAAATTATTTTTAAAATTTCTATTAAAATTATTAAAGAAATTCCATTATTTTCAAAAAATTCAAAGAAATTCTTCTATTCAGTTCAATTATTTTCTAAAATTTTTATAAATTTTTTCCTGAAAATTCAATAAATTGTATTGAAAATAATTATTTTCAATACAATTTATAATTTTGAAAACTAACTTCAAATTGTTGACAGATTTGCAAAAATACAACATTTATTAATATAGAAGATAAATATTTATAGATTATATTTTACTTTAATTTATTAAATAGATTTAAAGTTACTGTGTAATTTGAAAATTATACTAATTGAAAAATTATTTTATCAGATCACGTGCAAAGGAAACTGACGACGGCCGACATGAAGGAAAGATTACGTAGAAGATACATGAGGCTAAACGAGGTACGATCAAAGCGAAGGCAACTGGAAAAACAAGAAGAATTTCGTCGCAATAATCTGATGGCCAAAATATTTGGCAAAAAACTGCAGCAAAAAGTATTGCAGGGCCAAGTCGATTTGTCGCAAAGTGTAAGCGTCATCTCAAATCTATAGTAATAGTAATAGTAGTATAGTAACAATAGTAGCAGTACCAGTAGCAAAAATATTTATATTACAGATACATAGATATATATAGTATATATTCTAGATGAAAAAAATGCCTTGCGATTGAACAAAATTTTATTTGCAACGACGAATAATTCGGAATTTATTTATTATATTATTACAAAAAGAAAAAAAGAATTTTCAATTCCGAATATTATACGTCATTGCTCTCTAATTTTGACTATTTTTATAAAAAAAAATTTAATATTCGATGAAAAAAAATCTCCACTACACAATTAGTATTATCGGCAAAGAAAAAAAGTAGTCTTTAGGAGATTATTCTATTCCAAGAATATAAGTTAAGCAAAAAAAAAGGCTAATCAATTTCCTGGTCAATTACACGCTGTTAAAAATAATCGTTACGTGTAAGTGTCGAACCAGTGACTTTGAACAATACGCAAAACACCTAAATTGACTCCACAATCTGTATTATTATTATATCTAGAGTAATAATTAGTTAGAAGTATTCGCGAGATTTCACTTCGCAATTATAATGTACATAGAGATTAGTATTTGTTTATGAACCCACCCAAGTTCAAAGATATAAAAAAAAGGAAAGTACAATTTGTATGAGATTATGAGATTCGTTCAGAGAAATCGAATTCCAAGTATTTAAAAAAGAAAATGTTCTCTCTATTTAAAGAGTATTTTAATTATTTTGGCAATTTTTAAAAATTTAGATTTATATTCTTTGCGAGCAGTTTTGTGCTTAAATTAATAAATTCAAACCCCAGTGAAATAGAATTTTATGACTTCAATGACTTCAATTATTGAATAATTGTTTATTACTCAATAGAAAACAGAAAAAAAAAATTGTAAGCAATAGATTTATCAGAAATTATTTAGCAAAAAATAGCAATTTAGCAAAAAAAAATATCGACGAATGAAATTAAAAAATTGTTCACTAGAAGACAGTAGTTTAGTACCTGAGAAAATTTGGATATTTTTTAATTAATTTAAATATTTTAATTAAAAGTTTTACTTAATTTTAAGTTTTTCTTTTTGACTTTGAATGAAACATTTTATACTAGAAGTTTAACAAGTTTTGTGTTCTTTTTGTTTTGACGTCAAAATATAGTTGAATAAAAGAGAATATTTGTATCGCAATTGGAGTCTCTTTTTTTAAATCTTTCGAAAAAAAATACTAAAGTGAAATTTTTTTTCAACCAGGAAATACGCAGAATGTCATTCTTTTTCTTGTTATGTAATTACTTAATTTGTTTACTTTCCGGTCAACCTTCAAGTTTTTTTAATTGAAGAACTTCACTTTTCGGTGTATCATTTATTATTATGCAATTAATTAAGAAAAAATTTTATTTTCAAATATTAATTTCAATTTTGGAATAATTTCAGATTCAAAATTTAAATTTTAAACAAATTCAATTATTAAGAAATTTACTAATTAATTATAATTGTTTATTGTTTTCAAAAATTTTAATAAAATTCTTCGCAGGAATTCAATTATTTTCAATGCAATTTTAATAAAATTTTTCAAAAGAATTCAATTATTTTTAAAAATTGGATAAAATTTTAATAAACTTCTTCAAAAAAATTTCATTATTTTGAAAAACTTTAATAAAATTCTTAATTATAAAGAATTTTTTATAAGAAAAAAGTTTAATGAAATACCTACTTTGAAAAAATTTAATTCTTTTCCTAAATAATAAAATTCTTTGCAGAAATTCAATTATTTTTTAAAATTTAATAAAATTCTCCGCAAAACTTCAATTATTTTTAAAAATTTTTATGAGAATTGAAATATTTTTAGTTCAATTTTAATTAAATTTCTTGAAAAAATTCTATTCTTTTCAAAAATTCTAATCAAATTCTTAGCAAAATTTTAATTATACAATTTTAATAAAATTACTCAAAAAAATGCAATTCTTTTTGTAAATTTTAATAAAATTCTTAGCAAAATTTTAATTAATAATAAGATTTCAATAATTTGTGAAATTTTTCACAGGAGTTTAATTATTTTAAAGAATTTTAATAAAATTTTTCGCAAAAACTCAATTATTTTGAAAATTTTTGATAATATTATTCATGGGAATTGAATTATTTTCATAATTAATCAAATTCTTCGCAGTAATTTAATTACTTTAAAGTATTTTAATAAAATTCTTCAAAAAAATTTTATTATTTTGAAAAACTTTATTAGGTATAAAGAATTTTTTATAAGAAAAAAATTTAATGAAATACTTTGAAAAAATTTAATTCTTTTCCTAAATAATAAAATTCTTCACAGAAATTCAATTATTTTAAAAAACTTTTGTAAAATTCTTTATAATAATTCACTTATTTTTAATACAATTTTTATGAAGTTTTAATAAAGATTTTAATTATTTTCATAAGTAATAAAATTTTTTGAAAGAATTAAATTATTTTCATAAAATAATTGGCAACATATTTTCCAGAAATTTAAATATTTTCAAAAATTTTGATAAAATTCCATAAGAATTTAAACATTTTTAATAGGTATTATTTTAATTAAATTGCTCGTTAGAATTAACTTTCTTTTAATGATTTTAATTTAATTTTTCGCAAGGAACTTAATTATTTTGAAAAATATTGATAAATCTCTTTATAAGAATTCAATTATTTCAGATTCAAAATTATAAAAGAAATATTTTCAATTAAAAACAATTTGGTTTAATTAAGTTTTGGTATTTTTTAATCTTTAAAGAATTAAAATTAAAATTTCATTAATTTTGAAATTCAAAACATTAAAAAGAAAAATTATCAAAAAAAAAAAAAAATTAGGAAACAAAAAGCAAACAAAAACAAATAAAGAAAAAACTACCGGAATACAACGGTTAATTATATAGATTTTGGATTTCTCAGGAAAAAAACAAAATTTGCGAATTATGTAAATTAAAATATTTTTCTCCATCATTTTTTTTTTTTTTTCGTTTCCTGTGAAAAATGAAAGAAAAGATCAATTTTGACCTTGTTCTATTGTAAAAATAAGGGCAAAAACTTGCAGTCGCTATCACGTATCACCTTGAAAAATCATGGCACTGTGATTGAGTATATAAAGATTTTCTAGTATTGTCGAAGAATCAGTGTGATTTCATTTGTAATGGCGAAAAATAGTTTCTTAATTATATAGTCAAAGCGCTGTCTTCATGGGAGGCTGAGTGCAACAATTTTCTACTTCATTTCTTGAAAGACAAATTTTTTTTTATCAAGTTTAGATTACGCAACATTGATTTTAATAAAATTGAGAATATTTCCAGAAAATAGATTTTTAGAATTTTAATTACAAAATTTAGAAAGGAAGAAAAAAAAATAATAAGAATAATTGCAGTACCAGTTTTTGTTTTTTTTAAATTTTATAAAACTATACTTAATTTTTTCCTTGAGATTAAAAATTAGAATAATAATAATTTTTGAAAAATTCGTTAAAAAACGAAATTATTTGGGGAAAAATGACTTTTAATTATACAAACACTGAGAGTGAACTTAATCGATTGCTTTGTGAAAAATTTACAAGTGAATTTCGCACTGGTTACATTGAAATCGGAGGGATTTGCCTACCGGAATATTTTCAGCAATTCGCCGACAGAATTGAAAATTTTGAGGTTCGCCACGATGATATTTGGGTTTGCAGTTTTCCAAAAACTGGTGAGTACGACTCTTAAAAATTATTTTGAAAATACTGGACAGAAAAAAAAATGTAAGATGAATAATAAATAAAAGAAGAAATAATTAATTTTAATAAATTTAATTAATTTTTAACTAATTTATAAAATTAATTTTACAGAATTAATAATTCTACAAAAAAGATAATTTGAAAATTGAAATTTGACAGGTACCACTTGGACCCAAGAAATGGTTTGGTGCATTGCTAATGATCTTGATTTCGAGAAAGGAAAAATAATACTGCCCGAGAGATTTCCATTTTTAGAGTAAGTTTTTTCTTTTTATTATTGTCATTGAAACGAACAATTTTTTTGGTAATTAATTTTTTTTCCAAAGAAATTAGAATTTAAAAAAAAACGAATTAAAAAAACGAGATTAAAAATCAGAATTTTCCAAACTATTTTTATTAATTCTTTTTTTGTGAATTAAAAAATTATAAGTTCTTAATTTTTTTTCTAAAAATTAAAAATTTGTAAATAATTTTCATTCTGTTTTCTTTTTGAAGACACAGTTCCTTGTTCGACTACAGGGAAATTATTTCAAGAACACCTGGCATGAATAAACTTCCAGAATTGGTTTTGGACAGTGTCAGTTTTGTGGAAAAAATGCCAAGTCCCAGATTTATAAAGACCCATTTGCCCTTTCATTTGCTGCCAAGACAAATTCGAAATGGCGAGAAGAGACCGAAAATTATGTACGTGAGCAGAAATGTTAAGGACACTTGTGTCTCATATTTTCATCATTGTCAATTACTCGAGGGATATTCCGGTAGTTTCGAGGAATTTTGTGTATTATTTCTAGGAGGAAAAGGTACGAAAGTGAAAATTATTCACGATTACGAAAAAACTAGTTCAAAATTAAACCGTATTTTCCGGATTTTAAATATTTTTTTTTATTCTAATTTAATTTTAATTTCATTTCAATTTTTTAGTCTCATTTGGTCCATTTTGGCATCATGTTATCGGATTTTGGGAAAAACGACACGAGAGAAATATTTTGTTTCTAAAATACGAAAACATGAAAACTGTAAGTTTATGAAAAAATTTTCTCAATTAAAAATTGAAAATAATTTCAAAAATTTTAAATAAGTTAAATTTTCTTAAATAATATTAATTAATTAATTAAATATTACATTGATAGTAATTTGATAATAATTTAATAGTAATTTTTAAAATAGTTATTTATAAAAATAGTAAAAAGTTACCTACTGAAAAAAAATTCTTCCCCCTCAGGATTTAAAATCAGTAATCGAAGAAACTGTAAAATTTCTCGAAAAAGAAAATCTCAGTGAATTTAAAATAAATATTCTCGAAAAGCACTTGAGCTTCACGCAAATGAAAAGTAATCCAGCCGTAAATTACGAAGAGGCAGTGGAAATAAATAAAAAATTCAAATTAATTGAAAAAGAGGGAAAATTTATGAGAAGTGGCAAAATAAATCAGTGGCAGAACTCAATGAATAACGAAATGATCGATCGTTTTGACGTCTGGACGAAAAAGTGTCTCAAGGATAAGAATTTCATTTGAACCGCAAAAAAAAAAAAAAATAAACACATATTTTTAACTATTTAAATTTTCTAGACAAATTTGTAACTATTTAAATTTTTTAAACAAATTTGTAACTACATATTTAAATTTTAAATATTTCAAACAAATTTTTAACTAGGATTTATATTTTCTGAATAAATTTTTAACTATTTAAATTTTCTATAAACAAACTTTTCACTATTTTGAATTTTTTAAATAAATTTTCAACTATTTGAATATTTTAAACAAATTTTTAATCAACAATTAAAATATTGGAAACCGATTTTTAACTATTTGAATTTTTTAAATAAATTTTCAAATTTTTAACAAATTTGTATATAACAATTAAACCTTTTGGAAACAGATTTTTAAAATTTAAACAATTCTTTAAAAGTTGTACTTCATATTTTCTTTCAGAGAAAGAGTTTTTAAACTTCTTTTATTCGATCTCACTGCAGGAAGAATGTCAGACATACGTTCCTGTGCTAATTGTAAAATAGTATTTCTCGAGAAGGGTGTAACTTTACGTAAATCACTTCCTTTTTTCATCAGAGAAATTACACAATCTCTATTTCTTCTTAAAATTGCCAATTCAATGGCGGTAAATCCAAATTTATCTTGTTTATGTACATCAGCGTCGTGATCCAAAAGTAGAGAGAAAATATCGAATGTTGATAGAAAAACTGTCGAAAATTCCATTCTTGAGCTTGATTTTGTTTGTATTTATAATTTAATAACATATATTCTGGGTTTATTTTACAATAAACATTTATTATTTTCTTTCTTATTATCTTTTACCTGAAATCATAAGAGGTGTTCTTCCTAATTCATCCTCGGAATTTACATTCAATCCGGATTTTAGGAGAAACTCGACGTTTTCGATTTTTCTTCCAACAATTGCGTAATAGAGACAATTCCATCCTCTTCTGGAATTAGGTAAAAATTTTAGTTATTAAAATTTAGTTTTCTTTGCAGAAATTCGATTTTTTTCAATGTAACTTTAATAAAATTTTACGAGACGATTCAATAATTTTTAAAAATTTTTAAAAAACTTTTTCGAAAGAATTGAATTAGTATCAAAAATTTGTTTTTAATTCTCAAGGATTCAATTACTTTCAAAAATTCTGATACAATTGTTTGCATGAATTAAATTATCTTGAAAGAATTGATTTTTTTTTAATTTAAATAAAATTCTTCGGAGAAAATCAATTATTTTAAAAAATTTTACATAATAATATTTGTTTCAAGAATTGAATTATTTTTATAAGTTACAAAATTCTTCTGAGGGATTCAATTATTTTCAATGAAATTCAGTAAAATTCTTTGTAGAAATTCAATTATTTTCATAAAAAATAAACTTCTTCTTAGGGATTCAATTATTTTCAATACAATTCAGTAAAATTCTTTGCAGAAATTCAATTATTTTCAAAAATTTTACAAAATAAAATTCGTTTCAAGAATTACATTATTTTTATAATTTACAAAATTCTTCTGAGGAATTAAATTATTTTGCATGCAATTTTAATAAAATTCTTTGCAGAAATTCAATTATTTGCATAAAAAATAAAATACTTTGCAGGGATTTAATTATTTTCAACACAATTTAAAAAATTCTTCGTTTAGTTCCATTATTTTCAGAATTTTCAATTAAAATGATTAAAAATACTAAATTTTTTTCAAAAAAACTTAAAGAAATTCTTCAAAAGAATTTAATTATTTACAAAAATTCTAATGAAATTGTTTAGAAAAATTATATTTCCTATCAATAATATAATAAAATTTAATCTAGCAAAATTATTAACATAATCGATTGTATAGAAAAAAATTAAAGAAATTTTTTTGGAAATAATTCAATTAGATATTGTCAAAACCTTTAATTGTATCTATTCGTCGTAAAAATTTTATTATTTTCAATAATTTAGTAAAATTTCTTGAATTAATTAAATTATTTAAAAAAATTATAATAAAATTCTGAGAAGCATTTTATTTTTTAAAGATTTTAATAGAATTCAATAATCAAATTAATGTTTAATTTCAATTATTAACAAACACGATTATTTTAAAAATTCTAAAGAAATTCTTCATAAAATTCAATTACTTTCAAATTTGTCAATTGAAATTATTAAAGAAACTCTATTATTTAAAAAAATATTCAAAGAAACTCTTCAGAAGAATTTATTCAGGATTATCAAAAATTTTTCCAAAATTCTTTCAATTATTTTCAAATTTTTTAATAAAATTCTTCTCACAAATTCAATGATTTTCAATAAAAATTGTTTTCCAGAAAATATTAATTAAATTATTAAAATAAACTATAATATTAATATATGTGAAAATTAGTTTCAATTTAAATTTACTCACATATCTCTTTTATATAAATCGACTCCTTTCTTCAGTAAAATCTGTAGAATTTCCAAATTTCCCGAAAAATACGAAGCGTGCATTAGTGCTGATTTTCCACAAGATTGTGTCATTGTAGAATCCAAGTCGGTGGGAATTTTGTCTATTATCAATGCTAAAATTTGTGAATCTCCACGATCAATGGCTATTGTCAACGGTGTTCTCAGATCTTTGTTTGGATAATGTAAATCCAACGATGGACTGTAATTTAAAATAAAAATTCAATTTTAGTTGAAAATTATTATTTTAGACTTTATTTAGAAAAAATATATTAAGTAATAATTTAGAAAAATATTATAAATTCAAAATCAATAGAAAAAATAAACTAATTCTCTCAATTTACTAGTTCATAATGAGATCTCTTATTTTCCTGATTGGCGCAAACTGAAGAAGTCTCATTAATTCTTCCTCCGCAGGTTCGTCCTGTACAATTAAATTCGTTTCAATTAAATTCATTTCATAGATTCATAACTAAATTCGTATTTATTTCAAAACTAAGTTTTGTTTAGTTTAGAACATTTTTTTTTAATAACAAAATAGAAGAATAAATAATTATAAATTATTCTATATTATAAAAATAGAAAAAAAATAGTTTCTGCACTTTTTAAAAAAATTTTCTATTCGCATTCGTTCTATTTGAGTGCGCACTGAACAGAACTGATTGATCAAACAGTTTTCATTGATTTCCATTCTAATGATGTAAAAATAGAAACTTTTTTTGAAACTATTTTTTTTCAGCATTTCAATTTAAATGTTAATGAAAATTTACCAACTACTTCAATATTTTGGAAAAACGAAAAATTTAGTTGATAAGTAAAAATTAGTTTCTTCAAATTTGATTTCTATAATAATGAATATTATAAATTATGATCCATAAATTCTTAACTTTCAAATAAAGAAAATTTTTTGCTGCAAATAAAAATATTTTCAAAAATTGCTGACTGATATAAAAAGCAAAAATAATATTTAGAATCATAATTAACTTTTAATAATACGAGACGTCACAATTTTTCTAAAGATATCAAATTGAGACAAAAAGCGAATCAAAATGTTGCTTCGCAACACTTTTAATTCGTTTTTTGTCTCAATTTGATATCGTTAGAAAAACTATGATAATATTATTGAAATAAAAATTTGAATTTGAAGAAAAAAGAAGAAAAATATTTACTAAATTAATTTGAATATTGCTTTGAATTTAATTTTTGAAAATTTAAGAGAATTTAAAAATAAAAACTTGAAAACAAACATTAATAAAAGAAACAAAAAGATGTTTGAGAGAAAAGAAGAGAAAAAGAATTTTAAGTTGAAAAGAAGACGAAATTGAAATACAGAAAAAAATTCAAAACAAAAGAACGAAAAGAAAATAAATTAAAAATAATTCTCCTAGATTTATTAAATTACATAATTTAAATAGTTAATTCAAATTGAATTTTTGAATTGAATTTTTCGAAATATAAGAGAATTTTGGAGTATGTATTTAAAAAAACAAAAAAAAACTTAAAAACGAAACTTAAAAGAAACAAAAAGAAGTTTGAGAGAAAAGAAGAGAACAAAAAGAATTTGAAGTTAAAAAGAAGACGAAATTAAAATAAAGAAAAAAAATTCAAAACAAAAGAATGAAAAGAAAAGAAGTTAAATTTAAAACAAATCCTACATTGCCGCCTGAATGTTATAGCAAGAAAAATTTACAGTTTCTTTTTCCCATTGCACCGGACATGGAACCAAGTCCCCATACTCTATGTACTTTCTCTTTCGCTTGTGGAGGACGTGTTCGCTTCCAGCATAAGGCCCAAAAGTATCCGTGTGCATACTATCCGTCCCACAAGTACTATCTTCTTTCACTTCTCTCTCTCTTTCTTTGTCAAGAGCAAGGTTCCATCAATATCTATCCTTTCAATATTTTCCATTTGCCACCAGATGAATTCTCAAGTTTTGTAATTTTTTTCTTCCTTCCCACAAGACAATGTAATTTTCCAAATAACTCCGCGATGAGTGTTTCATATTCTCAACGAAGAATTGCAGATAATCTGCGATGAAGTGATCATGAAAATTTTAGTGAAAATGTGCTGGTCCTTTGACCTTGTGATATTACTTTTGACATTTCTTCTCATTTCCAAAGGTAAATTTCTCTCGAAATAATCTTTAGAGCTGTAAAATAAAAATAATTTCTTTTATTAATTGATTATTTTGTAACTTATATGTACGTGTATAGTTAAGAATGCATTTTATGATTGATGTCTGAGTCAGACTAACGGGACAGTATTTTTTATAGTCAAATTCCAGTTGAAAAATATTTTTGGTCCTTTCAATTTTTAACTCTTTTTTTTCTTTTATTGAACTTTAGAGAATTTTTTGCAATATTTTTCAACTCTTATTTTATTTTGAAATACAAATTTTAGAAAATGATACTTTTGCTCCTATGTTCTTTTACAGAATTTATTTAATTTCTTTAAGAAACTTTTGTAATTTCTGTTGAGAAAAAATAGAAGGATAATAAAATATAATACAATTTATAAATAAAGTTCTCGAATAACAATTAATAAATAATTTATCAATTTTACTAATTTAGTAATAATAATAATAATAATAATAATTAACCATCATTAAGTCAATTATTAATAAAACTATTTTCTTCCAAATTAGACCATTTTTTAATATTATTCATTTTTTAAAATAATTTAATTCAACTTTTTTACTTTCAATTAATTTAATTTAATATTTTTACTTTCATTTTGTTTAAAAATATATTTAACTAATTAATTCGATTTGATAAAATATACCTAAAATATGTTTAATTAAAAACAGGGATCACACTATCTTTTTTTCTTCAAAATAGGTGAAAAAGTGGATTATTTTCCAAACACAGTCAACAAAATAGTGAAAAAAAATATTACATAAAATAACATTAACGTGAAAAATTAAATTGTATTAAAAAAAATTGAAATACTTAATCAAAAAATATATATTGAATGAAAACAATTTAAATAATTTCAAAATTTCGGATAATTTGACATTTAAATCGATTAATCTTTAGACATGTAGAAATTTCGATAATTTTAATTTTTAATGAATTTGGTTTAGTTAGTTTATTTAGTATGGATTTAGTTTATTTAGTATTTAAAATCAAGTAAGTTGAAATTTAAATAATTTAAGTTTTCGATAAATTAAAAATTCTAAATCAATTAAAAATGGAAATACTAAATTTGCATTCAACATGAAAAATTAGAATTAAATAAAAGTTAAATCACTTGTACTTGAATTTATGTGAAAAATCTTATTAAAATTTTTTAAAATCCTAATTAAATTCATTTGAAGAATTTCTTTGAATTTTTTGAAAATAATGTAGTTTTTTCAAAACTTTTAATTGGAAATTTTGAAAATGATTGAACTAGACAAAGAATTTTTTTCAACTTTTTAAAATAATCGTGTGATGTTAATAATTATAATTAAAAATTTAATTTTTGAATTTTATTAAAATTGTATTAAAAATAATTGAATTCCTGAGAAGAATTTTAATAATTTAATTCTAGCAAAGAATTTTACTATTTATACAAATAATTCAATTGTTTCGAACAATTTATTAAAAATTTTTGAAAATAATTAAGTAAATTGTTTCGAAAAATTTTATTAGAGATTTAAAATAATAAGATTGAATTTCTGCAATGAATTTTACTATTTATAAAAATAATTGAATTCTTTCGAAGAATGTTATTATTTATGAAAATAATTGAATTCTTGCAAAGAATTTTATTATTTATGAAAATAATTGAATTCTTGCAAAGAATTTTATTAAAATTTTCTCTCATTAATCCTGAACTTTTTTTATGTATTCGGCATTGGAGATTCATTTGTTCTTGAAATATTTTGCGTCCAAAAATTAATCGAATCATGATAAATGATGAAAAAAGTAGGAAATTATCCAAATTGATGAAACAGATGACAAAATTTGAAGTAGATGAAAAATGATGAATAGTTGTCAAACAAACATTGATTCCTGTAAAAATAAATAATAATTCAATATAAATTAAATCAAAATAAAACAAAAATTTAATTAAAATAAAATAAAAATTATATTAAAGTAAAATAAAAATTATATTAAAATAAAAATTAAATTAAAATAAAATAAAAATTTCTACTTTAGTTTCCGCTCAAGAAAATGAGGAGGAGTCATATAGTGGAAGATATTTGGGAAAATTAAACACTTATCATCATCAGGTTGGTGGCGAAGTCTATGTTGTCGACGAATACACGTTACTTTTCAAATCCTTCGTTTACGATGGCAATGGAGCTGATACATTTTTCTGGGCTGGAAGTACGAATCGTCCAGGACCCACAGGATTTATTGTTCCAGACGAATGGGGACAGTAAGAATTCGAAACACCTGCAAAAAAAAAATAAAATGAAAATTAGAATCAATACAATAATATTAACAGGACAAATAATAATGAAAAATAATAATAATAATATTAATTAATTTATATTAGGTATTTAAAATAATATTTCATTTTTTCAGTACAAATGTTCTCGGTCCGTACACAAATAGGCAATTTACTTTAACACTTCCTGATAATAAAAAAATCAGGGATATTAAATGGTTCGCCGTATATGACATAAACAGTCAGGTATTTTTCGAATAATAAATTTAGTAAATAAATTTAATAAATTTAATTAACGAATTTCATAAATTTAATCAACGAATTTAATATAGGTAATTAGAGAAAAAATTTACTTTAAGTGAATTGACATTTACTTACAAAGTAAATTTTTCTATTTATAGTTAAAAGGTTTATCGATTTTTTTGTTTTCTAAAAACAAAGTAAAAATAAATATTAACAAGAAAATTAATTAACAAACCAAAATACTGTAAAACAAATTAATATTTATTTGCAGTCATTTTTCTTTTTTTTAGTTATTAAAAAGGTTTATTGATTTTTGCTTGTTTTATTAATTCAATTATTTTGGTTTTGTTAATTACTTTTTTTATTGTTAATCAATTTTTTTTGGTATTCAATTTTTTTGGTAATCAATATTTATTTTTGATAATCAAATTTTTTGCTTATCAATTTTTTGGTAATCAAATTTTTTTGCTTATCAATTGTTTGGTAATCAAATTTTTTTGCTTATCAATTGTTTGGTAATCAAATTTTTTTGCTTATCAATTTTCTGTTCTTCATTACTAGAACACTTTCGGTGATGTCCATATTCCGGAGGAATTTGATCCTCCAGTTCCGCAAAAAATTCTCCAATTATCGAAAAGAAAACATAATGTCTCGTCAGATTCGATTGAAATACTAGATGCGAAGACAATAAAAATTCCCCAATTAACCTACGATGGAAAAGGGAAAGACACTTATTTTTGGGTCGGAGTTGGAGCACAACCCTCGAGTAAAGGCACCAAAGTTCCCGATGAATATGGCTAGTAAGTGTATTAAAAATTCCATTTTTTAAATATTTTTTCTTCTCTTTTTCTTTTTTTAATTTAATAAAATTTATGAAATTTATCAATTGCAGTTTAGAATCATTACGAGAATACAAGGGCGAAGAGATAATAATTCAATTGCCAGGGAACTTCACTGTCTTCAATGTTGATTGGCTCAGTATTTTCGATATTGAAACAAATACCAATTTTGGATCGGTCATCATTCCCGATGGTTTAAATATTCCACCTTCATTAGTAAAGGTACGAAAAAATTAATAATAAAATAATAATTAATCAAAAATTCAAAATATAAAAAAATTCAAAAAATAATAATTAATATTATAAAAAATAGAGTAAAAATCTCTCTTTTACTATTTATTTATCAGTGCTAATACAGAGGAAAAATTATTTACAGAATATACCGTCGAAGACTATATTCGAAAATATGGACAATTGCGTTCAACTTCACAAGAATTATCAAGTGAAGTGGCAAATATTTGGTCCTCAAATCACAATTGGATTAATAGGACAAATAGGTAATTGTCGCATTGAAATTGAAAATTGGTTCACGAAAAGATTTTAATTAACCTGTATCGAAAATAAATTTCAAATTTCAGGCGATCGTGATTATATGGCATTTGGTCTTTCCGGCTCCGAGGAACGTAGTCAAATGGAAGGCGCAGACGTTGCTGTCGTTTACATTGATGATATTCGAGGATACGCGATAGATTATAATATCACTGCGAAAGCTCCCGTAAGTCTTTGCTAATTAAAAATTAATTTCAAAATTTAATTTAAATTCATTAATTTTCGTCAATTCGAATTTGAAATAATTTAATTCTTGTATAGAATTTTATTAAAATTTTTTAAATGAATTGAATTTTTTCGAAGAACTTTATTACACTTTTCATAAAAATAATTGAATTTTTAAATAGATTTTTATCGAAATTTTTTGAAAATAATTGAATTCTCTCGAAGAATTTTATTCAAATTGAATTGAAAATAATTGAATTCCTTCGAAGAATCTTATTATTTATGAAAATAATTGAATTCTTGTCCATAATTTTATATAAATTTTTTCGAAGAAAATAAATTTTTTTGAGGAATTTAGTTAAAATTGTATTGAAAGCAATTGAATTGTATTAAAATTTTTGGGAACAAATTGAATTCTTTCTAAAATTTTATAAATATTCTGTTAAAATAATTGAATTCCTTTGAGGGATTTCATTTAAATTCCATTAAAAATAATTCAATTCCTATAAAGAATTACATTATTTATGAGAATAATTAAATTCTTGTCAAGAATTTTATTTAAATCTTTGAAGGAAATTTAATTGTTTCGAAGAAAATTAAAATTCTTTCGAGGAATTTAATTAAAATTGAATAAAAAATAATTGAATTCTTATACAAAGTGTATTAAAATTTTTGGAAACGATTGAATTCTTTCGTGAAATTTAATAAAAACCGTGTTTCCCTCGTAACATTTCCTAGTTATTTTTAATATTTATTTTAGTATAACAATAATAATTAGTATTTTAATAAATTAATTTAAATTAACGTAATGAATATCAAAATAAAAATTTCATTTGTGTAGAAAGTATTAAAATCATTTTCAAATATTTGATTCGTATTGAAATACTGACTGAAACTGTGAAATTAAAATTACAGTGCGGAAAGGTCCTTGGACAATATAAAGGAGTCTGTAAAGATGACGTTGTTGGCGGTCTAGACAGCAATCAGCTTACAACCGCTGTAAGAGAAGACGGATTAACGAAAATTTCATATCGTCGCACGCTCATTTCTTGTGAGTTTAATTTCTCTGGCAATTACTTTCAATTATTTCATAAAATTTCCAAAATATTTCATATTATTAAAACTAAAAATAATTAAATTCTTAAATTAACAAATTTAATTAAATTTAAGTAAATTAAATAGAAATATTTTGAATTATTTTTAAATATTTCTAAATGTTGAAATAAATATGAAATATAAAAAATTAAATATGAAATATTTATGTATGTAAATTATAAATATTCCAATGGTTAATTTTGAATTGACAGCTGATCATGGAGACAAAGAGTATCCAACTAATGGTTCCGTCTATATTGTCTGGGCCCTAGGAAGACTTGATGAGAATAACGAACCCAATTTTCACGACGTTTATCCAAAACGTAGTCTAAAATTGGAACTCGGACGCTCTGAGCCCTACAGTTCCTGTATGGACTTTACAGAAGATGATAAAACTTTAAGGTTTTTAATTTTTACTAACATTTTTCTTTTCGTTTTTCTCCATTTTTTCCCTTTGAATAAATCAAAATTCTTTCACAATTCTTTTGCAATTCAATCGCAATTCCAATTCTTCCAAAAGTTTCCAACGTTCAACTGATAAAATTTCCTTCTTTCTAAAGAATCACAATTCTCCTTCGATTCAATGGCAATTCTTCCAAAAAATTTCTACGTTCAACTGAACGAAATTTCTTTCCTTCTAAAGAATCAAAATTCTTCTTCGACTCGATCACAATTCTTCCAAAAGTTTTGAGCGTTCAACTGATAAAATTTCCTTCTTTTTAAAGAATCACAATTCTCCTTCGATTCAAAGACAATTCTTTCAAAAATTTTCTACGTTCAACTGAACGAAATTTCTTTCCTTCTAAAGAATTCCTCTTCGATTTCTTCCGTTCTAAATATTTTCAAAAGCTAATTAATTAAAATAAAGTCAACAATTATTTAGTTAAAAATTACTTTTTAATTCAGAAAAAAATATATTCTTACCAAAATTCGAACGTAGTTAAAAAAAAATTGTCATTCACTCTCGAACCTTCGAAACTTTAGAGACAATTAGTAATTTTTCGTTTTCTTCTTAATTAACAGAGAGCCATGGGAGAAATCAGACATCGTCGATCGAAGTATAAGAAGTTTCAAAGCAACGATTGGCCCGTCAGGAGGTAAAAAGGGCTATCAAGCTATCACGGGACAAACGACAATGGGTCTCGCTTGGTACATAAACGGACAACTCGTGCCAGAATTATTTTTACGTCGAGGATTGACCTACAGCTTCAATGTCCACGGTGGTAATAATCCTCACAGTGCCGAATTATATCATCCTCTGATAATAACCGACGAACCACACGGCGGTTACGACAGATTGAGTGACAGCGCTCAAAGTAAAGTTCGTGTTCTCGCTGGCGTTGAATTTACAAGAAGAGGAAGACCCAGACCGACCGCTGGTGAGTTGTCTTCAATTTCTGCAAAGAAAAAAATGGAAAATTAGTAACAAAAAAAATGCAATTTCTCTTCTATTTTTCTTTCTTTTTTTTGTTCATTTTTTTTTTTTTTTTTTTGCATTTTTAAAAACTGAATTACTGGAATTAAATTTAAGCAATGAAAAGAATAAGTAAATAAAAAATAACTAGATAAAAAACTAAATAAAAAATAGCAAATAAAAAATAAATAACAAGTAGCAAATAAGAAAACTAAATAAAAAATAGCAAATAAAAAACTAAAGAAATGTGTCAAATAAAAAAACTAAACATAAAGTAAGTTAATAAAAAATTGCTGATTAAAGAATAGATAGTTAAATAAAAAATAATTAACTAAGGAAAAAATAGTTTAATAAAAAATAATTTTAACTAAGATAGTAAGTAAATAAAAAATAATTAACTACAAAAATAAGTAAATAGGAAATAGAAAAGGAAATAAAAAATAGCAAATAAAAAAACTAATAAAAGTAGTATAAATAAAAAATAAATAAGAAATAGAAAATTAAAAAACTAAATAAAAATAGCTACTAAACAAAAAATAACTAAATAAAGAATAATTGAATAAAAAAAATTAATTAACTAGGAAAATAAGTAAATAAAAAATCGGAAATAAAAAACTAAATAAAAAATAATTAACTAAAGAAAAAATAAGTAAATAAAAAAATAGCTGAATAAAAATTATCTTACTAAATAAAAAAAATCAAATGAAAAATGGCTGAATAAAAAATTATTAACTAAAAAAATAAGTAAATAAAAAAGCTGAGTAAAAAAACATCTTACTAAATAAAAAAACGAAATAAAAAATTAAGAATAAAATAATAACAAGTAAATATCCATTTGCAGTTGGTCCTTTATGCTTGAGCAAGCACAATGCACGTGACAGAAGATTAGACGACGATTTTCCCAGTTTCAAAAAATTCAACAGATCATTAATTCATCATTGTGAACCAGGTTTGTTAATTTTGTAAAACTGAAACACAAAAATTAAATATTAAAACATCTTTTGGAAAAATAACAGAAAATTAAATTTAAATTAATATAAAAGTTAAATTAAAAATTATTATAAAGTTAAATTGAATTAATTTAAATTAAATTAATATAGTTATATTATCATCCGGAAATTAATTGCAATTTTCATTTTTCATTACAGGAGAAAGCGGCGTTTTAGAAATAACTCCAAATTCCTCTTGGCCTGACTTTGTCTATTACAATTCTTTCACTCATGCAAATATGGGTTGGAAAATTCACGTCATCGATTCGTACACAAGAAGTCAGGGTTTCATTCACTCATCGAGTTGGTTTCTCATATTTTTGACAATTTTTTCACTTATCTACAAAAATACGTTTACTTGAAAAATTTGCTCAAAGAAAGAAATATTGTCGATTTTCTAGTTTTTTATATTTTTTTTTGCGTTTACGAAAACTAGAAAATAAAAAACAATTTCTAATAAAATGATAAAAATGAAATATTTCTAGTTTTGTATATTTTTCTTCGTGTACAAAACTAGAGGTTGAAAGAGTATTTATAGTGGTTTTAATAAAATATTTTGAAACTAAATTTCTAATGAAATTATAAAGAAGAACTATTTCTAGTTTTACATATTTTTTTTTTTTTGTATAATTATGCAAAACTAGAAGTAATAAAATGATTTATTGTAATGTTAATAAAAATATTTAAATAACAGTTTTGAAATATTGAATCAATGAAATGATAAAAATTGAAGTATTTCTAGTTTTGCATATTTTTTTACTTATGCAAAACTAGAAGTGAAAAAATCTATATTGTAGTTTTAATAAAATATTTAGAAACCAATATCTAACGAAATGATAAAATTAAAATATTTCTAATTAAATAATTAAAAGCAAAAAAAAATTAAGAACGTTTAAAATATTTAAAAATGACTGAAATGTATTTTTAATAAAATAATTGCGAAAAAACGCAAAAATCCACTTTTCTGTATTTATTCATTTCTAACAAACAAAATTCAAAATATTAAAAAAAAAAATTCAATTAAAAAAAATTACAATTTTCAGTTGAAAATAAAATAAATTTTTACCATTTTTATTCTCAATCAAAATGTTTTTAATAAAATTTAAAATATTTTTAGAAATAAAGGAAAATTTTTCTATAGGTATAAATTAGATTTTTCAATCACAATTTTTAATTGAAAATAAAATTGAGAATTTAAAAGATTTTTATAAAATTAAGGAACCAAATTTTCATAATTTTGATTTTTCAATCACATTTTTTTTTGTTACCAAATTTTCAGTTTCTTTAAAAAAAATGAAACGATTTTTAATGAAATTAAATTTTTTTTAGAAATTAATGTAAAAAATTTGTATAATTTCTATTTCATAATTACAATAAATTGTTAAACAATTTCCTGTTTTTCTTTATAAAAAAAAGAGAAAAAAGAAATAAATTTGGACCATTTATAATTCTCAATCACAATTTTTTAACAAATCTTCCATTTTTTCTACGTAATAAATAAAAAGAATTTTCAGAATTTCTATTTTTATTTCTTCAATACAATTATTGTTTATCAAAATCTCAAATATTTGTAGAAATAAAGAAAAATTCTTTTATAAACTCCATCACAATTTTTAATTGAAAATATAATTGAGAATTTTAAAACACTTTTATAAAATGAAGGAAAAAATTTTCATAATTTTGATTTGTCAAACATATTTTTTGTTAACCAAATTTTTAGTTTCTTTTAGAAAAAAACTTTGTGTAATTTCTGTTTTTAATCACAATTTGTAACGAAAAATTTATTTTTCATAATAATTTTTTTTTAGTAATTAATGAAAAAAATTTGAATAACTTCTGTTTCTTAATTACAATTTTTATACAAAATACGGCTTTTCTTTGGTTTTTTTTTTGAAACAGAATAAAAAAGAAATAAATTTGGACCCATTGTGAATTAACTTGAAAATGTTTTATTTCATATCTTACATAGACAATCATTATTAAATTTTAATTACATATACAATGAAACTTGAAATCCATGTGTATATAAGAGGGGAATCTATACTCTTAATTAACAACTATGTTTATAATAATTAATCTATCGTTTTACGTTGATTCACTGGTTACATAATCTATATATAAAGTTCAAGAATCGTGAGATATGCAATATGATATTCTCTCATTTAATAAATAAATTAGGCTGCTATGTAAAATACACCTATTTTCAATATTATCAATTATCAATTTAAAAAACGTGAAATTTTATTATGAAAAAACCAATATATGTATATATTGGAAATTTGAAATCAACAAATATTTTTATTACAAATCTAATTATTCTGATTCGCGCTAAGGCCCCCGAGAAGTGAAAACACCTTTTTTTCTAATTTTTAACAAACTTCAATTACCCATTTTTTTTTTTTTGTTTTTTTATTATTTTTTTTTTTTTATTAAATTTCAAGTGCAAAATTGATTATTTGGTTTTCTTTCTCATTTCAATTAAACCCACGATTTATTTCGATGTCTTTAATTTATGTTACTTAGTATATTTTTTCTTTTCTAATAATTCACTAACGACAAAAAAAAACAAGTTAAAACAACTCAATTTTAAATAAACTTTTTTTTAAAACAAATTATTTGTATCTACAGAAATTAATTCGATTCTATACTTCCTAATAGATTTCAATTTTATAACATTATATAATAAACATAGGAAAAAATTGTACATTTTTTTTCGCAAGCACCATCGATTTTTCTTTTAAAATAACGAACAAGACGTTTTTAAACAACAACAAAATAATATGTGATCACTGCGTCACAATAATTATTCAATAATAAAAATAAATCTACTTTAATAAATAAATAAAATATTTTTAATTCTTTTTTAATTTTTTTCACTTTTTTAAGCCCATTTCTGAAATCAGTTTTTTTTTCTTCGCCTGAGAATATATCTAAATTTCTAATAAAAGTTTGCAATTTTTTTTTCACAATATTTTATGGCAAGATTTAAAGTGAAGAAAAATTCCACAAAGAAAAATTCATATTTAACTAGGTATATCACGCACAACAGATCTCTTTAGATCTAATGTTTCAATGCAGTCCGTCAATGACAATAATTGTACTAAAATTATATTATTATTTTTTTTTCTAAACTGAAACTCCAATGGAGTATAAAGCACCATTTTTTTTTTTATTATTTTTAAGAGGCAATACAACTGTGTGCTCTTAATCATGTTTGTGAAGTAAAAGAGAATATCTCATAAAAATTTTTTCGACGACCAGTCTTAAAATTTTGGACGCGCTTTGTTGTTAATTATTAAAATCCCTGTTGTTATTATTAAAATTATTATTCTTATTATAATTATTATTAATATTATTATAGTATTATTATAATTACTATTATAATATTATAATTATAAATTTATAATAATTATTATTATAGTTACAATTAGGTATTATTATTATAATTATTATGAAAATTATTATTAATTTTTTAATATTAATTTATTAATTAATATTAATTAATTTATTAATATTATTATTGTGATATTAATATTATTTATGATTCGAACTATGCGAGTATTTTTTGTTTTGTTGGGTAAATATAGATTTCGCTAAAAAGATATAATAATATTACGCAATTCTAAAAATTCTTATGCACAAATACTTTATGCGGTTATAATTAATTGAAAAAATAGGAGGAGAAGAAGAAGAAGAGCGTAGTTGAAATTAATTATTCTTGGTGCAACTTAAGGAATTCGTGTAACGTTACGGGCAATTCGGTGCATTGAATTCCATATTTACAAATTGTCTGTGCTGCATGGCACTGCAGACTTGTGTAATTCACCAAACTTATGTTGTTACAGGGATTTGAGGCTATTAGTTGCGCCGGTGTCTCGCCAGCTTTATTTGGTGTGTCTAGATGTGCCCCATAATCCAAGAGAAGTTTCACGAGCTGTGACAAGAGCAAAATGATCTTTAATTGATCTCTCTCTCTCTTTCTCTCCTTCTCATGTTTTTTTATTGTACTTTTAATTTCATTTTTTAATTAAATTTAACTTAATTTTAGTTGAATTCAAATTCGGTTTCAATTTAATTACAATTTCGATTTCAATTTTGTTTCAATTTCGATTTCAATTTCAATTTTGTTTCAATTTCAATTTAATTACAATTTCAATTTAATTTCGATTTCAATTTAATTTTGATTTCAATTTCATTTTGATTTTGATTTAAATTTTAAATTGAAATTGAATTAAAAATTGAATTCTAATTTTTAATATAAAAATTATCACAAAGAATGAACTCACCTCGGTTTGGAAGTTGTTCGGCTTGCTCGCAACGTGCAGAGGAGTTGATCTCGTGTCGTTCCTCGCATTAACGTGCGCTCTACACTTTAAAAGCAATCTTACCACTTCGACGTGTGGAAAAATTACCTGAAAAGAAAAAAATTGCAATTAGAAAAAAAATGATCGAAAAAACATGAGAAGAATAATTTTTAAAAAATATATCCATTTACTTGTAATTCTTCGGTGGTGAAATAATTCGAATGAATCGTATTCACTCTCGAGACGCACAGATGAAGAAGTGTATCCTCCGTTGAAGCGCACCTTGGATTTCGCCTAACTAAATTGTGTACTAATTGTCGCATTTCCGCTTTCTCCTCATCCGATTGTGCAGTTTCCAATAGAAGATAAATTAAATGAGTGATGCACTTCAAAATTCGATCGTAACTCTCCCGTTGCTTTTTATGAACCGGTCGTTTCTAAAAAAAAAAACAAACAAACATTTTTTACAACATTTCAACATTAAATTATGTTCCTAAAGTTTCAAATCAAGGTTGCCACGCTTTTTACTCATTTGAAATTTCCCTGACTTTTCCAAGTTTTCCAGGTTAAAAAACTAAATTTTTCCAGGCTTTTAAAACTATATTTATTTTTTACCAAATTAAATAACTAATCAATTTTTATAAATAAATATATAATCATTATTATTATTTCAACGGCATTAAAATTTTCAAAATATTATTACTGTAACTTCTTCAAAATTATTTTCATCATTTCAATTCAATTATTATTTTCTACAATTTTTAACTAAAATTCTTCTCTAAATCAACTATTTTTAATGATTTTTGTAGAAGTTCTTCGACAATTTTTCAATTCATTTGTTTACAATTCAATTTTATGCAATTTCGATTATTCGGAAATTCTCCAATTATTAAAATTTTTCAAAAATATAAGTTCTTTAAAATTTCTAATGAAATTCATTGAAAATTGAAATTTTATAAGATTTCAATTTAAAACCCTTTTAAGTTCATCCATTTATGAAAATTTTAAACGCTTTTTTTAAAATTCAATTAATTTTGAAATATTTAAGTCAAATTATTTATTAAATAATTTTTGAATAATAATTTTATATGATATTTAAATATAAGGAAAGACTAACCTCCAATAATGATCTAGCTTCAGGAAGATTTTCGGTGAGTAATTTAAATATTGCGACTACATCACAAAATCTCGGTTCTTGTTTCTCTCGATTACGATCTGCTATTTCTACTATTTTCTCATTCAAATCGACCATTAATCGAACAAGAGCTTGAGCGGTAAAACATGTGTCGCTAAACAATATCTGAAAAAAAAAAATTAATCACATGACAAACTGTAATCGACATTAGAAAATATTTTCTATATAAATAATAGTTGTAAATTATTGAAAATCCTAAATAGTCTATGAATTTTCTTTCTCAAATTCAAAAAAATCTATAAATAGAGTTACAGTTGCAATTTTTAGAATTAATAAATTATTTTATTTCTAAAAGTTTGAAAATAAGTAATTTGTAAGTAAAAATTATAGAAAATCTAGTAGTACTCACAGAATCCTTTTCCACTCGAATTTCCAATGCTCTTCTCCACAAATCTATGCAATACTGATACCTAAAAATAAATCGATTAAAATTATTAATTCCGTCAACGAAAAGTAAATAAATTTTCAAATAAATATAAAATGAATATGTAAAAATTAAAAATTTTATAATTAAAAATTTAAAATTGAAATTCCATTAAGAAAAAGTAAATTATCTACCGAAGGGCATCGGCATACGAGGCTCCTCTGTACATCAGTCTAAAAAGTGTATCTTTATGATGTGGACCTAAAATTCGTTCGCAAATTAATAAACTTTGAATTCGAATAGCGTCCAAGTCGAGCATTACAGTTTGCAATTCTTCCATTGTAGAAAACTCAGTCGCATTACGAAAATTATCTCTTTTTGGCATAATTGGCCTCTTTGGCAATGGCTTTCCGTCAACCATATTATCATTTCTAATATTCATAGCAGTACTCCAATAATTCAGTGCTGTTTGCGTGTAATTATGATCATTAAAAAATGTCGAACCCATTAGTTCGTGAGCGTCCGCTAATCTCTCTTGCGAGTAGGCAACATTGTCCACTGTTTCAATGAAACAAAATTTCCACATTAAGTTATTTACTTAATTTTTACAATCAATTAATTATTCATCTAAAGTTATTAAATTATTATTATTAATAATAGAAATTCTATTAATAATAGCTAGTAAATAGCTATTAAACACAGCTATTTAAAAAAATGAGCAAAAATGAATAAAAAATGAAAAAAATAAGTGTGTAGATATAAAAATAAAAATAAAGAAATAACTGTGTAAAAATGAATAATAATAAAAAAATAATGGTACAAAAATAAAAGATGAAAAAATAACTCTATGAAAATAAATAAAATACCTACTACAATAAACAAGCCCGTATATTCAAGTAAATAAAAAAATAAAAGGAAACGTAGATTTAAATTTATAAAATAAATTTATAAAAAGAATTTGAAAATAGAAGTTTCAAAAAAGAAAATGTTTAGAAAGCTCATTAGTCTAGAAAAATATTTTAACTGAAATAAAAAATTTTGAATAGAAATTACACGATATTAATAGAATTTTCGACTCACCTAAGTAGTCGAATATCTGTGTTGCACCCTTAAGGCAGGCAGTTTGTAAAGCATCATCATTATATCGTGATTTTAGATAAGGATCTGCATTATAATCTAATAAAAGTTTCGTTGTCTCGAACCGATGCTCCTGAATTGAATAATGCAAAGCAGTTTTATTTTGCATATCCCTTGCATTAACATCAGCTCCGTGTGTTAAAAGAAATTTACACAATTCGACACTTTGCACCGAGTTTATCAAACAAGTGCCACCATTGTAATTCGCAATTAGAATATCGGCTCCATTCTCCACCAGGAAGGAAACAATTTCTGAAAAAAACAAACGATTTCAATTTAATATTAATTTAATTTATAATTATTTTTTTATCTATTAAATTAATATTTAACAATTAAAATTTTTTAATTACAATTCATTTTAATTCAAATTTAAATTCAACTTCACAATTATTTTATTATATAACTAGCATCAGATAAGAGCGTGTACAAATTCTCCATCAATTATATTAAAAGAGTACAAATAAAACTATACAATTTATTTTCATCTTTAAATTTAAAAGAATAAAAGAATAATTCTTGAAATTGTATTCAATAATTTCCGATTTCTTTTAGAAATAAATAAAAAAATCATAATTTTGATTTGTCGATTACAATTTTTATATTACTGGAAAACTATATTTTTTGTGAAATAAGGAAACAAATTTGCATAATTTTTCTTTCTCATTTTAAAACTTGTCGCGACGAAGCAAAAAAAAATAATAATAATAAATAAAATCAATATTTTTTCTAAATTAATAAACCTTTTTTTGAATTAATAAAAAAAATACTAAATAAATTTTATTAATTATTAATTAATTAATTAATATTTTAAAAAAACAATATTGAGCTTTTGTTTAAACATTCTGATAAAGAAATATTAAAGGAAGTGATAAAAATATCGTCGTTTATTATTTAAACTTTCGAAACTTTCGGGTCATAAATTATGCAAAAAAATATTTAAAACTTTGCAAAAAAAAATGTGATTGTCAAATCAAATTTATGGAGATCTTTTTCCATTATTTTATATAACTCTTTTAAAATTTTCAGTTTTATTATTTTTAATTGAAAATTGTGATTGACAAATCGAATTTATAAAACACGTTTTCTTTATTTCTAAAAATACTTGAGATTTTGTTAAAAAAATTGTGATGGAGAAATATAAATGATCCAAATTTATTACATTTCAATTCTTTTAAGAAAAAAGGAGAAAAACTGGATTTTGTATAAAAAAATAATTATAAAATAGAAATTATGTAAATTTTTTCCACTTATTTCAAAAAAAAGAAAAATTATATATAAATTCCTTTAAAAATTGTGAATTTTCTTCCATAAGAAAAACAAATCAAACTTATGACATTTTCTCCCCTTTATTTTTTAAAAATTTGTTAATATTTTCAATTCTATTTTCAATTAAAAATTCTGATTTACTAATCGAATTTATAAAATTTATTTTATTTTTTCTATAAAAATATTTGAAATATTGTTTAAAACTTACAAAAGAAGAAATAGAAATGTTGCAAATTATTTCCTTAAAAAAAAATGAGAATTTTCTACAAAAATTATGAATAAAGAATAAGAATTATGTAAATTATTTTTCTTTTTCAAAAGAAACTTAAAATTTTGTGAACAAAATTATTGTTCTTGAGAAAGTAAAAATATGAAAAATGGGAATATTTTCCATTTCTTAATAATAAATTTTTTAAATAATTTTCTAATATTTTTTTAATAAATAAAGGAAAAGTACCTGTTTAATTTCGATCTTTTAAACAATTTCAAATAATCTTTCTATAGTAGAAAAAAAAAAAAAATAAAAGCATACTCAAAAAACAAAGTCAAACTGCTGACAAAATAAATAAAAGAATATGAAAATGTAAAAAATAAAATTTTCAAAGAAAGAAAAAAAAGATTTTACAAAAAAAGAATTGTATTGATTTAAATTAGAATTAAATTACGACACCTTAACATTGACATAGAGAACAATGACCTAGACCTGCCTTGGCATGTAAATACTTGGCTAAGGGTGTCGCCTTAAAGTGCCATTGAAACAATTAAATGCCATTGAACGTTCGAAAGAGAGATATAAATTACCCGCAATGTTAATTATCAATTCATTAACAAATTTATGTGTTTTTTCTCTTTAATTTCTTATTCGACTGGTAATTTTTAATTTCTTTATTTAATTCTTTACTCTCTTTGATTACTAATTCGACTCGTAATGTTTAATTTTTTTTAGTTAATTCTTTTCCTCTTAATTACTCTTAATTCTTTTCCTCGCAATTTTTTATTTTTTTTCCCTTTTTGATTTCTAATTCGACTCGTAATTTTCAATTTTTGTTTTTTTTTATTTTTAGTTCGTCTCGCAATTTTCAATTTCTTTATTCAATTTTTGTCTTTTTTAATTTTTAGTTCGACTCGTAAGCTATAATTTCTTTATTTAATTAATTTCCTCTTTGATTTCTAATTCGACTCGTAATTTTCAAATTCCTTTATTCAATTTTTAGTTCGACTTGTAATTTTTAGTTTATTTTTTAAATTTTCTTTTAGTAAAATAAAAGTTTCTTACTAAAGTAACAATTCTTTTTAAGTTAAAAAAGTTTCTCACCACTAGAATACAAATAGAAAATTGACCAAAAAGAACAAAAAACAAAGGACAATAAAAGACAAGAAGAATATAAAGAAAATTTCTTGTCATTACCCAGATGAGTCATGAAGCAGGCCGATCGAACAGGTGTTGATCCACTGTCGGAGACTGCATTGACATCGGCACCATGTGAAATTAAACATTTTATGACTCGTAATTTTCCGGAAACCGCAGCACACCACAATGGCGTGACACAATGAACTGATCTGTCATCAGGAACCTCGTACATTCCTCGTTGCTCGATATCAGCACGACACACTGTGATAAGATATTCGACAATTTCCACGTGTCCTCTCTTACATGCAATAAACAATGGTGCACATCCATCTTTCATACGCGAAACAATATCCTTTCTTGTATCGGCTTTATATTTTTCCAAACGATTCCGCAATGAATACGAGAGTCTCGCTCCTGGTGCAACAAATTTGCATTCTTGATAAAGATCCTGAAAGAGCTCGTCCATAGAATTGTTTTCCCGACGACTGCTGATCCACATTTCAATCCTTGTTCAAAGAATTTTGCATGTGTCAACTTGCTGTCAATCTGGAAAAAAAGAAAAATGTCAACGTCAAAAATATTTAGTGTTATTTTCTTCTCATTATTCAATAATTCTAGAACGCAATTCTAAAATTAAAATAAAATCTGTTTACTAGCAAAAATCCTCAGTAGACAAAAATCCAAAAAAAATCCAAAATATTCATCTGCTTTCGAAAAAATCTACTGTAATAAAATACTTCGAAAATATTTTTTAGAACCAAATTTTTAAAAAAACAAAATTTTTCTAATTCGAAACAATATTAATTATAGACAAGTATCTTTGCCAAATCTTATTTTAGAAACAGAACGTTAGGCAAATGTCAATAAATCGTAGGTATTGAAAGTTAAAATTACTATGACGAATACTTATCCACCGTGGAAATTGACATTGCATAAAGAAAAAAATTGTTCAAAAAAAAAGCTAACTACTTCATTACAATCGAATAAAAAAAACTAAACACTTATTTGGTGTTTCAGGAAGTACTAATAGACAAAGGAATATAAAATACAAAGCTATGAAAAAAAGAAGCATTATGATAATTATTGTGTACCACTTTTACTTTGTAAGAAATAATTTTCACAACTTGACAAATTCTTCATTTACTACAATTTAAAAAAAAAATTTAAGATGACAAATTAAAATTACTAATAAACACTACCTTATAATATTTCTCTGAGCATTTTACAAAATTTGCCAATTTATTATTAGAAATAACTTTTCGGCTATTATAACCTTCAAATTTCTATTTGACAGTTCACTATTTTTTTGCTATGAATTTCTAATTTATGCCCAAAATTAATTGTTTATGTTTGATTAGAGACAATATTCTCACCTTCTATACAATTAAAACTATCGCTAAACAAAACAATACAACACAATATGACGAATTGTTTAACCATCACATCCGAATAAATGACAGCTATGTACCAGCAAGCGCAGGTCACGTGACTTTCATTCCTTGACACGTGATAATTAGACATGCGCAATAAGTGACATTCGATTTTTTTAAATAAATTTTTGTCCCGAAATATATATTTTCTATAATAATCTGGAAAATTGTTTTTCTTTTTTAATTTTCGATGCAATCTCTCTAAATTAAAAAAGCAAAAACATTTTACTGGAGAACCATTGAAATCCAGGAGGAAAAAATTTCTATTTTTAATATTTTTCTTTTTTTCAATAATAAACACCTTTCAGTGCAGATTTTAATATATAAAATATATATAATATAATATATAATAATGGAATTTCGTGTATACGGAAATATCCTCAAGAAAACAACTTTCTCTGGCAAAGTGAAATCTCGCAGATTCTCATATTGATCACGTGAAAGTTTTCAAATTAAATAATCGTTATCTGTTTTAACCCGTTGAATTCTGTATAATTAACAAAAATTGGTGAAAATTAAAAAAATTCTTTTGTCTATCTTTAAGTATAGGTTTTTTATTTTGTTTGGTTATAAATTTGGTAATTTGTCAAATAGTGAAAAAAGTACCGTTTTTTGAAATAATGACGACCTAAGAAGCAAAGAATTTTAAGGTTATGTTTGTGTCATTTTCAACTGAATTAAAAGCTTTCGTTTAATTATATGAAACTAAAATCATTTTTTATTAATTCAGATGTAATCGAGACTTAGACATCAGTTGTTAATATTTGAGAGTCGATCAACTTTGTTTATTATTCATTCCAAAGATTATAAACATAACCTACAATTTATTGCTTTTCAGGACCTTTTTTCTAAACGGGTGACAATTATTTAATATTCTTATAGTGAAAAGTCACAATTGTTGATAAAATCGTAGTCCCACTTATTGTTCAAATTGTTGTCACAATTATTGACAAAATTGTTGTCACAATTATTGTCAAAATTATTGACAAAATTGTTTTTCAAGTTGTCGAAATTGTAGTTGCTAATAAATAATATGTTTTCTTGCAGAACAAAAATGGAGAAACTAAACGCTAACCGTATGCATAAGATTCTAAAGGTACAAACAAAGAATGCAAATAAAACCAGTTTTGCAAAAGTGAAACAAGAATATTATATTGACATTGAAAAGAAAGTATGCACACGAAAGTTGGAGTATGTCAGATTAATAAAAAAGAGAAAACATCCAAACCAAAGTGAAAAGTCGTCGGAAAAGGAAGCAAGAGTGCATTTTGTCTGCAACTTTAGAAGAAAAAGGAACTCACAAAATTATTTCTGACATAAGTAGTGGCGCATCTGATGTCAGAATTATTTATTAAGTAATCTTCGATAATTAATTAACGATTTTATTTCCTTTCTTTTTTTTTTTTGTTTTACTATTCCAAAGCAATGTCACTTTCATTCACGACAGTCGATGGCGAAATTGGAGAAAAATTGGATAAAATATTTAAAGTGAGATCAAGTTTTTTAAAAGTGCAACCGGGAGATTGTTTATTACCGCCACAATATGTGTTTATCGGTACGAAAATTCGTGATTTAGAAATTCGCAATGATGACGTGTGGATTGTTTCATATCCGCGAACCGGTGAGTTTGAATATAAATTTTATAGAGAAAATTATAATTTATCAAAAAAATGTTTAATATAATAATTAAATTATAATTATAAACAAAGGGAATTTCCATTTAAAATTCTTCTCTAAAATTCAATTACTTTTAAAAATTCCCTTTAATTTAATGATTTTCAATATCTATTATTTTAATAAAATTTTCCAAAAGAATTCAGTTATTTAGAAAAATTTTTAAAAAAATTCTACGCATAAATTCAATTATTTTCATAAATAATACAATTTTTTGCATAAATTCAATTATTTTCATAAATAATACAATTTTTTGCAGGAATTCAATTATTTTCGTAAATAATAAAATTCTATTTAGAAATTCAATTATTATTTATTATTTATTCTTCAAAAGAATTCAATTATCTTGATAAATATCAAAATTCTTTTCAGAAATTCAATTATTTTGAAGAATTTTAATAAAATTCTTTGCAAAATTCAATTATTTTCATAAATAACAATATTCATGACATTCTTCAAAAGAAATTAATTATTTCCAATAATATTGATCAAATGTATTTATAAGAATTCAATTATTTTCGTATTTAATAAAATTCATCAAAAATAATAAAATCAGAATTCACTTTATTCTATTAAACTTTAATAAAATTATTCAACAAAATTTAATTATTTTCAAAAAGTTTAATCAAATTTGTTGCATGAATTCAATTATTTTTACAAATAATAAAATTCTTCACGAAAATTCAATTATTTTTATAAACAATAAAATTCTTATCAGGAATTAGATTATTTAAAAAATATTTTAATAAAATTCGTTGCAAAAATTTAATTATTTTCATAAACAATAAAATTCTTCGCAGAATTCCTTGTAAAATGTAATTATTTTTAAAAATTTTATTAAAATTCGTCGAGGTAATTCAATTATTTAAAAATTTGTTGATTTATTTATTTATGAGAATATAATTTTAAAAAACATTCAATTACCTATTGAATAAATTACTTAGTTTTGTATTTAAATAATTTAATTCTCGTAGAATTCTCTAATAAAAATTGATTTAATAAATAATGAATTTCAGTTAGAATTTTAGATAATAATTGAATATTAAAAGCATTATATCGCGAATTTTTAAAAAAGAATTGAATTTTGACAACAATTTTGATTAAATTCGTCTAAAAAAATTTCAGGAAATCAATTATTTTCATTAATGATAAAATTCTTCAGAGAAAATAAATTATTTTCAAAACTTATTATACGTTTTTTATAAAAGAATTCAATTATTTTAAGTACAATTTTAATTGAATTCTTCTAAGGAATTTAATTATTTCCAAAGATTTTAATAAAATTCTTCTCAAGAATTAAATTAATTTTACAAATAATAATATTTTTCACAGGAATTAAAATTATTTAAAATAAAAATTAATAAAATTAGTTGCAAGAATTCAATTATTTTCATAAATAATAAAATTCGTTGCAAGAATTTAATTATTTTCATAAATAATACAATTCTTCGCTGAATTTCAGTTTTTTTTAAATATAATTTTAAATCAATTCCTTGTAAAATATAATTATTTTTAAAAATTTTATTAAACTTCGTCCAGGTAATTATTTAAAAATTTGTTGATAAAATTCTTTAGGAGAATTCAATTTTGAAAAATATTCAATTTGAAGAATTTTCGAATAATCGATGAAATTTCGTAAAATTGAATTGTAAACAAATGGATTTGAAAAGTTTCCAAGAACTTTATCAAAAATTATTAAAAATAATTGATTTAAAGAAGAATTTTAGTTAAAAATTCTAAAAAAAATACTATAATTGATTGAAATGATGAAAATAATTTTGAAGAAGTTACAGTAACAATATTTTTATAAAAATAATGATTCGCTCATCTTTAATTATTATAATTTATTGAATTTCAAAAAGGTGTGAATTTAAAATAATTTGCAATAATGAAAATTAATTATTAAATTTATAAAATATTTATATTCTATTTGTCTCATAGGCAGTCACTGGATTCAAGAAATGGTCTGGTGTATTGCTCACGATTGCGATTTCAAAACAGCGGAAACATTAATAATTTTACGTAATCCCTTACTTGAGTAAGAAACATTATTATTTCATAATAATTGTCAATAATTTCCTTTTGTCACCAAATTGAAAATGAATTATAAAAATTTAATATTTCTCACAGATCTTCCGCTCTAATGGTCACCGGCGATTATGTCGATTGGTTTTCGAAATTGGGCGATTCCGTAAAATATGTCGAAGAAATGCCAAGTCCACGATTTGTTAAAACGCATCTTCCTTGGGAATTACTGCCAAAACAGATTCACGAGAAGAAACCGAAGGTACAATCCATCAAGTAAATTCAATTTAGTTGATTCACCAAATTTTTGAAAAGAAGAAACTAAAAAAGAAAACTGAGAAATTATTTTCTATAATATAGTAAAGAAAAATAATATTCAAATAGTAAAAAAATAGCCCAATAATAAAATAAAATTAACTAATTTTTAAATTATTATTCTTATTATAGAAAATTATTAAATATTTTAGATTGTTTACGTAACCAGAAATCCTAAAGATACTTGTGTCAGTTTTTACCACTATTGTCGAACATTTCATGGAATTGAATGTAGTTTTGATGAATTCACTGAAGTATTCTTAAATGACTGTGGTAAGACAGTGAAAATAATAGTCCATAAATAATTAATTCTCCTTATTCATTATCTAATTAATTATCTTTAAATAATAATCAATTCTCCTCTTTCACCATCTAATTATCCAAATAGTAATTAATTTTCATTTTCTATTACAAGCACCAATGGGACCACTCTGGAAACACGTGGCAAAATTTTGGGAACACAGAAACGACGAAAATATTCTTTTTATCACGTATGAAGACATGAAAAGAGTAAGTACACCTTTAATTAGAATCTGAAACTCAAAATAATTGTTAATAAAAAATATAATCTACAATTAAACGGGAAAAAAATTTGTAAATTATTTTTTTATAAATTCTTTCAGAATCAAACAGAAATCATAAAGAAGACGGCAAAATTTCTCAATAAAGAAATAACAGATGATCAAATAGAACAATTAAAGGAACATTTGAAATTTTCCAAAATGACAGAAAATCCTGCTGTTAATTTATTTAATATTATTGCTCCAAAGAATAATCGAGTAGATGATCCTAATATAAAATTTCTTCGAAAGGGAGAAATTGGCGATTGGCAAAATTACATGTCCAAAGATTTGGAACAACGATTCGATGAATGGACAGAGAAAAATTTCCGTGGAACTGATTTTAAATTCTGTGCCGATAAATCCAATGGACTGACTGATTCAATATAAATTTTAGTTTATTTTTTTATAATTGTTATTATTATTATTATTATTTTTCATAATTACTTTTATTACTATTACTACTAGCAAACAATTCGCGCGTCTAACTTTTTGCTTCATTTTTTAAATAAAAATTAGCAATTTTAAAAATAATAATCAAATTTTTGTCGAAAATACTAAAATAATTCAATTTTTGAGAAATTACAAATAATTTATTGCAGAAATTCAATTATTTTCAAAAGTAATAAAATTCAATTATGTTTAAAATTTTAAAAAAATTCTCGTCAAAATCCTAATCTTTATAAATAACAAAATTTTTCCCCAAATTTCAATTATTTTTAAAAATGACAATAAAATTCTTGTCCTAATTTTAATTATTTTCAATATCTACTTATTTTAATGAAATTTTCCGAGAAAAATTCAATTATTTAAAAAAAAATTTAATAAATTCGTACACAAACATTTAATTCTTGTCTAAAATATTAAAAATTCCACAGAAATTCAATTATTTACAATTTTTTTATAAATTTGTTCGCAATAATTTAATTATTTTCATAAATTTGTAATTATTTATAAATTATTATAAAACATAAAGAAATCGATGACTCCGAGTCTTTGACTCGGAGCAATCAATTTCTTCATGTTTTATAGCAAAATACTTTTATAAGTTGTTTAAATTCAAAAAGGTTTGAATTTGGAATTTTTGAATGTCTTAATTTCTGTGGAAAAAGAATAATAATAAAATATTTATTTAAAAAAGAAATTATTGATGTTTTTGAATAATTTCATAATTAAAGAAATTCATAAAAATGTAACGGATAATTTTTTTTGAGTAAAATTTTTTCCTTTAGTTTCTAAAAATTCAAAAATTTTTATTTTCAATAAAATCAACATTTGAAAGAATTTTGATTTAATATTTAAAAAAAAAATTGAATTTTACAAACAATGTTACATGAAATCGATTTTTTATAGAATTTTAATTTTATAAATTGAATAGAAATTAAATTTTTTAAAGAATATTCCAAAAAATTGAGTTTTTAAAGAATTTTAATCTCTTAATTGAAAAATAATTGAATTTTACATACAATTTAACAAAAAATTGAATTACCAAAGTATTTTAATTGAATAGTTTAGAAAAAATTAAAATTTTCCAAAAATTTTTTCTGAAAAATTTATCTTTCAAAGAATTTTAATTTAATAAAATTGAAAAATAATTGAATTTAACGAAGAATTTTTTTAAAAAATCGATTTTTTTGAAGAATTTCAATTTAATAGTTGAGAAATAATTGAAATTTCCCAAAATTAATTTCAAAAAGGTTTGAATTTGGAATTTTTGAATGTTCTAATTCCTGTGCAAAATTAATAATAATTAAATATTTATTTAAAAAAGAAATTATTGATGTATTTGAATAATTTTACAATTAAAGAAATTCGTAAAAATGTAGTGGAACATTTTTTTTTGGAGTAAGATTTTTTCCTTTATTTTCTAAAAATTCAAAAAATTTCATTTTCAATTTAAATTTGTAATTGACAAATAGAATTTATAAACGTTTGTTACGTTTATTTTTGAAAAAACTTTGAATTTTATTATAACATTTGTAATTAAAAAATTGAAATAATGTAAATTATTCCCTAATGAAAATTGAAAATTTTCTACAAAAATATTAAGAAACGGGAATATGTAATGTTTTCTTTCCCAAAATAAATTAATGAGTTTGTGAAGAATATTGTTATTGAGAAATAAAAGTTATGCATAAAATGGGTATGTATTTACTATTTCTTAATCATAATTTTTTAACAAATTTTCTATTTTTCATAAATACACAAGAGAAAAATTTGCATAATTTAGATCAGTCAAACGAAATTTTTTATAAAAAGAGCATATAATAAAGAAAATGGGTAAATTTTTCATTTGTTAATCGTCATTTTTTAAAAAAAATTTTTAATTCCTAATATTACTTTATTATGAATCATGAAAAAATACCTGCATATTTTCGATTTGTCAAAACAAATTTTTTTAAAGAAAAATAAATAAAAGAATACACAAAAACTAACTTCAAACTGCGGACAGAATCAATGAAACTACGAAGATTATTATATGTAATGTAATTATTAATATATTTTTTTTTCTAAATCTGACCATCAAGATTACATCAAATCTGCTTGGCTACTCAGGAGAATGAAACATTGTATGCCTCAGACTCTGCTGTTGGCTCTGGACCGTACATCTCATACAAAGCTCTACCAATCTTTCTTCCTGCTTCTGTAGCTGCTTTTCCTTCTTTGGCCCATTCAGAATCCCATACACCTCCATCCTGCTCTACGTCGACTGCTGCGGCCAGAATGGCAGCAAGAAATGGATGGTCTTTGGGGCTTAATCCCTTAAGGTACCTATGGTCTCTTCAGAAAGTAATAATTGAATTATTGTAAAAAATAAATTGTATAAAATTTTGTTAAATAATGGATTTTTTAGAAATGATATTTTAAATTATTTTGCGAAATTTCATGAAAATTCTAGATATTGAAAATAATTGAATTTCGAATATTTTTTAAAAATAATTGAATTTTTTTAAAGAATTTGATTATAATTTTTGAGAATGGTTTTTTATTTCTAGTAATAGCTAATTTAAAGTAATAAAAATTCTTTAAAAAAATTATTATTTATATTCTTTGTTCAAAAAGTTGAATATTATAATAATTTTTTTACCTCTTCCATTCTTCAGAATAATTAAAACTTTCGTAATGAAGATTATTTTTAATTTGAAAATGAAAGTATCAAATAACAATTTTTTGCGAAATTCAATTTTCTTCGTACAAGAATGTTCTCGAAGTTGAAGTCCACAACGTTGATCAACGAAAAAAAATTTATTTAATGCAATCAAGTATTATTTTTAATTTAATATTTAATTGTAAAATAATTATTATCAAAACATAAACATCAATCTTTTTTTTTCTAAATATTTTTGTGTGAATATTGCTGCGTAATTTTTAATTAATTTACTTAGTGAACAATTTTTTTTCGTTGATCAACGTTGTGGGCTTCAACTTAGTTAATTATTTTCAATTTAGAAAACTGATATTAAATTTGAAATTAGTATTCAAATTTGTTAAATTCTTTTTAAATACTTTAAAGTTTTAAAATGATATAAATTGAAAATTTAATTCTAATTAGTTTTTTAGTGAAGTGTCATAATAATTATTTCTTTAAAAATTACTGAAATTAAAATAATTAAAAACTATTTACAATAACCAGTGCAATAAAACATTCCGCGCGGATAATATGGCTAGTATATTAATAATCGTTGTATTCCGGTAATCTCGGTAATCTGTTCGCAGTTTGAAGTTTGTTTGTTTTTTTTTTGCTTTTGTGTTTCCCAAACGTTTTTAATAATTTTTCTTTTCAACTATTTTCAATTTAAAAATTAATCTATTAAAAATCATTGAATTCTTGCAAAAAATTTTGACAAAAAATTAATCTGAGATTAATTGAAAATCTCATAATTTTATTATAATTTTTTAAAATAATTTTAATTCAAACTTTTGAAAATAATTGAATTAAACAAAAAATTTTTTTAACATTTTATAGTAATAGTGATTGTTAATAATTACAATGAAATATTTGATTATTTATAATCAATATTTATAATTGAAAAGTTTTCAACATTTAATTGAACAAAATTTATTAATTTTGAAATTTAAATTCTATTTAAATTATTGCTTTACATGTTAAAAAACAATCTACAGTTTTAAAATATTAAATTTCGTTTTTAACTTTTAATAATTATAGAAACAGTATTTTTTGAGAATAATTTTGTCGAAAGAAACTTTCATTTACTTGAATAATGAAAATTTTTGCAACTTAAATTATTAACTGTAAATAATACAATTTTACAATAGATCGTCGTAATTGACAATTCAGTAAATTTTGTCTACCAAGTTTGTAATTATAAGCAAATAAAAACGCTTAATTATTGTATACACATATACATTTGTATCAATGGTCGTACAAATCGTAAGAATGTAAACAAACGTGACAATTGTCCCTTTAAACGCTTTAAAAGACTTACATTTTGAGGTTAGAACAGACGAGAACCGATCGAATCGATTAAATTATAAGAAAAGAATTACTCACGCATTGTACTTGTTTATAAACAAGAGATTTAGAGGAAAAAAGCATTTTTCGACATAAGTAATCTCAAATAACAAACTACTTTTATCACAAACTGAGAACTTACCAGAAAAAAACGATCAGATTGTAAATAAACATGAAAATGGAAGGGGGGAAAACGCAGACCTGTAATAACGAAGCACTGTGAACTCTCCTTTAGCCTCTTAAAGAATTGAAATAACAGGGGTTTTACTGTATTTTCCCTTCAAAACATTCCCAACCCTGTTTATTATCAAGAGGACACACTGAAGTTAGCCGATTATTTATTCAGGTGAATTGCTTGGACTTCACTGATTGGATGCCTCTTGTGTAGTAGTTGATTTTTTAGGTTAACCATAAGTTGTTTATTAAAATTGTAATAATTAACATTATATATTTCAGTTTCTAATAAAATAATTAATATAAATTAGCAATCATGTTACAAAGTGCGCTTGATGATTTGAAACGTATGAATAAACGTCAGGTAAATATGAAAATTTTCTCTTATAAATAACATATGGCTATTGAACTTCGATAAACCCGGTGATATTTTAGAATTTTATTTTTAAAAATTTTCACACGTTTTTAAGAAATATTTTTTAGAAAACTATTATTTATTTAAGACAATATCTACTATTATCTATTGCGCTAATTTTTAACCTTGTGAATTAAAATTGTATCTGAAATATTAGCAGATGTTCACTGCCACATACACAAAATGTTAATTTTTAATGAAGAGTTTGTAAGAGGAAAAATTTATTAATAAATGTGGTTTATTTTTTCAGTTTCTCTATCAGGTATTAAGTTTTGGAATGATAGTTTCCTCGGCTTTAATGATATGGAAAGGTTTAATGGTTGTGACTGGTAGCGAAAGTCCGATTGTAGTTGTTTTGAGGTAAGTTTTGTAGAGATAGGTTATGGTTTTTATTTAAACTCGAAAGTCTCTTGGAATCTAAAGCTTGAAATTGTTTATTTAACAGTGGTAGTATGGAACCAGCGTTTCATCGGGGAGATCTTTTATTCCTAACAAATTACGAAGACGAACCTGTTCGTGTAGGTGAAATTGTGGTGTTCAAGATTGAAGGTCGTGAAATTCCGATAGTCCACAGAGTCCTCAAACTTCACGAAAAGTAAGTTTTACTATTTTTAATAATGTTAACTTTAATTTATTTAAAAAGATAATTTTCGATATTTAAATTCGTTACTTTTTTTAATGGTAAATTTAACTAAATTCAAATCAATTTTAAGCCTTTAAAAAGTAAATTCAGGCCTTGAATATTGTGACTTTTTTCGAATATTTTCAAAAAATGCGCCATTTTTTTACTTATTTTCAAAAATTGTGACTTTTTCAACTTTTCTTCCAAATATTGAAACAAAATACAACTTTTTTTTAAGTATAAAAAGCAACTTATTTCGATTTTTATAGTATGAAAAGTATAACTGTTGACAAATCTTTCAAAAATTATTTTTGAATAATTTTTCTAATTCAATTTTTAAAATATAAAATTAGAAAGATTTCAAATAATTTGTATTCTGTGAAAGTTCATTGAAAATAATTGATTTTTTAAAGTATTTTAATACAATTTTTGAAGAATTTGAATTGCAATTTAATTCCATTTGTTTTCAATTCAATATAAGGAAATTTTGATTATTCGGAAATTCTTTAATTAAATAGACATTAAAAAATAAAAACTTCAAATATGTTATTTCAAAAAAAAATTGAATTAAACTTTTTAAAAGAAATTAATTCTACAATATTGTCTGTTAAAAGTATGAAATATTCAAATTTGCAAACATTTCAAAATTTAATTATTTCTAAGAATTCACAAAATAATTATTTTAATATTCAATTATTATCTAAAATTTGAACTGCAATTCATTTTTTAAATAAATTTTGTCAAAAAATTCTACGAGAATTAAATTATTTCAATAAAAAATAAACAATTTATTGAATAAGAAGTATTTAACAAAATTATTCAAGTTTTGAATAATTGAATTTAAAAATTATTGAAAAGTCAGGAAAATACAAAATAAAATTTTTGTGACAACATTGAATTAAATAAACGACTTTATCGACTTTTGAAGTTAGTTGTTGTTTGCTTTTTTGTTTCCTAAACATTTTTAATACTTTTTCTTTACAAATATTTTCAGTTAGGTTTAAAATTAATCTATTAAAAATCATTGAATTCTTGCAAAAAATTTGTGAAAAATTGAAATTTATTCTTCTCAGAATTTTATTACAATTTTCTAAAATAATTTAATTCATTCAAGAAATTTTATTAAAATATAGAAAATAATTAAATTCTTTGGATTAAAATTTTATTAAAATTACTGAAGTTTTTAAAACCAAATAATAATGCGTTGAAATTTTCTTTTTCAGAAATGATAAAAATAAGACAGTGAAATTTTTAACCAAAGGTGATAATAATTCAGTCGACGACAGAGGTCTTTACGCACCAGGTCAATATTGGCTGAGTCGTAAAGATGTAGTTGGAAGAGCACGAGGATTTCTTCCCTATGTAGGAATGGTTACAATTTTCATGAACGAATATCCAAAATTGAAGTATGCTATATTAGCATTTCTTGGTCTTTACGTTTTAATACATAGAGAATAAAAAAAGATTTATAAGATTAATTTTCTAATTAGTGAATAAAAACTCGCCCAATCATTTATATATATATGTATATATATGCATTTTTTTTTCTTATAAAATTAGAGTGTGATCTCATAATGAATGTAAAAACAAAAGCAAGATGAAAATATTTGTTAATTTCTTTTTTTTTAATTCATACATCAGTTTTTTTGTTTAATATCAAAAATGTAATGTAATCCAAATTCTTGTATTCGTATATTGTTCTTAAATCACTCAGTAAAAAATTTTCATATAAACATTCCTTCTAAGTGATTTAAAGACAAATTTTTCACAAGACGATTTAAATGTTTGTTTCTTTTTCGCAATTTATTTATTATTCAAAATTTGGTGAATAAATCTCCTCTTGTATTATAATTAATCCTTGAAAATGTTAAAATAAAATCATGATTTATATTTTAAAAGTCAATTTTATTACAAATACTTAGATATACAATTATTTAAAATAAAGACAATTTTCGTTTTCGATGCTTATCACATAATCATTATAAATTCATTGAACAACAGGTTTAAAATATTTATATAGAGTTTACACGGTACAAAATAAAAATATTTTTAAATAGCAACATTAGAGATTTATATTATAATAAATATTTCTTCTTTTTAAGAGGACATTGGAATTGAACAAGTTGCATCAATCTCTTTCGATTTCCTAAAAAGAAAAATATTGAAAGGATAATGAAAAGAGTAAATCAAAAAATACAAAAGTATTTCGAACGAAAAAATTTACTAATAATGAATATTCTAATTATATATCAATTAGTTTTTATTACTTACTTTTTGGACAGATAATATTTTAAAGCTTGTTTCGATGCCGCTGATTTTGCCTGTTTTTTATTTGCTCCAAAACCGTGGAACAATTTTGGTTTTCCTTCTACTACGATTTCCAACGGAATCATTACTCTTTCTGTCGATTCTACCATCACGGCTTTCCTGAAATAGAAATTTAGTATCCAACATTAGATTATTTATAAAAATCGTCAAAATTTAAAAACTAATTATAATAAAATAGTGTTCTTACAAAAATCTTGGTCTAACGCCCGTCTCATAGATAACTCGTACTGGTTGTTTAGGCACATCGGCACAGAAAAGTTCTGAAAATAAATTTTAATTCGATTTTATTTATTTATAACAATTTTTTTTAATTCTACATAAAACTCAATTTGATTTTCAATTTGTTAATGTAATGATAATCAAATAAATTTTGATAATCTAACAATAATCAAGTAAAAAAATTTTGATAATCTAATGATAATCAAGTAAATAAATTTTGATAATCAAAACAAAATAAGAATAAGATTTAAAGAAAGAATTACCAAATTCTTCGGACATCATAGTATATACGATTTCCCAAACTTTTTTCATATCCTTTCCTGAATCAATATAAATGGCACCGATAATCGATTCAAAGATATCTCCCATTGCTTTCGGCACGTCCACGTGTTCAGCTAAATTGCACTCATCTTCTTCTAATAAAATCCATAGTAACTGAAAAAATATGTATACATATTTTTTAGTTTTAAATATCAACTTTAAGTTTTCAATAGATTCAAGATTCAAAATTTTTTAAAATTTATTATCTAACTAATTATTACCATATATTTTTTTTCATAAACTTCAATAAAATACTTCAAAACAGTTCAATTATTTGCCAAAGTAAAAATTCTTTGCAGAACTTCAATTATTTTTAAAAAATATAATAAAATTCTCTATAAGATTTGAATTATTTTAAATACAATTTTAATTAAATTTATCGGAAAAATTTGTAGGAATTGAATTTTTTTTAAATAATAAAATTATTCACAGGAATTCAATTATTTTCAATACAATTTTAATAAAATTTCTCGAAAGAATTCAATTATTTAAAAAAATTTTATAAAATTCTATATGAGATTTGAATTATTTTCATTACGCAATTTTAATTAAATTCGTCGAAAAAATTTGCAAGAATTGGATTAATTTTGTAAATAATAAAATTCTTTACAAAATTCAATTCTTTTAAATACAATTTTAATAAAATTTCTCGAAAAAATTCAATTATTTCCAGAAATTTTAATAAAATTCTTCACAGGAATTCAATTATTTTAAAAAAAATTTAATAAAATTCTATGCAAGAATTAAATCATTTCTGGTTCAAAATTTTTAAAAGTTACAAAAATTACAAAAAATTGTTTTGTCATTCTACACAGAACAAGACATTAAAATAAATAAAATCTAGTTTTTCCTAAAAAATAATTTTTTAATAAACCATATTTTGCACGAATAAATATTCATTTCTCTACAACAATTTATAAGTACTTAACTATTCTTATATTTTAGAATGTTAAATTAATTTTACTAATTTAATAATGATTTTCGATTCAAAACTATTTTGTTTAATTAATTTTTTGTCATTCTTTAATCTTGAAAACATTAAATTAGAATTTCTTTAATTTAGAAATCCTAAACATTTAAAAAGTAACATTATAAAGAAAATTAGAAAACAAAAAAAAAACAAAAAACAAGAAACAAAAGGACAACTTCAAACTGCAAACAGTCTGCCGGAATATAATAATAATTATTAATATAGAAGTTTAATTACAATTGAATGAAATTGAAAGTTTGAATAAAAGAAATTAAGAAGTACAATAGAAAAAAAAGGAATTTCGTAATTATAGAAATTTTTCCATTTCTCACCTCAACATCAACGGTGTGTTTTTTATCCTCTCGGAATTTAACGAATCGATTTATCATGTCGTGTAATACTGGCACGTACGACAATAATGCTGTATGTAAACCATATCTCGCTGATACACAGGCGAATGTTATATTATTCACAAGTGCCGATCGTAAATCCGTAAGTTCACCAGGACTCAATTCGCCACAATATTCATAAATATAAACGGTAATAAGAAAATCTAAACACAAATTTCAAGTTATTCAAATATAAAGATTTCAAGAAATTCAAATATTAAAATTTCGACTAATTTAAATAATAAAATTTCCAATAAACATAATTTAAAAATATTTATTTTCATTTATAAATAAAATTCTCACCTAAAACAGCGTCGCCAAGAAATTCTAGTCTTTGGTAGCATGGTGTTATTCCATTAGACGAATACGAAGGATGAGAAAGGGCCTAAGTATTTAAAAAAAATTATTTTCAAATAAAATATATTTCCTAATAAATAAAAATATTCAAATTTAATAAAAAGAGAAAATATGTTTATTAACAATATTACTGTACCTGCAGAAGTAACGATCGATCTTTGAATTTATAATTTAATCTCGTTTCAATCATATTTGCCCAGGGCATGTGACTATTAATTTCCTTAGAAGCAATCTCATTAAATGACATCGTGAAAACTGGAACGCTCTTTAATTCAACTTTCGATTGCGATGGAATTATTTGGAACCACTTGAGAATATTCAAAGCGCCTTCTGTTCCCAGAGTCTAAAGAAAAATTATTCATTCATTCATTCATTTCAAGTAACCTATGATTATTATTTTAATTAATTATTAGTAAAATAAATATAAATTTATTCACTCGATCGTTTATCTGTATTAAAATTTTTTTTAATATTTTCAGATTGAAATATTTAAATTGTTTTTTTATTGTTATTAACTTTAACAAAGAGATTTGAACCTACAAAAATTAAATTTTTATATTATCTTATATTACGAATATTGAATCAAAATTTACGAATTAAATTATTTTTAATTTAAAGGTAAGACTAAAAGCTCTCTAAGGAAGAAAAAATAAAATTAAAAATTCTTGATACGATTTTTGTACTTACGCAAAGACCAGCGCCAATAATTGACTCCACCGAATCGGCAACGACTTTGTCCGCCACATTTTGTCTACCCAAAAATTGTTCCATCGTACAATTCGAAGGAGTATCGCTCCAGGCCAATACTTTTGTCTGTATTTCGTCTAATGTTAATTCAGTAATATAACCACTGATCTTCTCTTCGTCCGGTATGAACAATTCATAAAGAACATTCGCCGATATCTGGAAATTAAAAGTGATGTATAAATTTGACTTTTCCGCTTGACTTTGACATCATTTTTGTGATAAAAAATTAAAATAGAAAAACACAATAGAAAAGAAAAGAAAAAATCAGAATTAATTATTTACCTCATTGTCAATCAATACTACTTGAACTGCTCTTTCTGCACTATAAGCAGGAGCAATGAAATTGCTATTTGGAATAAAGTCCTCGACTTTTATTCGTCCTGGTATATCTTTATTTTCACCGCAATAAAATAAATTTCGATTGCCAATTAATTTTCCCTTTAATGCTGTTAATTTACCTTCATTGTAACTCTTGAATGTTTCATACAAAAATAGAGAAACGGCGAATTTTAGAAATGAATCGCCCAATGTTTCCATTCGCTCGAGATCGAATGCGTCGTTACTGATCTTACTGGTTAGAGCCTTTAATAAAATGACAGTATTTAGTCCCTCAAATTTTACATTTGACAACATTTTTATCACTGGCACTGGCAAATCTGGCCGAGAAATATAAGAAACATTTTGCTTTGGTTTCAACTGAAATTAAATATTGATTGATTGATTAAAATATTCATTTGAATATTGAAAAAAAAAGAAAAAGAACTTTCTTACCATAGTTTTCACATTACTAATATCTGGTTTTCCCATAAATTTATGATACGTTTCGATATGAATCAATTGTATAATATCCGCATCTCTCACTAAATCTGGAGGTTCGTCCCTCTTGTGCCAAGGATATTCTGCTTCCATGCTCAGAACTGCAAAATATTTTTCCCAAATAAATGACAAAATATTTTCATATTTTATATAAAAAAAAACTAATTATTCTATTAATTAATTAGGTATATTCTATGAATTATTATTATATTTATAATAATTTATTTAAATGTAATTTCAAGTAAAATACAATTTGTTATAACCAAATTATTATTTAATTAAATACAATACAAAAAGAATTAATTAAAATACTTGTTACTAGTTATTAAATATACGGTTAGCAATTACTTTATGTTAACTAGCAAATGTTACGCATTTTTGTAATTATGAAAATTACAAAATTTTTAATTTTCAAATATGAATTTTTGAATAATTTCAGATTCAAACTTTAAAAAAATTCAATTACATATTAACTAATTTACTATTGAATTATTTTTGTTTAATAATTTCAAAAATTTTAATAAAATTCTTCGCAAGAATTTTCAAATATTTACATAAAAATAATTTATTTTTTTAAATTTTAATAAATTTTTCGAAAAATTGCAATTATATTTAAAAATATAGTAAAATTTCTTGCTAAAATTCAATTATTTTGAAAAAAATTCCACGAAAGAATTCAATTTTTTTCTTAATTCGTTATAAAGTATTTCAAAAGAACTTAATTCTTTTCTAAAATTTTAATAAATTCTTCGAAACAATTCAATTTTATTTATAAATAGTAAAATTCTTTGCAAAAATTCAATTATTTTCAAAAAAATTTCACGAAAGGTTTCAATTTTTTTCTTAATTCGTTATAAAATATTTTAAATGAATTCAATTATTTTCTAAAATTTAAATAAATTTTTCCATTACTAAAAAAGAATTTAATTAGAATTTTCAAACATTTTAACAAAATTCTTCGCGAGAATTTAATTATTTTCCTAAATAATATAATTTTTCGAAGGAATTTTATTATTATTAAATGTTTTGATAAATTTCTTTGAAACAATTCGATGATTTTCAATAGATTAATTTTAAAATTGAAAATATTTAAAAAGAAATATTATTAAAAGAGTTAGCAAACAAAAAAGAAAACAAGAACTAACTTTAAACTGCGAACAGATTACCGGAATCCAACGATTATTAATATTAGAAGATAGAAGATAATTAAAAATATTACCATCAATTTCTGGACCACCAATTTCTGGCTGCAAATCAGAGACATCCATTTCCGATGACTCGTCTAACGTACTTTCCAAGTTGTCCTTTTTTTTCTCCACCTCCATGCCTGTTATTATCAAAGGTGGTTGATTTTTCTTAATCGGAGTTTGTAATTTAATATCTTTTTCAATCTCTCTTCGAAGATCGTTTGCTGTCAAAAGATGCGATATCCGATGAAGAATCGATGGAAGAGCCGTGGCCTTTAACCAGTAGAGTGCTGGAAAATCTATAATATCGCACAGTTCAGGTACGAGATGCTCTGTCAAATCAACGTTTTCCTTCGTCTTCCTGCGAGCACTCCTGATAAAAAAATTAAAATACGAATTAAATTAGAAATTGATTTCAAGCATCTTATAGTTCTATTATTTTATATTTTAAATAATAATTTATATATCATATTATCTAAAGTAATTCATTACATTTGTCGTAAATCATATAAATAGTCATAAATAATTTTTTTAAATAAAAATCGAAATAAATTTTTATACCGTGGAACAATGCAATTAATTTTCGTTGAAATTGATTTAACTTCCAGAAGATGTTGTCTCGAATTCATTATCGAAACACTATAATGCTCTCTGTAATAATCCACATAGGAACGAAATTTATTATCAGGAAAACTCGAGTCTGCTCTTATATCGTCGCAAATCATCGTGACAATATAAATATTCGGCGCTGCTCTATAATTTGGTTTCACCAATGCCAATTCAAAATCATCTTCATTTATTTCAAAGGGCGAGAGTGGAATTTTATTTTCAATTGTCTGATATTTATTGACAATATTCCAATCGATTTCACGTTGTACGTTCACTAGAGAAAATAAAAAGTTTTTGAATTTTAAATTTAAATTCAAAATTTATATTTAATTCAAGCTTTTCATTATTAACATAAAAGAATAACAAACCTGGGACAACGGCAAAACTGTTCTCTAAATTATTAACATCGAAAACCATAAAATCATGGACAATATTTAAAAGTTTGAGAAATACCATTGTATGGAAATTCTTCAATTCCTCAATTTTTTCCTTATCTAAAGTGAATCGTTTGACATTGACTTCCACGTGAACTTCCAACGGTCCAACGTTCATAAAAATTGGAAAATTCGGCAACTGTAAATTAATGAAATTTATAAAACCAATTAGATAAATTAAATGAATTAATTATTAATTTACTCATTAAGTTTTATCAATAATGACAAAAAGAAGGAAATGAATAATTCACTTACTTCAGGAAACTCGGTGGTTGTCAGCAAACCATAGCCTGCATTTTCTTTCAATAAATTATAAAATACAAGGTGTCGATTGTCCAAAGGTTCTGAGTATTTTGGAGTCATTTTCAAGATGTGAAGATATAATGTCTTATCAGCTACAGGAAATGCTCCATAAAGAGCTTCTGGATGCTGTAAACAAAATTTTTTTCATATTAAATAAAATAATAAATTAAATATTTTTTTTGTGATTTTTTTGTTTTACAAAATAAATTAAATAATTTACCATATAGTTATTTTTAATAATTATGAATTAAAAATTTTTAAAATAATTAAATTTCACGAAAAATTTCTTTCAACTTTTACAAAAATAATTTAATTCTTCAGAAGAATATTATTAAAATTTTAGAAAATAATAAATAATTATAATTAGTAAATTATTTAATAATGGAATACAATTCTTCGGAAGAATTCAATTATTTTCATAAATAATAACATTCTTCGGAAGAATTCAGTTATTTCTATAAATAATAAAATTTATTGCAAAAATTCAATTATTTTTACCAAAATTTTAATACATAAAACCTTCGAAACAATTCAATTGTTTTTTTAAATAGTAAAATCTTTGCAAAATTCAATTATTATATCAATAAAATTTCACGAAAGAATTCAATTTTTTTTTAATTCGTTAGAAAATTTTCCAAAAGAATTCAATTATTTAAAAAAATTTTAATAAAATTTTTCCTAAAAATTCAATTATCTTTATAAAAAGTAAAATTCTTCGTAAGAATTCAATTATCATCATTAAAAATAAAATTCTTTGGAAGATTTCAATTATTTTCAAAAATTTGAAACAAATTCTTGTCAAGACTTCAATTTTTTCATAAATAATTGAATTCTTTGCAGAATTTCAATTATTTTCAAAAATTTGAAATAAATTCTTATCAAGAAATCCTTTCGAAGTAAAATTCATCGCAAAAATTATTTGGGGTGAATTATTGCCACTCAATATTTTGAAAATTATTTTAAAAAGTTGAAAAAATTCATTGTTTTAATTCAATTATTTTCAAAATTTTGAATTGAAATTATTCAAAAAACTAAGTTATTTAAAAAAACACAAAGAAATTCTTCAAAAGAATATAATTATTTATAAAAACTCTAATAAAAACGTTTAATAGTATCTATTGTTTGAAAAAATTTAATTATTTTCTACATTTTAATAGAATTCTGAGAAGAATTTAATTATTTTCTAAAAATTTTAATAAAATTCAATAAATTAATTTTTAATTTCAATTATTAAGAAACACGATTATTTTAAAAACCTGAAAGAAATTGTTCATAAAATTAAAAATACTTTCACAATTTTCAATTAAAATTATTAAAGAAAGTCCATTATTTAAAAAAAATATTCAAAGAAAATCTTCAAAAGAATTAAATTAGGATTTTTAAAAATTTTAATAAAATTTTTCGCGAGAAATCGATTATTTTCAGAAATAATAAAATTCTGCATAGGAATTCAATTATTCTCAAATTTTTTGACAAAATTCTTTGCAAGAATTCAATGATTTTTAATTAATTTTTTTTAATTCATTAATTTTAAAATTGAAAATATGAAATTAAAAGAGAAGAAAAATTATTAAAAAAGTTAGGAAATAAAAAAGCAAGTAACAACTAACTTCAATCTGCGATCAGATTACCAGAATACAACGATATAGAAGATTTTTTTTTAATGTTGAATCTAAAATTATTCAAAAATATTCTCTTCGGTAAAAATTAAAAAAATAAAAACTCACAATCAGAGTATGTTTTCTCTTTCTGCTGTACGTTCCTGGCAGGCCATTATCCTCAGATTTATCATTTTCGTTCCAATTGGGAAACAGATAAGTGACATTTTCCTGAATAACATCAGGATCAACAGGATTCAAATTGTCATTTAATTCGCCAATTTCCTTTAATTTAATACACGCTTTTAAAGCTACGGAGCGTTTGGCATCGTCAATTGATTCCATCCAATCGCCAACAATTTTCTCTTTCAATGGCGCAACAATTGGCAAAGTGAGTGAAACCTGGACAAAAAAAATTCTTAAAATTAAATTATTGCTTTTTTTTAAACAAAAACAAACAAAAATTTAGATTTATAAACGAATTTCAATTATACCTGATATAATTGCTCAACATTGTCATTTAAAGGTTTATTCTTATGTAAAGTCCAAGTAGGAGATAAACTGATAAATTTGCATTTATACAAATTAGCGCAATATCGATTCAATAAACTGATTGCTGACTGCTCCGTTATAACGCAAACTTTACCTTCTTTGTTTACATGAACAAATGGTTCGAGTTTGTATGTATATAATTCTTTTTCAATTTCTTCAGCATTCGGCGCTATGCGAAAATCAGTTCGACCGACAAGTATCTATAAAAATTAAAGAGTTAAAATTTATTTGCTAATTTCAACTTGTTTCGTGTGCTTAAGAAATTTTTTCGCTTTTATTCCTTTCATTCCATTTTTTATCTATTTTTTCGGTAAAAAAAGTTTGAATTTTGATTTTCGATAAAAAAAATAAAGAATAAATAATTTAATTAGTGTTAAAAATTTACACTTACTTGTTGTAGATATTTTTCAGTTTGTTGATACTGTATGTATTTGGATTCAAATCTAGTATCTCCATTTGGAACAAGCATTGTGTATTGACTCGTCGAATGACGTGCTCTGCCTTTACTTTGGATATAGGATCGAAAATCCATCGGCAAATCGAAACGTACAATTAAACTGCACTGTGGAATATCGACACCTTCGTCCACCACATCAGTTGCCACAATGCAATTCGATTCACGATTACGAAATCTGTATTTAAAAAGAAAAATAAAATTATTTCTCTTCCTATCTTAGAATAAAATTCAAAGTAAATTCAATTAAAGCCAAAATAGTTCAAAATTTGGATAATTTAACATTTGAATCGATTAATCTTCAGACATTGTACCTAAATTTAACTGTTTTTGTGAAATATATTTCATCTGAAAATTAATCAAATTGGGGGAAAAAAGGTGAAAAGGGTAAGAAATTATCAAAATAGGTAAAATTAAAATTAGGTGTAAATAATAATAATAAAAATATATTTACCTTCTTAATACGTCCTGATTCCACTTAGAAATACACATAATTTCTTTGGAATTTTTGTAAGGGTCATTATTGTATCCTACCATATATTCAGGCTTCAAGAATGCATATTCTTGATTTTCTTGATGAAGACTCTAAAATAATTAAACGAAAACGTATTTACAATTAATTACACATTTTATAATTAACTAGCAAATTTTAAGCGAGCTAGCGCGCGGAACGAGATATTCAATTTATTATTATTTTGCAAATTATAAAATTTATTATTTTCAAATATGTATAAATTTTTTGAATAATTTCATAATCAAAATTTAAAAAATGCACTTATTAAGTACATAATTGACAATTATTGTTTAAATTTTCAAAACTTTTATTTTATTTTTCACAAGAATACAATTATTTTTACAAATAATAACATTATTCCGAAAAATTCAATTATTTTTAAAAATAGTAAAATTTGTTGCCAAAATTCAATTTTTTGAAAACTTTTAATAAAATTTCACGAAAGAATTCAATTATTTTCTAAAATTTCAATAAAACCTTCAAAACAATTTAATTATTTTTGTAAATAGTAAAATCTTTGCGAAAATTCAATTAGGTATTTTCAATAAATTTTCACGAAAGAATTCAATTTTTTTCTTAATTCGTTATAAAATTTTTCAAAAAAATTCAATTAGGTACTTTAAGAATCCTTCGAAACAATACAATTATTTTTATAAATAGTAAAATTCTTTGCCAAAATTTAATTATTTTTAATACAATTTTCAAAATATTTCATGAAAGAATTGGAAATTTAAAAAAATTTTTAATAAAATTTCACGAAAGAATTCAATTATTTAAAAAAATTTTTTAAAATCCTTGGAAACAATTCAATTGTATTTTTAAATCTTTTAAATAGAAAACTTTTTGCCAAATTTCAATTATATTTTTAAATCTTTTAAATAGAAAACTTTTTGCAAAAATTCAATTATTTTCAATAAAATTACACGAAAGAATTCAATTTTTTTTTCTTTTAATTCGTTATAAAAGTTTTCAAAAGAATTCAATTAGGTATTTTTAAAAATTTGTTAAAATCCTTCAAAAACAATTCAATTATTCTCATAAATAGTAAAATTCTTTGCCGAAATTCAATTATTTTTTAATATAATTTTAAAAATATTTCATGAAAGAATACGAAATTTTTTCAAATTTTTAATAAAATTTCACGAAAGAATTCAATTATTTAAAAAATTCTTGGAAAGAATTCAATTATAATTTTAAATAGTAAAATCTTTGCAAAAATTTAATTATTTTCAATAAATTTTCACGAAAGAATTCAATTTTTTTCATAATTCGTTATAAAATTTTTTCAAAAGAATTCAATTATTTTCTAAAATTTTTAATAAAATCTTCGAAACAATTCAATTTTTTTTTAATTTTTAATAAAATTTTTCGAAAGAATTCAATTAATTTCTATATTTTAATAAAATTTCTTAAATAAATGAAATTCTTCGGAAAAATTCAATTGTTCTCAAATTTTTTGATAAAATTGTTTGCTATTGCATTTTAATTTTAAATGCTATTGCATTTTACATATTCTTAATTTTAAAATTAAATATAATTTAAAAAGAAAAATTATACAAAGATTATTAATATATAAATTTTCACTCACTGAATTTCTTTTTGTAATTAGAATGACTTTCATTTATTGAAATTCCTTTTAGATGAAAATAAACAAAAATTAATATTTAAATAGAAAATAAAAAAAAATTGTGTTAAAAAATGTTAATAAAAAAAATTCAATAAACAAATTCAATAATTAACTTACTTTCAAAATGTGATACAGAACTTGTGCCGTAAAGCGTCTTTGAACGAAGATAATGGCACAAAATTTTTTATCAGCCTCTTTTTTGTCGTTGAATTGTTTTAGAATCGCTATCAATTTTATAACTTTATCCGACGAGAATCTGTAAAATTAAATTACTGAATTAACAGAAATTAACAATAGTGAAAAAGAAACTTTTTTTATATAATAATAAATATTTTAAATTCAATTACAAAACATAGAGAAAAATTAGAAAATATTAAAACGTACTGATAAATTTGATCTCTAATCGATAATCCGTCCATTTCTATGTCGAACATTTTTCGCAATTTCATCATGTTTGTCAAAATATAGTCCAAGACGAATATTCCTTGCTGAAAATGGAATTATTATAAAATTTACAATAGTCGAAAAATGTCCAGTATTTATTTAAATTTGAAAAAAAATTATGTTTATTCGAATAAATCAAATTTAATGACTCACTGGTTCGGCAAAAGTTCTTTTTATACTCTCCATTTGTATCATGTGCAATAAGACAGCTTTAGTTGCTCCAAATATTCCTTTGAATGAAAAAAATACACAAATTATAGATCAATGAAAAGTAGATTTTCTCCTATTTAATATTTCAAATTACCCGTATTTATTAAATTCTCCTTTATATCCACTAAAATATTAATCAATTTCTCCGCTCTTGTTTTTGGCTTGAATATAGGCGTTGAAAAATTATTATCCGACGGTTGCGGAATCTTTATGATTTCCAAAACTTTTTTCATTTCATTTATAATTTCATCGACTTTGGTGGTGTCACTAATTTCTTCTTTGTACTTTATACAATTTTCCCTGGGATTTGTTGAAAATCCGGCAACAATTGCTAAAGATTCAATCGAAGCAATTTTCGAGTGAAATGTTATTTCGAGTGACTAAAAGAAAATATTTTCATATATAACTTAATTACAGTAATTTGATTATTAATTAATCAACTAGTAAAGCAACAACAATTTAGCAATCAACTAATAAAAATAGTTTCTCTAAAGTTTTCAAGGTTCAAATGAACGAAATACTTTTTTGTATTTCGATATTTTTGAAAAATAACTGAACAGAAATCTTTTAATTATCCGCACCACATATTTTTTAATGTAAAACAATATTTTTGGACAAAATTAAAATTATAAGAACTGATAAAAATATTGTTTGGAAATGAACGTTGAAAATTTTAGAAATGTAAAAAATAGGTTAAAAAAATTTTGTTGTACCTGAATTGTTTCCTGAATTTTATCTAATTTAATATTAGCGTTAAGTAAAGTTGCCGACAATCCCAACACTCTTGGTTGACTTTCGAGAGGACATTTTTCGAATCTTTGCATAATCTGCCGCATGGGATGGTCGCTGACGCCTCTATGGCATTCGTCAAATATAATCAAATTGACTCTATCAAGGGACATGACTCCATGATTAATTATATCTAAAAATATTTGTGCCACCATAACGAGGATCGGTGTGTCCTCAATTTCGCTCCACCATTTTTTATTGTCCCAAAAGTCAACTTGCATATCGCCGCTAAAACCCTTGGTATTTAAACCCGTGTGTCTTGCAAGATAATCGGCTTGCTGCGATACCAGTGGAACTGTATTAACTATAAAAATAGTTCGCTTCGATCCATTGCTGTATTTACTGTGAAAAGAAAACGAAAATTATATAAAAAAATATCAGGCTTCGTACTCAATAATATAAAATAGAAGCAAAAAGTAGAAAAGTAAAAAAGTAAAATCTAAAAGTAAAAAAGTAGAGAAAAAATGTAGCCATTGAAAAATTAAATTTGACGAATAAAAACCCATTGGTGAAGTTCACAACCTTTACAATTAACAATTAAGAAGAAAAACATATTTTTCTAATCAAATTTCTGTCATAAAAAATTTTTTACAGTGTTTCTTGATCGGAAATTTAAAAGAGAAACAAAAAATATTGTCTTCTGGATAAAAAATAATTTTTTCTCCCAATCGTTTATCAAGAACATTATAAACTTCACCCACTTTAAAAAAACTCGATTTTATCAATTCGCAAAAATTTGGTTTCGTATTTCCTTAACTTTTTCCTGATTTCTTTAAAAAAATATTCAATTTTTTTCTTATTCTGGTGATAAGTTCAATTCTAAATTTTTCTGAATTTCAATTATTACTTTCCAAACTTTTATTCAGAATTCTTCAAAAATACGATTATGTTTAAAAATAATTTTTAAAAGTAAAACAAAAACAAAATTCTTGAAAAAAAATATTCAATTTTTTTCTTATCCTGGTGATAAGTTTAATTCTAAATATTTCTATAATTCAATTATTTTCCAAACTTTTAGTCAGAATTCTCCAAAAATACGATTATGTTTAAAAATAAGTTTTAAAAGTAAAAAAAAAGCAAAATTCTTAAAAATATAAAATTTATTTCAATCGATTTCAATTAAGTTTGACAAGATTTCCAATTAATTGAAAATTTAAATAACTATTTTCAATTTTTACAAGAATTTAACTATATGTTCAAAAAAAAATTTTAATTACAACTTTTCAAACGACGAATTTCTTCTTTTAGAATTTCTAAATTAAATTTTTCAATTTAATTTAATTAGAATTTTATTTATTTGTAAAAATAATTGAATTCTTGAAAAGAATTCTATTATCTGTAAAAATAATTGAATTCTTGCGAATTTTACTATTTGTAAAAATAATTGAATTCTTGCGAAGAATTTTATTAAAATTTTTGAAAATAATTAAATTTTTATTGAATCATTTTATAAAAGTTTTGTAATAGTACATTGTACAACTAGTGGCGAAAGTGTGATTTTTCGAGAGCAGCAATCACTCAAGAAAAATCATTCTTTCACCACGAGTTGTGCACTACGTTTTCTCCAACGCCTTGCGAGAAAAGGTTTCTTCGTGAGTGATTTTATGTAATTGCATTTCTATGAAAATTTTATTAATTATGAAAATAATTGAATTCTTGCGAAAAATTTTCTTAAAATCTTTATTGAAAATAATTGAATTCTTTCGTAGAATTTTATTAAGATTATATTCAAAAAAATAAGTGAATTCATCTTAAGATTTTTATTATTTATGAAAATAATTGATTTCTTACAAAGAATGTTTTTAAATTTTTCTTAAATAGTAGAAAATCGTAGAAAAAGTAGTAAATAGTAGGGTTTAGTAGATGAAAGTGAAGCCTGCAATATAAATTAGAAACTTCAAAATAAAATTTCAAAACAAAAAAATAAGATAAAATCTTACCCTTGTATAGCGCCACATAATTTTTTCACAACTTGAACGGCAATATACGTTTTTCCTGAACCTGTAGGAAGATAAATTATTGTATTTTCTCTTACTGCCTTCTCAAAAAGATCTACCTGGTACGCACGAGGTACCAAATCTTCTTTCGCTTTCTCCGTATCTGATTCCATGATGTCAATTTCTGTAAAATTTAATTTAAAAATTCTGTAAGTCGAAAATGTTAAATAATGTTCCCCTTTAGATAATAAAAAGAAAATTTTAGATATTTGACTTGATTGCAATTGTTTTGTGTAAATTTTCGAAATTTTTTGAATTCCAAATAGCAAATTAATCTCTAAATATCTGATATTGACAATTTTTATTTAAAAAAAAACTGTATTCGATGTACCTATTTAATTACTATATTAGATATAAAATATAAATAAATAAACCCTTTAGTAAATAAACACTGAAATCACTGAAATATTTGTTACTTAGGGAATCCCCGTAGGATTTTTCTCATTTTATCTGATGCAATAATTATGCACTGACGTGTCCGAACGTGCTTCTAGAGTAAAAAAAAGATAAACATTATCTTTCAAGATATGAGATTCTGCACTTACTTTTGATTTTTGCCTTAATATTTTCTTATCACTTTTTTATTATTTTAAAATTTATTATTTTGTTCACAACATTCACTTTCATATTATTTTGTACAATTATTATTACACTGATTACACTATTAAAATGTTTTTGCATGCATGCATGTTTATGCCGACAAAACAAAAAACAACCTCTCAAAACAGAAGACGATGGGAAAATAAAGTATATAGAGAGGGGACACGCACTGCAAAAATCGTTCACAACGGTGTATTCACAACGTTCACAATCGCAAATAATTTTGCACTTAGGGTACATTCACACGACTTTTGGAAAAACTAAATACTTGTGAGAAGGACAGAAGGTCTGTTTGCGCATATGACGCACTGTGGACGAGACTGTACCTTAAGGTGTCAAACTGTCAACAAGCTAATAACCAAAACTAACAAACGGAAATAATGAAATAATTCTAATATTATGAAATCTTTATTCAATAATAATATTAATAATACAACATTTCTTGTGTATTTTTAATAATAAAATGGAAAGGAACTAAATATTTTGACTGTCAAAACAGTTTTTAACTTTCTAACCTCAAAATACACGCAACGCAATGAATGCGAAATCTATGTTTTTGATGCCAGGTATGTTTTTTTTAAATTAAATATTAAAATAACAATTAATAATTACAATTGAATTAAATAGACATAACTTGTAACCTATTTAATAAATTTTAAAAAATTTCAAAAGACTAATTAAGCTATTTCCAACCTTAAACAAACGAAATAATTTTCTGTTCTTATTTTAATAAATAAGTAAAAAATATAGGAATATTATTTAAAAAATGATTCGCTGTTTAAAAAGAAGCTTATTAAAGCTATTGTTAAAAGCTATTACTAAAGACTTTAATTATATTTGAAACTCTCACCTGTGATTATAATTGACTAAAGATATCTCTAAAGTTTCGAACGTTCAAACGAAGGACGATATTTTTATTACTTCTTTTAATTTTAATTTTATCACAAAATACTGTTTTACATTAAAAAATCTTTTTTAGCCAAATAGATAATCAATTACAATATTTTTCCATTTCAGTCTATAAATTTTTAAAAATATTAGAGCACAAAAAATATTTCGTTCATTTGAACGTTCAAAACTTTAGGAAAATGATCAAAGAGTTAATAACTTTTTATTAACATAAAAATTAAAATTTTTTACAAAAAAATAATGGTGGGTTTGTAATCTTTTATCTCATAGGTGATACATTCTGGCAGGAGGATAAAATTGATGTGAATCCAACTGATTCTACGCAATTTATTTACAATGCACATCATTCTTTGTCGCTCGATGTGCAACGTCAAAGACTGCCAATATTTAAATACATGAGGCACATTATTTATTTACTGGAAAAATACCAAACTTTAGTTCTAGTCGGTGAGACAGGTTGTGGAAAAAGTACTCAAATACCGCAGGTAAATTGAAGAATTAAATTAATTTCCTTACTTGTTTTTTTTCTTTTTTTTCAAGGAACGTGGAATTATTTTTTCGAATTGTTTACAGTATCTTGTACAAGCAGGATGGACGGCCGATAAGAAAATGATAGGAATCACTGAACCTCGAAGAGTAGCGGCCACAACGTTAGCAAGTCGAGTGGCTGAGGAACGTGGCTGTATGTTGGGCACTGAAGTTGGATATTGTATTCGTTTCGACGATTGTTCTAATGAAAGCACCAAAATAAAGGTAACGTAATGAAACTAAAGTTGAACGATCAAATGAACGAAATCCATTTATTTCTTCAAATTTAATTTTTAATACAATAATTTTTCGTCACTATCAAACAAATTACATTTTATATGACACAAGTCAGGGATTTCAGGGTAAAGTCAGGAATTTTTATTTTTAAGTTCCAATTAACTGTCAACTCCAAAAAGTTTTACTTTGAAATTTTTTAAAATTTCAATTTTTAATTATTTTAATTAGAAATTTTAATCAACTTGGATTTTTGAAAAAATGTCATTATTCAAGTTCTTCTGAAATTAGTTAATTTTTTTAATATATGTTTAATTAATTATTAAAAACAATGGATTTATAGAGAAATTTTAGTTAACAACATTAAAAGAAATTGAATTTTAGAGAAGTTACAAATGATTGCGGAAAAATTCAATTATGTATAATTGCAATTTTTAGAAATAATTGAATTTTGAAAAGGTTTCAAATTAAATTCTTTGTAAATTTGAATTTTTCATACTTATAACTAACAATTCTGTAGAATAAATTTGTTTTTTAAATTTTAACTGAATTTTTTTTTAATTTATTTGAAGTTTTTATTTTCTAATGTTTATTTAATTGAAGAATTTCCGAATAATCGAAATTTCGTAAAATTGCATTGTAAACAAATGAATTTGAAAATTCTTAAAGAACATTTTCAAAAATTATAAAAAATAATTTATTTTGTAATGATTTTTGCCTTTAAAGTTTATCAAAAAAACCAAACTTTACAGTTTTGTACATTTTTTTGAAAAAAGATGAAAACTGTGGGCGTTTCCTAAAATTTAAACTAATTTCTTCCTATTCTGCATCACTGAATAAATAATTTATTAATACATTTTTTGTAAATTTACCGTGATCTTCGTGCAGTTTTTTGGTCAATTTTACATTTTTTGGCCCGATTTTTTAAAAAGACGAAAATTGTTGCAGTTCACCCTCTTTTTTTAAAAGAGATTTTTTAATATTTTCGAATAAATATTTTTTTGCCTAAAATGTTCTTTCTTTTTTAGTACATTACCGAAGGAATATTATTACGAGAAATGATGAGAGATCCATTACTCACAAAATATTGTGTCATTGTTATGGATGAAGTTCACGAGAGGACAGTTTTAACCGATATATTAATGGGTTTATTAAAGAAAATACTAAGAGTAAGTAAAATTAATAATTCGAATAAAATTTTAATTTTAATTCCATTTCAATTCGATTTTAATTCTCTTTCAATTTAATTTTCAATTGAATTTTAATTCAATAAGTTTTATTCATGAAGAATCAATTTTTCCAAATACTTTTCTTTGGATTGAATAAAATTTAAATAACAAATTTTACATTCTTTTTGTAGAAACGAAAAAGTTTAAAAGTTATAATATCCTCGGCAACTGTTGACGCAGAGGAACTTCGAGATTTTTTCAATTTAAATACAAATAAGAAGCCGGAAAACGACACAGCGACTGTAATAAGTGTTGAGGGTCGTTTACATGGTGTTGACATTTATTATGCTCAAGGTAAATGAACATTTTGTTTACTATAATTAAAACATATAAGTACTTTAGTAAAATATTTAAAAACCAAAAAAAAAAGAGAAGAAAAACATTAAGAAACGAATTTGAAAATTAAAACTGAAAAATTAGAGGACTATTTATGCCGGGAATCGAAATCCATTGGAGTTCTATAAAATATGTATTAAAATATTAATAGAAACGAATTAGTAATAGTAATTAGTAATAATAAATTCCAAATAATTAAACATTATTCAGAATTTATTTTAAAATTTAAAAATTATATAGAATTTGTTTTCAAATTTAAAAATTATTTAGAATTTATTTTAAAATGTTTAAATTATTAAAAATTTTATTTTCTAGAGCCAGTTCCTGATTACGTTCAAGCGGTGGTTAATACAGCATTAAATATACACAAGACTGAAGAAGCCGGTGATATTTTGGCTTTTCTCACAGGATTAGAGGAAGTAGATAAGGCCGTTTCCCTTTTGTCTGAGCACGCGAAACTCATAAAGGAAGGAGATCGTTAGTATTAAAAGAAATTGAATAATATTGGCAATCGATTTTTAAGTGTATTAATTAATTATATAATTCTTATTAATTACTCTTATTTAATTGTAGATCAATTATTACCATTAGCAATGTATGGATCACTTCCAAACTCAGAACAACTTAAAGTCTTTTGGAAGGCACCTAAAAATACACGAAAGGTCATTATTGCGACAAATATTGCAGAGACTTCGATTACAGTTCCAAATATCGTTTACGGTAAGAATGAAGCAAATTACTTTCATAGCGAAGCAATTAAATATATAATTTTAATTAATTATAATATTTTTAACTTCTTGTTATTAAATTTTTATTAACTTAATAATTTATAAGAGTATAAATAATGTTTATAGTATTTTAATATTATTTTTGAAGTTGTTATAATTTATATATTATTATTTTTTTATTATTTATTTATGTATTTTTATATATTTTATTATTTATTTATTTTATTTATATATTATTATATTATAATGATTAAATTATAATGATTTAAATTTCTGTCAGTATGATTTAATTCGAATTTTCCTTCTTTCAGTGATTGATAGTGGTTTTGTAAAATTACCATGGTTCGATCCGGAAACTTTAAGCAACAGTTTGGTTGTTGCTCCTGTTTCTAAAGCTTCAGCCGATCAACGATTAGGTCGAGCTGGTCGTGTTAGAGCTGGAAGAGTGTACAGGTAAAATTTATTTTCTTACTCAAAATTTCATTATATATAAAGTGCGTTAAATTTACACGTTAGTTATTCAATTTTTGTTTTTATTTATTTTTATTATGTAAATTATTTTTATTCAAATTTCCATTTATTAGAAAATTTTATTTATAGACTATACACTGAAGATGCTTATAATGAATTATCTGATTCAACGCCACCGCAAATGCAACGAACAGATTTATCGCCGGCAATTTTGCAACTTAAAGCACTGGGTATAGACAATGTGTTACGATTTAATTTCCCATCGTCGCCACCGAGCATAAATCTTCTCGCCGGATTGGAATTATTATATACACTGGGAGCGATCAATAATAATGGAGAATTAACCGATGATGTTGGATTTACAATGGCTGAATTACCACTGGAGCCTATTTTTGCAAAATGCCTTATTTCCTCCGGTAAATATCAATTGTTTTATATTTTTACTATTTTTAATTGTTTTCTATTTCTTCATATTATTATTATTATCGCTACTAGAAAAAAATTACGTGCGAAAAGCGATATTCCAATTTATTTTTATTATGCAAATCGTGAAATTTTTTATTTTTTTAAATATTAACTTTAATTTTTGAATGATTTTAGATTCAAAATTTTAAAAAATTCTCTTATTAAATAATTCTTTTCATTTACTCTTTCTAAAAAAAACTAATTAAATTCTTCGCATGAAATTAATTATTTTTATAAATAATAAAATTTCTAGGAGAAATTCAATTATTTTCAATATAATTTTAATTAAATTCCTCGAAGGAATTAAAATTTTTTTTGAAACAAATATTCTTATTTCATATTTTATTATTTTCATAAATAATAAAGTACTTCTGGGAAATTCAATTATTATCAATACAATTTTCATAAAAATTGTAGAAAGAATTCAATTATTTTCATAAATAATATAATTCTTTGGGGAATTTTTGGAAATAATTGATTATTTCCAAAAATTTTAATAATTATATGAATAAAAAATTAATTAACGTCGTATGGTATAATTTACAGGGCAAATGGGATGTTCAGAAGAGATAACAACAATTTTGGCAATGCTCCAGGTGCAAAATGTTTTCACAAAACCAATAAGTGGCGATAAAGCATTAAAAGCTCGTGTCGCTCATCGTTTGTTTCAAGTACACGAAGGCGATTTAATAACCCTTTTAAATGTCTACACAGCCTATGAGGAAAATAAAAATGGAAGTTGGTGTCAAAGGAATTTTCTTAATCAAAAAGCTTTGCGAAGAGCCACGGAAATTCGATCGCAAATGAGGCAGCAATTAAAGAAACTCGACATCCCACTAACAACTTGTAGAGGTAAGCAAGAAATGGAAAAAAATTCTTCTCTTTAAATTTTTACCAAAAATTTGATAGAGAATAATTTTTACCAAAAATGGACCTCGCAGGAAATACACTAATTTTGGATCCCTGTCGATTTTCCTAAAAGTTATTGAATTTAATAGTTTCAAAATATTTCTATTATTTTCAAATTCAAATTTTAATTTCCCGTAAATTAAAACTTTTCCGTAAAAATAAAACCAAATGGAATTTTCACTTATATTCTAATTATATTTCAGGAAATACTCAAGTGATTTTAAGATGCATAACAACTGGACTCTTTCCAAATGCAGCGTATCTTCATTATTCCGGAGTATACAAGACTGTCCGCGGAAATAAAGATTTATATATTCATCCCAATAGTTGTTTATACACAATGCAACAGCCACAATGGTAAGTTAATCAATAAAAAAAATAGAGACAAAAAAAGATTTCTAAAATTTCTTTATATGAATTTTAAAATATAAATTTAATTTCTTACAGGCTATTATTTTGCGAGATAGTGCAAACAAATAAAACCTACATGAGAGAATTGACAGTAATTCAAGCTGAATGGCTAACGGAATTGGCTCCTCACTTTTACGAAAGAAGAAAATTCGACAGTGTATAAAAATGAAATTAACTATTCATATTGAATACTTAAATTAATATTCAATTCTTGAATTCATATTCAATACTTGAATCAGAATATTGTAAAAATATTACAAACTAGAAAATGATACGCGCGCCAGCGTGCGGAACGGGGTTTTCCGTTTATTATTATTTTGTAAATTAAAAAATTTTATATTTTCAAGAATAAACATCAATTTTTAAATGATCGTTCTTAACTTTCAATTTTTTAATGATTACAGATTTAAAATTTAAAGAATTCACTTATTAAGTATATATGTAATATTAAATATTCTTGATTATTATTATTCAAAAATTTTAATAAAATTTGTCGCAAGAAATTCATTATTCTCATAAATAATAAAAATCTTTAGAGCAATTCAATTATTTTCAATATAATTTTAATAAAATACAATTATTTTCAACAATTTTGTTGAAATTCTTTTCAAAAAAATAATTATTTTCAAAATTTTTAATAAAATTCCTTCAAAAAATTAAATTATTTTCAAAAATTAAGATAAAATTCTTCGCACAATTAAATTATTTTTATGAATTGTAAAATCCTCTGCAAGAATTCAATTATTTTCATTAATAAAAAAATGTTTCGAAAGAATTCAATTATTTTCAAAACAATTTTAATAAAAATTTCACGAAAGAATACAATTTAAATTCAATTATTTTCATAAATAAGAAAATTCTTCAAAGGAATTCAATTATTTTCATAAATAATAAAATGTTTCGAAGGAATTCGATTGTTTTCAAAACAATTTTAATAAAATTTCTCGAAAGAATTCAATTATTTTAAAAAATATTATTTAAATTCAATTATTGTCAACAATTCGGATAAAATTCTTCGAAATAATTTAATTATTTTTGTAAATTGTAAAATTCCTGCCAAGAATTCAATTATTTTTGTAAATAAAAAAATTCTTCTGAGAAATTAAAATATTTTTAAAAAATTTACGAAAATTGTATTTAAAATAATTTAATACTTGAGAAAAATTTACTATTTATTGATATAATTGAATTCTTACGAAAAATTTAAAAATAATGTAATTTTCCTGGAATTCAATAAAAATTGTTTTTAAAATAATTGAATGCTTGAATTGAATTTCATTAAAAGTTTTTAAAATAATTGAATTTTCTCGGAGAATTTTTACAAGATTTTTAAAAATAATTCAGTTTTTTGAAGAAATCAATTAAAATTTTATATTCAAATAATTGAAATCCTTATAAAAATTTTATTATTTATATAAAAATAAGTGAAGTTTTTTACGAAGATTTTTATTATTTATAAATTGACTTTATGCAAAGAATTTTATTACAATTATTGAAAATAATTGAATTCTTGATAAAATTCAATTACTTTTAAAATTTTCAGTAAAAATTATTTTAAAAAACTCCACTATATTTTCAAGAATATTGGAATAAATTTTTCAAAACAATTCAATTATTATTAAGAAGTTTAAGAAAAATCTTGCCAAGAATTAAATTATTTTCAATACAATTTTAATTCAATATTTATTTAATATAATTTAATATTCAAAAACTCAATTACTTTCTAAGAAATAGAATTAAATGGTATTTAATATTCAAAAGTTCATTTACTTTCCAAAATTTGGTATTTAATATTCAAAAATTCAAATAGAATTTTAAGAAACATCTTGACAAGAATTAAATTATTTTTAATGCAATTTTAATTACATTTTCTCGAAAGAATTCAATTATTGAAAAAAATGTTGATAACATTCTCGAAGTGAATTCAATTATTTTCAAATTTTTTTTATAAATACTTTGCAAGAATTAAATAAATTTCAATACCTACATTAATTTAAAATGTAATTGAAAAAAATTCTTAAAAACAATAAAAATTTAAAACATTTAAAAAGAAAAATTATTTAAAAAGTTAGGAAACAAAAAAGCGAACAGCAACTAACTTTAAACTGCGAACAGTTTACCGGAATACAACGATTATTAATATAAATGAGGAGCAAGTTTTCAAAACTTGATAAATCCATATTTTCTTATTTCGAGAAAATGAAACAAATGACTTTTTTCACATAACCACTGCAGTTAATTTTAAATTAAAAAATTTGTATTAATTTATTTTTATAACAATGTTTTTATATTTAAGACGTTCTGTTTTTAATTAAACATTATCATAATTAAGTGATTTACAGGTTTTGATAATTTTTTTTAATAAAAAACATAAAAATTATAAGTCATCTTGGTTATGTCAAAAAGTTTTTAAATTGAAAATTCGTTGTTAATAATTTTTTTTTCTAACATTTAACGGTGACAGGTCAATTTGTGAGGTCTTTAAAATATTAAATTTATGTTTATCTCAATTTTTTTAAAAATGGATTTATCAGCTTTTGAAAATTTGCTCCTCAAATTAATTAAATTATAAAACAAATTTTTAAGGATTGTTTACTATTAAACAAATTTTTGAAATTCGAGTTGCATTCCTACAGGTTTCACTGTATTTTGAATTAATATTGAATACAATTAAATTAGTATTCAATACTTGATTTTGAATTAATATTAATATTAAATAAAATTATTATTTAATACTTAAATAAAGTTAGAATTAAATTTTGTAAATTTATTAAATAAAACGCATGTTATATTTTATAAAATAAGGAACATAAATAATTTATTTTTTTGGTGCTCGTAGTTTTTTTTTAAAAACATTTCTCTTTTATAGTAAAATTTTCTTCCAAAAAATAATAAAAATTCCTGAATGTAAATTTCTTTTTTTTACTTTAACGTCATAAAAATGATCAAGAAGAAGCACAAAAATGCCAGATGAATATTTATTATTATTAACAAATAGATTAACGTGAAGTGTCATAATCATAAGAATAATTATATAGATTAACTATTATATTCTACAATGAGTATCTAACATCGATTTTTCTTTTATATACCTAAAAAACTACTTGCAACTTTTCTCGTATATGTCGTGTAACTTGAAATAATTGTTTGTCGATATATGATACATAATACGCATAAAATTATATAAAAGGACTTTTTAAGTTTTTAAAAAATGGTTGCATTATATATATATATATGTTTTGGTTGTGTTTTTTTGTGTTTGTTTTTTCATTTTGTATAATATATGTTTATTGTGTGTGAGTCTGTGTGTGTGTGTGTGTGTTTGTATTAGATACGTGTAAATGTTGGTAATGAATGTCTGCGGATCTTTTAAAGAACTTGGAATTTAAATATGATTTTCTCACACAAATACTTTTGCAAGTGCATCAGCTCCTGCACTTGCAATAAACGGACGTGAAGGATGAAAGGCTACGTCTAAAATGCTCTCGTCGAATTTTTTACGATGTGCAGTTATTTCTTGAACACAAGTTTTATTGTCCATATTCCATAATCTTATACTGCAATCGTGACCTGGATAAAATTTAAATCTCGTTAATTTACAAACATTTTTTACAAATTTATAGAATTAAAATTTATAATTTCAATTTTTTTTATAATCTTACAGGATATTTTTAAAAATTGATAAAAAGTTTATTTTTTAATCGCAGGCCTCGAATTGACAAAAAAGTCGTTTTAGTCTATTCAAAGTATAAAATAAAAAAATAAAAAACTCGTTTATTTTATTCAGAGATGTCACAAAAATTTCATTTTCTAGTTCTTTGAAATTTCTCCGAATTCAAGAAATGGGTTTAACTTTTTCCCTTATACTGATATTTACTTCAATTCTAAGTGTTTGGAAAATTCAATTATTTTCAAATAAATTTGTTTTTTTTCAAAAAAATACGATTACTTTCATCAATTGTTATTATAACATTTTTTAAAAGAGAAATTTCAGGGTGGCCGCAAGATTGACTTTATCAATTTCCCTGACATTTTACTGACATAACAACAAATTTCCCTGACAAAAATTTTTTTGTTTAGAGCAAAAAATGTATTGCATGACCGTCTTAATTTCTTTAATTGCCCTGACAAAAAAAATTTTTCCTGACATTTTCCTTCTTCTTTAATTGCCCTGACAAAAAAATTTTTCCTGACATTTCCCTGACTTTACTGACAAAAGATTTTTTTCCTGACATTTCCCTGACATTACTGACTTTACTGACATGTGACCACCCTGAATTTCTTCTTAACTAATAAAAATGTAATTTTGTTATTAAAAATTATAACTGTACTTTTAAAATTCAATAATTTTCTTAAATTGTTAACTAAAAATTAAAAGTTTAAAAATTCGTCTAAAATTCATTACTTTTAAATTAATATAAAGAAAATTCGATTATTTGACAGTTGTTTCTAATTAAATTTCAATTAAAATTTTCGAAAATTTGAATTCTGAGTAACTTTAATTAAAAATTCTAAAGTAATTAAATTTTTGAAAAATATTAGTTCATATTCTTTCGAAATTAAAAAAAAAATTAAGTTGAATACTATTTAATAATATTCAAAAATTCATTTATTCTAAAAAATTTAGTATTTAATACTCAAAAATTCAATTAATTTCAAACAAATAGAATTGAATATTATTTAGCATAAAAATTCAATTACTTTCAAAAATTTAGTTTTTCCTCAAAAAACACGATTATTTTTCAAAATTATTTAAAATATAAAATTTACTTCAATAAAATTTAGTTAACGAAATTTTCAATTATTTGAAAAATTGTCAATATAATTGTTTTCGGGAATTCAATTACATATCTTCATAAAATTGTATTTAAAATTATTTTTAAGTTGGGACCTTTTGAAACTTAATTATATTTCTAAAAATTTTAACTTTAACATTTTTCAAATTCAAATTATTTTTCACAATTTTTTTGTTATTAAAACGTTTATCTTAATCAATTATTTTTGATAATTTTGAAAATTTTAAAAACAAGAAATTTGACTTAAAATACGTCAAAAATTAAAGATTTTAAGAATTTCTAAAAGAAATTATTCATTAACAACATTTCTGATTCACGAATTAGGAGAAAAAATGATTTTCTGGACAAATTTTTCTAATTTTTCTCTTGAAAATTTTTTTTGTTATTAATTATTTTGAAAAGAAAATTTTTATTATTTTGCAAGTGAAAAATATTTATTTTCAATTAAACGTTATTTATAAACGTTGTGAACTTTACTGACGTAAGTTTTTAATGTGAAAACTTCTAAAATTTAATTATTTCTAAAAGCTTATACTGTAACTTTTTCAAAATTCAATTATTTTCTAGAAGTTTTA